ATATGACCAGCTCGGTGATAGAGTACGTTATACTTAACTTAAGTATCCTCTACTAGCTTAAACCACGTGCTAATTATCTTAGGATCTTCCTGTAGTATCCTCTGTCTATCCTTAGCTTAATTAAAGGCCATTTTGAGCTTGTCTAAACGCGTCACAAGCCTGCTAGCCTATAGTTTGCCAACAGGCTCTTCACCACGCACACTAAGTATCTTATCAGCCATATCTGCCACCTCACATAGCTAGGGCGCAAATCCTCGCAAATTAAGGTTAAGTATATACTAGACAATTGTCTGCTCCTCTAGTATAGTAAGTTTTCTACATATTCAGAACCTTCTCCAAGCCGACTCCCGTTATCTCATTTGTCGCAGCAGCAGAGTCCAGAGTCTGTATCTCATTTCCAATCCCTGGTCAGTACTTACTCAGGATCAACAGCCCATCTAGCCCCCTCCCAAGATTCGAAAATATCCTGTCGGTCCAAGCCTTGACCGGCGTAGTCATCTCCCCAGTATTCCAATAGCTCGTTTCCATAACTTCTTAGCCCAGTGTCTTTGAAGTGAGTATGCAACTCAGCGTCTGGGCGCCACTTCGCAACTCGCCACCATATCTGACGTCTGTCCGCATTGTTTTCGCCAGGATGGTTTGTGAAGGCCTGAACGCCTGGTTTTGCGTATGCTATCCCCCAAGCCAGCTCTTCATTTGGAAACTTGGTCACCTGGGCGGTTTCGAAGTCTTCGTACACATCAGAGGTAGGGAGAGACTGGATACTGAGTGCTGACTATAATATGACTTCCTTCAGCGATGGCATTGATGCTGCAGCTTTGGCAAAGGAGGAAAGAAATGGTGTAGTTTCTCCATTGGGACATGTCCGGAGTCTGACATAAACGTGACCATGTAGCCAGCTCCATCCTTGCTCTCCAGCAATATCTTCGTCCTCGTAATCTTGACTCATAGGTGTAAGCGGCAGATATGACCGGTCTGATGTCAGTTCATATCCTTGTGTAGCACCCGATTCAGGTAGACCATAGAAGTACCAAGAGCCCGAGGGGGTAGACATGTGGAACAAAATGCTGAGCGTTTCTAGATTCGGCCAGACAGGTATTGTACCGTCTAGCGGCCAAAACAAGGTCTTACCTGTGACCACTCGCAGACTCATAGTACGAAGCTGGTACGAAAGAAGACGCAAACTGGAGCTAAACAGGTCATAGGGTGCTGGCGATGTGAGGTTTGGCAATGCCAATCGCTGGTCAATGCATTCAACCCAATTGAAAGGATAGAGAAAATCCAAATGGACGTTTTGTAGAAGCGGAAGCACATCTTATATACCTTCAAGGCCTTTGCCGAAGTCGTGTCGCAAATCTCGTCGAGGTCTTATCCACTCTCTCGTGATAGCGTTCAGTGCATTGTGCGCAAAGTCTTTGCGCCATTCGTCACCCCCAAGTTTGCATCGCAGCAACTTCAGATTTTGGAACTTTTTGGCAATATCAAGGACGATTCGCGAATCGAACTTCCGCAGCGCCACGTCAGGTCCGTTGTCATTAAGCCGACGTTCTGGAGACTTGATGGTCAAAGTGTGTACGCACCTGAGGCTAGGCAGCGCAGAAGGCGAAAGAGGATGGACACGCCAAATAACGAATATTTGATGATAGCAATTCAGCTATCCGTCGATTGCTTGTGTGAGCTCGTATATCGTGAGGTGGATCCCGAGTGAGACACCCGGGCGCTCGTGGACCGCCTTCAAAACCTTAAACAGGGTTCGAATTTGTTTTGTAAATTGTTCGTCTATATCCCTCAGATCGGCTGCACTATCACGACAACCCCCTTCGGCGTGGTCATCACGAGAAGAGATGGTAGTGACGAATTGGACCTCCTGAAGATAGTGAGCACGCTGGCCACTATAGATTGACACTAACTTGGACGGACGCGTTCTCTAAATTCAAAGTAAAGTCTGCAAATGCTTCAGATGATTGCTCGGCTGCATACTGAAATCTTTGAGAGAGGAGAAGCGTATTCTTGAGGTCATTGTAGTCCAGATAGCTGGTAGTATGTACAACCAGCTCTTGTGGGATTGAGTCCATTTCCTGTATTCTGCAGAGTCGAAAATTTGAGAGGTAGTCTAGGGAGATGTTGCGGTGCAAGTTGGTCCTATAGCCTTGATCGTCACCTCTGTTGACTACGTTTGACTAGCACGTCTCAGGACATGTATATATGGTCGCCTTCTGGCTAGTAAGCAACTCGGCGCAGTTTCCCATCGACTATACAGCAGCTACGTCTGCCGCAATAGTTTAGAGCAAACGTCATGTTTTGAGCGGAGCGCAGTACAGTTCCTTCACAGCAGATATGGCTTGGATGCTGGCTTATCTCAATACCTTCCGTGCAGACAAGACGCAAAGCAAGCGATTCATATTGGACGTAATTGGACAAGATCATGACAGGATGACATTGCAAACTATAGCATTGAACCTGTCAAGCTGAATCTCGAGACTGCCAGCTCCCATCTGTTCTAAAGACCGCCGGGATGGAGTAAGTTCTCAATACTATCGGAAAGTTGATCGATATTCGACCACATATTCACAATATCTCGAGCATTAACAATAGTGCCACGCGTGCTTTCCAGCCTACTAAGGTCAGTCTGGAGGCCCTCCACCTTTGTCTTCATGCCATTCAAGATCCTGTTCTGTCTCTGGCTGTCAATGAACTCGTCCTGTGGCCTCATCTCCCCGCGCGTTGTCCGACGACCTGCAGAGTTGCGAGGCGTGTCGTCATAGTCGAAGCCTCGGAAGGTTCCATCGAGGTAGTGGCTTCGATATCCGCCGGGAATCAAGGTTCGATGCGTTTCATACACCATTTTCGTTGCTGGTAGGTTTGGTTTAAGTTGGGCTGGTGGATGGTGATGATTTCCTGTTGATGCGATGTTGTCTAGGTTGGAGGTGGTAGGGGCTGTACTTATACACCAGCTTTGCGATATGACGAGGGAGTATCGGATATGTCAAGGACACATCATCAGTACGGGCTAGATGAGCTGTTAGTAAGCCATGCGATAGCTCAGCGGATTTTTGTAGTGTTCTAGGTGTGCTGGATGTGCAAATGAACAGATACGTCTTATGCATGCGTCGTGTATATGCGTGGAATTTTCGATGTGTTGATAGACACAGTAGGGCGTCAGAGACAAGTAGCATGATTAACGATGTGTTTTACGAACAGTTTCTGGCCATCTCAATTGGATTTCGTTGGCCTCATTATACCTCGCCTTTAGGTAAAGATGATACCGCCATCAATAACAATAGTCTGCCCCGTCATATAATCGCTATCCTTGCTCGACAAAAAGCTCACCGTGCTTGCCACATCCTCTGGGACACTTGTCCTGCCTAGCGCGATCAGCTCGTTTGTATATTTCTTAATCGTGTCGCCCTTCTTAGCTCCAGTCTTCTCACCCAGTTTCTCGTCGATGAGATCCCACATCGCGGTACCGACGATACCAGGCGCGTATGCGTTGACCGTAATCTTGTGCTCGGCCATCTCCATTGCGAAGGCCTGCGTCATGCCTCGCACGGCCCACTTGGAGGCGCTGTAGTGCGAGAGCAGCGCAAAGGGCTTGAAGGCAACAATGGAGGCGGCGCCGAGGAGCTTACCGCCCGAGCCCTGGGAGATCATCTGCTCTGCTGCGGCTTTGTAGCAGTTGAACACGCCGTAGACTGGTTATGGTCAGTAAAAACCTTGCCGACGGAAAATCATGACATGCCGTTGACTTCGAACATCCTGTGAAGATCTCGCTCAGTCAATTCTAGTAGCCCCTTGACCTGCGCAATGCCCGCATTCGCAACCATGGTGTTCAGCGGGCCAAGCTCTGAAGCACATGCCTTCACCAACTCTTGCACTTCTTGCAGGTTCGACACGTCTGCTATGTGCGCGTAGGCCTTGCGGCCGAGTCCCTGGATTTCCTTGACCACATCATCACAGCCAGCCTTGTTCGCTGCGATGTCGTTGATGCATACGTCGTAGCCGTCGTTTGCCAGTCGCAGGGCAATAGCTTTGCCGCTGAGCGTTGTCAGTCTGTTAGTTCGGACTCGTTTGCATAGATGGCAGTCTCACATTCCACGCGACGATCCTGTAACAATCGCTGTTCTGCTCCCTCCCGCTGTTGGTGTTGCGTAGGCGCGTGTCCAGCGTGACGCTTGGGTTGCAACACGAGGCAGTGCTGCCAGCTTGGGTGATGCTTGCCAGATCGTCCTTGCTGGTAGACAGAAAGACATTATAAGTGTACTGAAGAGCGATCGTTATGGACTTGAGTGAATTGAAGCTATGAACAGGACATATAGGACGAAGAGACAGAGATCAGAGAAGGCAAAGGCAGCCCAGATGCATTTGAGCAACTCGAGGGACCCCAGAGCTAGGGAAAGCTCCATACCGGATAGGCGGGGAAGCACGTACCCCTCTCGTAGCTTCAAATCGGCAGTACCTATTCCATGAAGCTCAGGCGGCTTGTCGGAGTAAGGTAACCCGGGAGGGCGACGTTCATGGACTTTGAGTTTGCGGTTCAGCCCGACGCGCTCGCGTTGGCTACTGCAGCGGGGCGGCACCGTTCCGCAGGCCCGTAGCCGAAAGATCACACGATGTTGGGCTCAGGCCGGATGAAGCTGGCGGCGGAAACAAGAAGTGGGGATGTCGTAGGTGGAGTTGAGAGTTGCGGGCAAAGCGGAGATGCCACGAGCCTTTCCTCTTTGGAGTTAGACAGATGCTGCAACGCGCCTTCCAAGGTTGTCCTCCACGTTCGCGAAGGCGTCAACAACCAAACAACATCACCAGGGCATACAGCGAATACGTTCGACAAGATGTCTCGCCAAAGTATGGCTCCAAATCGCAATCTGTCGCTTACAGAGGAGTTGGAGAAGCTCGAGCAGTCCATCACGCTCACGCTCCAAGGTAAACAAACCCTGAGATGCCCCACTAACACAACTGACAATGGCAGAAATCGACCACAACTTCAGTCGCGCGCATCGCATTGTCACCACAGGGATTCTTCCTATCGTGGAGCAGTATGGGAAGCACTCTGAGGCCGTCTGGGAAGGTTCAAAGGCTAGCACCCATATCCTATCATTCAAGCGCAATACTGACTTCACTAGTTCTGGAAGCAGTTCTTCGAAGCCAGCGCAAACGTGTCGCTCTCCGGATACGAAGCGCCACAGGACGACTCGATTACGCAAGATGATATACAGCAGGAGGAAACATACGAGGATGACGAGACAGTTACTGGGGATGTGACCAGGGGAGGAGCAACTACCCCACAGCGGCCGGCCTCATCTCATGGTGAAATGGATGATACGATGACAATGGACTCGCCGTCAATGGGCCACAGCACGCCCGGCATGCCGCAACCGCTTAGGAAGGGTGCGCATGGCAACGGCGAGGAACTGGATGCGGACGAGGAGGCACCGCAATTCGCTGGGCTCTCGTCACCTTACGAAGCGCTGCGTCAGGAGCTTGAGGGAGGACAGTCAGGTCTGAGGACACCAAAGTTCGACCCAGTCACACCTGGGAGGTCGCAAGCTCTCCCAGACATGATGGGCTTCGACTCTTCACCCTTCGTCCAGCCCACAACGTCGAAGAAGCCGCACTTTAACCAGGATCCGCTCATGCACCGCGTTCTGGACAAGACCTTCCGCGTACAGGCTACGCCACTCATTAGCCCCCGGAAGTATAAGCCCACCGGTGCATTTACACCAGGCACCGCGCATCGTACTGCAGCCACGCCCCGTGGAGCGGCGACCAACACAAGACTGCCTAAGTGGGATGACTCATCGCCTCCCTCTTCGCCAGCGCCTCAATTGCGTGCTGACATCTTCTCGCCTATGAAGACGCCTCGTACGCCTGGCGTGAGCGTCCAGACACCTGCCAAGGGCAAGACACCAATGAGCACAGGGAGGGACCAGGATTTTGTCGACTACAGTGACGACGATGACCTCGACTTCAGTCCGCCAAAGACGATTCAGTTCCACATTCCACAGACGAAGCTCCTGCAGACACCTGGTATGTGCCATATGATTAGCTCCTGAATCCAGCTAACGCTTGTGCAGCCCGAGAGGCTAGCAGACGCATTGTCGACGATCTACTGATGACAGCTGGAGGCGACTTGACAGACACAACGGGTGGACTGGAGGACGATAGCCCGAGTGTAGTCAGACGCCAGATGGATCTGGATGATAGCTTTTGAGCACAGAAGCGCGATCCCTTCTGTTGTTAGACCGTGATACCCACAATTTCCGAATTGCCTTTATTCGCGTAAGCTGCTACAAGAAGTAGACGAATTCATCGTATCGCGTATAGCACATGGGCAATTGTATGGTCTGAGCAAGTGCTGGCATGTGACGACCCGCAGCTTCTCGGCCTAGGCCTCACTAGGTACATATAGCGCGAACCATTGGCTGGGGTTTCGCAACAGCTCCATCGTCATTCCCCAGTAATTCTAGCTGCGTCAGGGTCCCTTCCCTAGAGCCAGATGTCCTTCTTTGCACATTTGCAAACACTCGTTTCCTCATAATGCCCAAAGATAAACGACGACCGACGTCCGGATACGCTCGAATAGCGCAGGCGGAGGAGGAAGAGGACTCGGATGCTGGCTCTGACGATGGCTTCCACCAGGACTCTCTCTCTCACGCGCAATATGCTCCCATCCAGCCGTCACGAAGCTCGCGCATGCGCATGCCGGGCGATTCGGCCCCAGGCTCGCCGACGGCCCACCGAGCATCCTCGTTGCGGCGACACCGATCGAATTCCGGCGTAGACATCAAAGCCATAAACGCGCGGTTTGAACGCTGGGCGGACGAGATTGCGCAGAAGTTCAAATTCAAGAAGCAGAAGGAGGGGCCAGACGATGAGCAGCTCGAGATCCACCATTCCGTCTTCCAGGCGCCAGACGGCGTGCGGCCGGCAACGGCAGAGTCGCTGCAGTTCGACTACGAGGCAGCCGACACACCAGAGCGCATGACCAAGCTGCAGTTTGACGACACGGTGGAGAGCGTACGGACCGCCATTGAGCTGGGAGTGCATCCCAAGCTCATCACACAGGGCAGCTCCGGCAGCTACTTCGCGCGCAACGCCCAGGGCAAGGTCGTGGGTGTCTTCAAGCCAAAGGACGAGGAGCCCTACGCGTCACGGAACCCCAAATGGACAAAGTGGATACATCGCAATCTGTTCCCCTTCTTTTTCGGCCGCGCCTGCCTCATCCCGAACTTGAGCTACATCTCCGAAGCTGCCGCATATGTCCTCGACACCCAGCTGCGAACGCACATCGTACCATACACCGACATCGTCGACCTCTCCTCCAAGTCGTTCTACTATGACTTCTGGGAACGGAGGGCATACTACAAGAAGGGCAAACCGTTTCCCGAGAAGCCTGGTAGCTTCCAGGTCTTCCTGAAGGGCTTCAAGGACGCCAACATCTTCCTGAAGGAGAACCCGTGGCCAGACCAGCATGCCTCGAGCCTGAACGCTGCCTCTCATAAGAAGAGGAGAAGATGGGCCGAAGACTGTAGGCCAAGCGGACCTCTGTCTGACAACGAGGACGACGAGGACCGGCCAGGCACGCCAGATCCCCAGCGGCGGCGAGGCTTCTGGACACCTGCGTTGCAGCAATCGCTCAGGGAGCAGCTGGAGAAGCTAGTCATTCTCGACTACGTTATGCGCAACACCGACAGAGGCCTGGACAACTGGATGATCAAGATCGACCAGAAGACGCAGCAAGCTACAATTGTCGCTGAGCCGCCCAAGCTGAGCGACGAAGAGGACGGAGAGGATACAGCGAGCCAGTACACACGGCAGTCCATGTCAGAGCTCGACCCATACGGACGCAGCGAGCCTATGAGGGCTTCCAGTCGCTCCAATACACCAATGCAGAAAGGACCCGTGCCAGAGATTACACTTGGTGCCATCGACAACAGCTTGTCGTGGCCATGGAAGCATCCAGACGCTGTGAGTTGACTCAGCAATTATTAGTGAAGCAAATGCTGACTCTGCAACAGTGGCGCAGCTACCCCTTCGGTTGGCTCTTCCTGCCCGTCTCTCTCATCGGCCAGCCCTTCTCCGAGGCCACGCGCAAGCACTTCCTGCCGCTCCTCACGTCGAAACAATGGTGGAGTGATACGCAAGCAGCACTCAGACAATGCTTCTCTCAAGACGCAGACTTTAAGGAGCGCATGTATGCAAAGCAGATTGCAGTTATGAAAGGGCAAGCCTGGAACGTCGTGGAAACTCTCAAGACGCCCGATCACGGCCCCCTGGAGCTGACACGTCGCGCCCGCGTATGCGTCTGGGACGATATCGTCGAGATCCCCATTGCCGTCCCCCTGCGTGCCCCCTCCGCCGATATGCGACGCAAGCAACCCCTCACACGGTCGCAGCGCCTCGACGAAGAGCACGAAGAAATGGACATCACAGCGCTGCAAACACCCCCACAGAAACCCCAGACAGACCTCCTCATGAACTCGCCGCCCCTCGACTCAGCGCACGAGAACCGCTTCAACCTCACCCGCGATTCGTCGTCCTTCGACGCCCGCCGCACCAGCGGAACCTCACCCATGTCTCCGGCTACCGTCAACGACGTGCCCTGGTCGAGCAGGGTGCCAGAGTCCAATGGCAGACCTTCGCATCGCTCGCGCATGAGCTACGACATGCCGCGCCGCGACAGCAGCAAGAGACAGCGCCGCTTCTCGCTCAATCTGCGCAGAGACGAGTACGACGATGATGAAGGTGATCTGGGGTATGCAGCGAACGAGGACATGGAGGGGAATCGCAAGAAGGTGATTGTGGAGCGACTGGAGATGGTAAAGGGGAGGAACCCGGTGTTCACGTGGTGTTGATCAGGTGATGAGCTCACGCAAAGTCGGTGAACGAGCGTTGTATCGCCGAAACTGCATGTGGTTGTGTGCATGGATCAAGGGAGAGGCATTTTGCATAGCTGGCGTTGGTTTGGGCGTTTTGTACTGGCGCTGAGGCGCGGGGGAATGCTACCTCGTAGCAACCTCACACACTGCTGTAGTAACACATAGCCCTTGAGGCGCCGCACGACTGGCTTCCGTTTCGGGATTATCAAGGGTGCTATCGATGAATATGACCTTCGAACTTCGCCAACGGGAAACGTGTGGGCGTCGACACGGCGGGGCTGCTTAGGCGCGCGGAGGGGAAAGACCTCGTGACGCAATCATCTTTGCAGCCGGAAACGCACGGGCCATGTGGTTGGTGCTTGCTTCAAAAGAACGTGGAAGATGATATCCTGCGGTCATCTCGTATTTGCTTGCTATGCAACGTCAGTATCTATATGTAATCTTTAGCTACTTGAATGGATAGATAGATAGAGAGCATGAGCGTGGTGTAGCGGTGTTTGAAGAAGGGAGACTTAGGATCGGCGTGTTGTAACTTATAGCCAGGCTGTGCCGCTGTGTGTACATATATGGTTCATGGTTACCTAATCCAACGCGATGCGATGAACAAACACAAATTCGAACCTTACCCTTTCTTTACCCATCCCTTCGATCAGAGCTCTTCATGCAGTTTGTGTTAGACGCATTGCTCTCAGATAGCCGTCCCGTGTGGCGAAGTGCATTGTCTCAGTGTCAATCCCCGTCGCTAGCGGCCGTCCGATCTGAGTGGCGCGTGACCTGTACCTCAACTACATCGAGCCCAGGGAGCGGCGCGCAACAACCAAAACTTGCGCTCTCAGAACATCTTGCTTTGTTCGACACAAGCCCTCGAGCAACCAAGAACACGAGACAAAGAACAACCCTGCAACGGCGACCGAAGATCAACAATGCTGGATGCGCTGTGCCAGCGAGCATCGAAGCATTGCAGAAAGAGCTGGGACCTTGCCGCCTGAAGCCTGCGGCGCTCTCTCACCTGTAACAACACGTTTACTTGCATCTGTACACTATGAATCCCGCTCTCCTACTTGACCCCCGTGGGGCGCGCAAGAAAGGTAATCTTCTCCTCTCTACCATCCCTCAAACTTCTACACTCCTCTTCTTCACTGTGAACACCAACCTCTACAACTACTATGGATGACGCGATCGATCTGGATATGGGCGATGGCTCGCTTTATAGTGCGCAGTCAGCCTCCTCTTCACTCGCCATCCAGCAGTGTATCGACGAGTCACATGACCTCGCCAATGACCTCCACCAAGCAACATCATATGAGCTGTTGCCCGACAACACCGATTCGATAGCCAACAAGCTAACACTGCTTTCTCCAGCTGAACAATCCGCGCAACAGAATCGAACACCGCCTGCAACGCCTCGCTTTGACCCTGCGGCGCTGCTTGGCCCGAAATCAGCAGCCAAGCGACCAGCGTCTATTTCCGAAGGCAGCGAAAGCAGTCGCACAGATCTAACAAGCGCGGGTCAATTATCGCTCGTTGAGCGTCTGCATAACGTTCAAGAGCGAGCTGCCTCTCCTGCGAAGCGTGTCAGGACAACCGAGCAGCAGCAGCAGATGAAGAAGCCCTCGAATGGTGGTTCGTTTGGCGGTGGCAGCGCGCTTGTTCTGAACCAAAACAGAGGTGCTTCTATATCTCCACCCGCACCGGTTGATCTGACCATGAGTAAGTGCGCGCCTTTACGTCATCTCGAAATGTGCTAACACCCTCCCAGGTGACGATGACGAGGTTAAAGTGGTTCATGACAACTCGTCACAGATGATTTGCATCGGCAAGCTCGAGCAGACATATATCAGCATGCACACAGTGCCGTTCCCTGACCCCAAGAAGTACATGGGCAACAACGGCGCGTTGGGCAGGATCAAGGTCGGCTTTCGCAGAGCTGGTCAACGAGGAGATGTTATAATCATCGTCACAGATGCTGCAGGGAAGGAGTTTGGCAGAGTCGACGGCAAAACTGCGCAAGCTATGGTACCTCTCATGGATAGCTCGAGAAACAATGGTCTGAAATGGGTTGCCTGGACCGATCCGCGGAAGCGTCATGGAGCCGAACCCAACACACCTGGAACACCGCACCAGACTCTCATCTCCATGACCTTGCAGCTGTACTGCCCGCGCAGTCATGCTTATGGCATTGGGAAACACCTCAAAAACAGAAACGCGAAGCTGACGCGGCCTTTATGGGAACTCGGAAAGTACGATTACTTCAACCCACAGACACAAGAAGCCATGACCAAGACGCAGATGGAACATCCAACCTTGGATGCCCACTCAAATCTGCGCGCCGGGCATGCGGCGATGCCAATGGTCAACTACGCCATCCGTACCGCCGACGAGATCCGCGACGATGTTCAGAATGTCTTTGATTCTGTGATTGGCACCTCAGAGGAAGTGCCAACGCGCGAGCCATCTTCACACATCAAGACTGGACTATATCCTCATCAGAAGCAAGCCTTGTACTTCATGTGGAATCGCGAGCAGGAACACACCGGCGATGCGGCTGAGAAGTCCGACCCGCTCTGGAAGCCGCGCTACCGTGATAACGGCCGCAAGAAGTTCATTCACATCATCACTGGCGAGGAGCAAGATGAGAAGCCTAAGCCCTGCCGAGGCGGCATCCTTGCAGACGAGATGGGTCTGGGCAAGACGCTCAGCGTGCTGTCCCTTGTTTCTGACGACACTTCGATCAGGGATGCTCGAGAGTTCGCGGCGAAGAAGCCGCCACAGATTCAAGATGAGAAAAACATCACAGTCATCCAGCCTACCATCAACAGTCGAGCCACACTTTTGGTGTGCCCTCTCAGTACCATGACAAACTGGAAAGAGCAGATTAAAGACCATTTCCCTGTTGGTGGTGCACTCAAGTGGACCCGCTATCACGGCAGCGAGCGTTTCGACATGAGTGCGAGTGAGTTGGCAGACTACGATATCGTGGTTACTACATATCACATCATCGCCAAAGATATGAACGACGGGAAGCGGGCCCTGCCTTGGATTAACTGGTTTCGCATCGTGTTGGATGAAGCCCACACTATCCGAAACCAGACTCAGCAGTCGAGGGCGACTATTGCAATTCCAGGCCAGCGCCGATGGGCGGTTACCGGAACGCCTGTCCAGAACCGTCTCGAAGTAAGCTTCACGTGAACTGAGCACCATGTCAGACTGACTTATTTTGCAGGATCTCGGTTCGTTGTTCAGCTTCATCAAGTTGAAGCCCTTCGACACCACTTACGGCTTCAACCTCTACATCATCAGCCCTTTCAAGGCGGCCGATCCAGAAGTCGTGCCCAAGCTGCAACTCCTTGTCAGCGCAGTCACGATTCGCCGAACGAAGGAGATCATCAAGGACGAAGTACCTAAGCGCACAGACACGATCGTTAGGCTGAAGTTCTCCAAGGCCGAGTCGCAGCTTCACGACTGGTTCGAGAAGGATACACAGCGCAAGGTCAATGCCGTCACGACGGGTGAGAAGATGGGCGGTCACTCGTACGCGCGTATCCTGACAGCTATCCTCAACCTGCGTCTGATCTGCGCTCATGGTCGTGACTTGCTCAGTGAAGAGGCGCTGAAGACCACTGATGGCATGTCGGAAGACCAGCCAATGGAGATCAACGACGAGGAGGAGGAGCTGTCGTCGCTTAATCAGCAACAAGCTTACGACATGCTCGATATGCTCGGTCAGACGAGCGCAGACACATGCGCCTACTGCCACAAGTCCGTCTTGGAGGACGTCGACACAGACGACGAAGATGAGGATGGCGAACCTCCCAACTTAATCGGCTATATGACTTCCTGCTACCACGTCGTCTGTCCAAAGCACAAGAAGAAGTTAATGACAGACTTTACGAACAACGGTATCGAGGAGGGCAAGGTAACCTGTCACTTCTGTGAAGACAAGGTCAAGCCTTCGCTGTTCCAGCTCCTGCGCGACCAGTATCAAGTCTTCTGTGAAACGCGGGAAAAGATGCGTCGGGATCCAAAACTGTCAAAGAAGATCAACAGCTACGCCGGACCACATACAAAGACGCAAGCTTTACTCAACGACCTCCAAGAGTTTCACAGCTGGGACTTAGCTCACCCTGAAGAGCGGCCGATCAAGAGGTATGTACCCAGCTCCCCAGCTCCAGCGATATACTAATCATCTTCGCAGCGTCGTTTTCTCAAGCTGGACAACACACCTCGACCTCATTGAAATCGCGCTCAAGAACCACTCGCACACGTACGTCCGCCTTGACGGCCGCATGACGCGCGAAGCCCGCGACAAATCCATGAACATGTTCCGGTCTGACCCCTCGATCCGCGTAATGCTCGTGTCCATCGGCGCCGGCGGACTGGGCCTCAACCTGACCACTGCCAACAAAGTGTTCATGATGGAGCCGCAGTTCAATCCTGCTGCTGAAGCGCAGGCTGTGGATCGTGTCCACCGGCTTGGACAGGACAGAGAGGTTACGATTAAGCGGTTCATCATGGATGGTAGTTTTGAGGAGAAGATGCTTCTTCTGCAGGACAAGAAGAAGGCGCTTGCGGATCTCACGATGACGAAGAAGAGGAATAAGAGCGAGGATAGTAAGCGAAGGTTGGAGGAGCTGAGGAGCTTGTTCAGGTAAGCAAGCGAAGCGTGCAGAACAAGCCAAGCGGCGATGAGGATTGGGCACGATATACACGATCAACTTGGGGCATCTTGTGTGGAAAACTGATTTGGGAATCGATGCATCAGCGCATCGGGTTTTTGTGGCGCTTGACGAGGGCGCCGATACTACATTTGGAGTCTGAGCGCTCGGGATTCCAGCTTGTAGACTCGAGCGTAGACACTCGGGCCCTGCGTGGGGTGGATCTTTAATGAGTATCTTTTCAAATCATCTTTCAGTAGATGATGGTGGAAACTCTTGACGCCATGGCTCTTTTGATCTCTGACTTTCTTTGTTGTTGCCGGGGAGTTGATGTGACAGATCCAATCTTTCGCTTCGGTGGCCTGCTTTCCTTGTCGACTTATGGGCATGTCGACCCAAGGAGTTAGTGGAATCAGGACCCGTCTTCGGCGATGATACTCGGCACATCATGGATTTTGGGTATGGGTATGGGTATAGCCCTGCAACGGGGATAGAATGGAATGGCAACAGTTATGAGAGGTCTTTGGGAGTCTAGGTGAAGGGGGGGGGGCGTGCTTTCCACGTCTGTTTAATCCCTCAGGCAACGTCCTATTAGCTTGGGACAATGTCACCTCGTCACCTCAACGACGCCATCACCGCACTCCATGACCTAGCTTTTTAACCCATTCGTAGTACGCCCATTGTGCTGACAGTACACACATGTCGTTCTCGAGCAACGACTCTCAAGTCTCGACCGTGGATGAGATTTTGTGACCACGTGGCTCAGATCACATGATATCCTATTGTAGCAGGCACTGCCCGGTGGGCAAGTGCACTTACCTGAGAGTTGAGAGCTTGTGTAACAGAACATCACACAACACGACAACAGATAGCAATACAATTGTTGATCACAGTCTCCGACCGACACTGCTCACGCAGTTACGGATTTTGAGTCACCTACGGCGTCTGACCAACCATAGATCGATAAGCTAACAAATTTTCCTTCTGAACGCGGCATCAACCAGATCAAAACCAGCAGAGAATAAACAGCAAGTGTAAGCACAGGTGCACCATGTCAACCCCCGGCTCCCTGACGAACGCTTGTTCACCAGCACAGACACAGTATCTCACCACCATCTTCAAACGCCTAGTTTCCACGCACAAATGATCCCGTACGCTCTCCTATGTCCAACCATTTATCCACTGACGACCGATCAGGGCTCAGTTCCCGAGCCTTCGATTAAAACCGCTCGGCAGTGTGACACCGTCGTCGCAAGAACCGGAGCACAACATGTCGAGGCCTGAGATGTAGTACAATTGCATCCAAGAACCCCGCTACGACCTGTCAAATACCAACTCGATTACGATCGAGTTGTCATCTGTCAAACTAGTACCCAGCTCCGTGCTCCTTTTAGGTAGCTCTCAACCCAGCCAGTGTCAACGCGGACGTCCACTCCATTCCCGCGCTGCACGACATTCATCGCACATCTGTAGCATCAGGTATGACTCGGGTACGACTATTCAGGAATCGTCATACCAAGCGAAGAGACGGTTGCGCCACGAGCTGTGGCGCCGGTCTAGCGGAGGAAGCGTGATGTGGCTTCGGGTAAGCCGCCGTTAGTTAGGTAGGTAGATCCGCCACATTCGTGGAATTTCCGCAGCCTCAAATAACGCTCCTCTCTGGTTTACAAACTACATACGCGCCAAACACTTCGAACGCACCTCGCACGAAAAAATGAGAATACATGTGACCGAGACGAAACAAGAGCGTCCTGTTGCCAGACCAAACCCCGAAACGAACGTAATGCTGGCTGAGAATGAATACGTCAGATAGAAGGGGAGGAGCTCGATGAGCGCCACCGAACTTTGTGGAAGAGGAGAACATACATGTGAGCAGTACGATTGGTAGAGAATACTGCGTGTTACCCTAGATGCGGAATTTAGCTATTGGGAGCAACTCGCACGCGCGAAGCCTGCAGTAATTCAGACAGGTCCAGGGCAAGAGAGAATATGATCCAGGTGGACGTATCGCACTACATCAGGTAAGCGATCCTATACCTGCAGTTTTTGACAGTCACAAAAAGCCAAGTGGACAAATGTTGAAGTATAAACATGTATTTTTAATAATCATATCTCATAGAACGATGCGCACACAAATGATTCGTCTGTTCCACTCCAGGAACAAGACATAATTCGAATCATAACCGATGAACAAAGTGACCCCTAACACACACCCTTAAGTGGTGTAGAAGAAGTCGGGGCGATTGTCACCCATAATCTCGATCTCCTCCTGAGTCTTGTTGTGCATCCAGTGATCGCGCTTGCCCTCCTTGCGGAGCCTGTTCTCGCGCTTGAGCATGAAGTGCATGAAGACGGTTCCACCGAAGAGGAAGAGGAACTGATAGGCGAGCACGATACCGTGGCCGGTCCAGTACCTGGGCTTCTCCTTCTGGGAGTAGATGTTCGACGAGACGACACCGTTCATGTTACCCCAGCCAACGACAACACCGACCATGACACCACGCTTGAGCGAGCCTTCGACATTGTTGGACGCCCATGTCAGAGTGTTGGAGACAGTAGGGTAGATACCGACGGCGCCAAGGAAGGTACCGGCGTACTGAACGTGCACGTTGTTGGTGGCGAGAAGCATGGCGAAACCGATGCAGCCGATGAGCGAGATGACCATATTGCAGTATCCGCGGAGCTTGGTGCGGTCACCAATGAAACCGACGACGACGGTCATGGCAGCAGCGACGGCGTAGGGAGGAACGGACATCAGCTGGGCCTTGGTACCGGTGTAGCCCATACCGAGGAGGATGGTGGGAAGGAAGAGCGAGAAGCAGTACAGAGGACACAAGCAGCCCATGTAGATGACGGCGTAACCCCAGGTCTTCCAGTCTGTGAGCGCGGCGTAGACGTGGCGGCGATCGATGTGGCCAACGGTGGCACGAGACTGGCCATCAGAGCGGAGACGGCGAAGTGCACGAAGCTTCTCATCTGCGGTGAGGAAAGAGGCGGTGTCCGGGAAGTCGAAGGTCATCCACCAGCAAACGCAACCGACAATAACGGTCATTAGACCCTCAATGATGAAGATCCAACGCCATCCCTGGTAGCCACCGAGACCGTGCATTCTGGTAATGGCAGCAGCGAGGAGACCACCGAAGGATCCAGCAAGAGCGGCGGCGGAGAAGAAGAGAGCGGCGCGAAGACCGAGCTCCTGGCGCTTGTACCAACAAGAGAGGTAATAGTTAACGCCCGGGAAGAGACCAGCCTCAGCGATACCGAGGAACCAACGGCAGGCAAGAAGACCGGCCTTGTTGTGGACAACACCCATGAGAGTCATGATAACTCCCCAGGCGAGGATGATAGCGGTGAAAAAGACGCGGGGGGACCACCTCTTGATCAGGATGTTGGTGAGCGGCTCGAAACCAGCGTAGGAGATGAAAAAGATGGTAAGGGCGTTGTTGTAGTCACGGCCACCCATGTGCAGGTCGGGCTCCATCTTCGCAACACGGGCGTTGCCAATGTTTGTGCGGTCCAGGAACGACAACAGGTAGAGGAGAGACAGCCATGGAATCAGCCATTTGTCCATCTTCCAGACAAGAGCTCGGTCCTAAGATGAATCAGCAAGAAATCAACAAACCATGTGGAAACGGAAGATACATACAAGTTTGGCTCGCTCCTCGTCGCTCTTGCCAGCATCTGGATCAGGAAGATCATCGTACTCGCCGACACCGTTGGAACTGGCGTCAGAGGAGTCGTTGTAGACGGCGGCAGACTTCTCGTTGTCGGAGCGGAGGGTAGGGTCAGTGGCCTCGAGGCCGGTGGCGGTGTTCTTCTCAGCAACCATGATGACTGATGGTGTTGGGAGAGCTGCAAAGGTCTTGTGGTGCACAACCAAACTCCACTTCTGGGGGGCGCCCGGGGTCTCTATATGTACTCGCGGTGCTCACCTACCGTGTCAAAAAAGTGCAGGTCTAGTACTATGAGCAAGGGTAGTGCAGTACTAGTGTCTCACTGGATCCGGGTCCCCATGGAGGCGGTTGGACAAGACACGGCGTTGGCGGATCCTGCTTGGCCCGTTTCTACACAGGGCGTCCGGGCGTGGCGTAGTAAGATTACAGCGAAAAAGGCTCTGGATGGTTGTTACGCCAGAACACGGTTACACGAAGGCATCGCATTTGTCAGGGCGGCCACACACGTTGTCTGCGACAGGAGACTCTGGACACAGCGAGCCGGTGTAGCCTTGTGCTTAGGATCTGTGAGATTCTGTTTTCAGCCGCCAGTCCCTCACCCAGGAGCGCGTACCGGTACCACAGCGGTCGATTAGCAACTGCAGTTGAATTGTCAATTATGTTGATATCGCCCTTAGGCAGTCACGACCCCTCTAACGATCGGGCCAAGAGCATGCTTCTGGCAAGTGTTGGATCGAGTGTGGTTCTCGAACCTCCGAGACGGCGTTTTGGTCGAGGCTGGGCGGTCCTCACGGAGCCAGTACTATCTCGTAAAAACGCCACCCAAGACCTTGGCACAACGCCCGTCTAGGCCAAAGCAGCACGCAGATACGGATGAGGCCTGCGGGCGGCGGGGGTGCATCGTAGGGATCGAAGCTTTGCCAGTGCGCCTCTGACTGTAGCACCGAACGCCCGCTCGTGTGCGGTGTATGCCAATTTGCACCCCGGAGTATTTTTTGCGACGGACGTTGCTGACGACTGCAGATCCCCAACGCTCCCTCCCCGCGTTCTCTGAGCGCGGAGCGCAGAATTCCATTTGGCTTGGCTCACTTGCCACTTGTGGGGCTTAGCAGCTCCCCCGCATTCGGAGGCCTCGCCGTGAAGGGGCGTGCACAATTTCCCCAGACAATGCTGGAGTGCACTGTAATTAACAGCCTGGCCTTTGCCCTAGCCCCAGCCTATTCCGCTACCGGGAGCCTAGCCATGCTTAGCACAATTGGGTAAGGTCCGCGGCAGGGGCTCACACAAAGCCACCGCTGACGGACGCCCAGTGCACGCAGGCGAGCAGCAACATCGGATAAAAGGAGTATTGCTGCGCTGCGATTCGCTCGCAAATCGGCCATGGCGCCTGTGCCAGCGGGACCAAGGGAACGCTGATCCGCGGCTGCTCAAACATGTCGCCTGTCTGGCGTTGGGAACAGCAATTACCCACCCCTGCTGCCATCCTTACACTGCCAACGCGTACGACTGCGCGTGTCCCAGGGTACCTACCTGCTTGATGCAACAATCGCGCGGTTAGCATGGTACACTATCAGCAATTAAGTGTAACATGAGCGCGTCCGAACCTGGGCTGCGGAATCGTTGTTGCACCACTCACCACCGACGGCCAAGAATATCCCACACGTGGCCGCCCGCCAGCCTTGGTATTCAGTTGAGTCTGCTTACCACCAATTGCGCATCTTCTATGCTACTCTGCATTCTCTGTGTTGACTTTCATAGACCATCGGTTTGTCATTGTTGCGCTGCCCCGAGCCAGCCCTTCCCGATCCACTGCCTTCCACTTTGCCAAGACAAAGGTCCTTAGACTCAACCACTAGTTAAACTACAGATCCAAGCCCTCTTCCGCAACCAAGATACCGATTTAGGCTCCAAGGCGCCGATTAGTGCGGCTTTGCAGTGCACCAGCCGATCCACCATGTGCTGGTGGCATAGCCAAGGCGCCTTGTCGCGTGGTGAAGCGATTTGGATGCACGCAATCGTGACAGTTCATTGTCTGTCGCCAAGTAGTACGCTGCTGTCCGCTCGGCCGGTTGACCGCTAAGTGATCAGCGAGCGTTAGACGTCTACGAGAACCCAGTGCCAGGTGTCTGGATCTGTAGTCACCGTTATTGTCGAGTCTAAGCTTGCGATCTATTGTCGCAGATGTGATAGCTTGAACACAAGCAGATCTGGATGCGTCTGGTTCAGAATTGGTAAAGCATGCAGGCGACATGAAGCTAGGTAAGCATTCCGGAGGGGTGTCAATCCTTTTCGATCACCGATTGCCCTGCGCGCCTACCTTATGAGCACAGGGCAGCCCTAATCCGCCACGAACTTGTTGGTGCTGCACGCCTACCCCAGTTTCTGCCCTTCCGAGATGACTGAAACCGAAACAGAGGTCCATCCGCGCGCACTGTCTCTGGGGTAAAAAGGTCTGACTGTGCCGCAATCTCGCAAGATTGTGTGATTGCTGCGGGACAAGTGAGAGATGCCGCTGAGGACGTGTTAAACGCAAGGGCATGCACACATGGATGGTCTTTGCCTTTTGCGCACGGTAAGGCGTCCTTCAATATTCGTGATATGTTTGTTGTTAGCTTCATGTGCGATGTTCTTATTGTGTCTATCCTGCTGTTGAACAGTGGCGTACGCTGTGCCTCCAGCCTGTACAAACTACACACACACGTCCATACGTGCCACACTGGGGTCATGGTCGGACACCTGTTCGTCGTACGAAACCCACGTCGTCAGATGGACATGCTCGTACTTTGCCTTGCTGGTCAGGCTGGGTGAGATAAACATGTGGTCCAGCTGCTGCGCATTCATGTCGAACAGATACGTGTAGCGCTCCAACTCATCGATGCCGGCGACAGCGTCCATGTCCTTCAGTCCTGATACGGACACGTACTGCTTCATCGGCTCGACGAAGGTGAACTCGTTGAAGTCGCCGGCTGTGATGATACGGGCGTTCTTGTCTTTGCTGAGGATTTCCTGCGCGAGGCGTTAGCGAAGATATGATAGATGGACCGAGAAGGGATGTGCTAGAGGAGCGTCCTTTCATGCGGATGGTGGCGTCGAGTACTACCGCGGCTGACACGATGCATCAAGCACTCTGCAGCCTCTCCGCAAAGTGCGGGATTGAGTTCTCTTGGGATCGTCTGAGACTCTAGGATTCTGCAACTCACCTTGACAAAGTTCGCCGTCAGTGTCGACTGCTCCAGTCTCTTATCCACACCTCCGTTGACAGGAGGTCGCGCATCCCCCATGATGCTGCTGCTCCCTCCCTTGGAGCCAAAATGCACGTTGATGGTGAAGAAGTTGCCCGAGCTGACGCCCTTTTTGCCAATGACTTCCCACTGTGCGACGAGCGGCTTGCGGCTCGATGTCCAGGCCGCGCTCGCAGGCTCGATGCGGCCAGGGTTAAAGCTGAGCGCAGGGCCGTTGATGACCTCGGTCTTGTTGAGAGAGCCGCCTGGATTGGGCTTGTAGAGACGCACAAGCGACGGCTTGTACAGATACGCGACGCGGATGTTGCCTCCGGGCGCGCCTCCGTCTTGGTTGTTCACGGGAGCGATGTCGACGAAGGTGTAGTTCGGACCTCCGGCGGCGCTGATAGCCTTGGTAAGGGTGGTCAGGGTAAGGTTTGCGGACACGACTGGGCGATTTTAGTGTAAGGTACAAACAGACATGTAGGTGCTGTCGGCAGCGCAGCGCGGTGGAACGGATTCGGCTTCGGTTATTGACCTACCTGCATTGTTTGTCGCACCGTTATCGTCCTGGACTTCCTGGATGAACACGACATCCGGGCTCTTCAGGTAATCGACAATCTGCTCGGCGACATGAGGCAGATGCGAGGATGTTGGCGCCAGGTTCTCGACATTGTATGCGCCGAAGGTGATGCCGCCGCAGTCGTTCTTCGATTCCAGCTTCGTGGGCTTGGGTGTCAAGGGCTCCTTCGAACCAGTGACTTTCAGAGCAGTTGAGGGCAAGATGCGGTAGTAACCGAATGCGTAGGTGACTACGCCGGTGATCTCTTCGAGACTGTCGCCCATACGAGTCTCGGTGGGGTTATTGGTGCCATCGAGCGGTGTGCCGACGATGATGGCTTCTGGGTTGGCGTCTTTATCGGTCATGGTGAGACCGTCGCGATCGTTGTTTCCGGTGGCCTTCCAGCTTCCAGCAACCCAGGTATCACCGTACTGGTTCGGTTTTGTGAGCGCCCTCGCCTTCTTGACTGTGACCAGCTCGCCACTCAAGCTCTCCCAGAAGTCGAGTCCAAACTTCTTTGGCTCGAGAGTAGGATTCGCAACGCTGATTTGGGACTTGTTGTTCGGCACCGCGAAGACGTCACCTCCATCCAGGCTGCTGTACTGCTCTGTAGGCGGGTTGCCAGTGTCTTTTCCAATGACAAGCGGTGTCACTTTATTGCCCTTGCTGATAACTTTTTCAAGGACCGGAATTGTGATCTCCGTCAGGTAGATGTAGTCTTTGCTGCTGCGGTACTCTGTCACCTTTCCTCCTAGGGTGATGGCATCGCCCACAGTCAAGTTGGCACCAAACGTACTACCATAAACGTAAACGGATTCAGAGGTACGCTCGTCGCGGTCAGGCGTTGTCGAACGGATCCAGAGACCCGCAGGTCCCTTCGCAATAATCACACCGGTCACGTTAGACACAGTCTGGTCCTTGAGGGGCGACAGGTAACTGTTGCCGTTGATCTCAGCGATTGTCGTTGCAGAGGAGACCACGAGGGAGGCCGCGAGGGCAAACAGACGCGTGAGAGGAGCCATTGAGTCGATGCGCTTCGTCCACGAACACGCTGATCTGCAGCGAGCAGCTCTTGCTCTTATACAAGGCCTGCTCCACGGTCACTATCCACGGCCACCTGTAGAGCCCCTGCCCAGGAACCAGGATTGGAGCGCACATTGCCATGTGGGGCTCGCACGCTTGCCTTGTTACTGGCATCTACACCGCGCATTTAGCTGATTTCCTATGATAGCAGGAGATGATCAGTTTTCGAAGTCGCGCGAAGCTGTCCGCTGCTTGGCACTGAGGCGCGCGTCGACGCGTGCTGGGTCTGATAGGTCAGGAGATGCCGCGGAATCCGCCCAATGTAGAAGGTGGGTGGAAGTGGAGATTGGGCGGCGACTACCGGAGCAGTGGCTGATGGATACCTCCTATCATCCAAAGATATGGGCGAGATAACACACGTGTGCTCGAGAGGTAGTCTTGAGACATGCGACGTTCAGGGGAGAGTTGATGCAGATTGATGTTGTGGCTGAAGGTACAGACGAGCCACCAATCACAGCGGCGCACGTGAGGGCTGGGAGTTGTCAGGTTGTTTTGTGGTCCTCATCGCGTGGCCTCCTCATCTTCACTGCTTTGTTGAACTTATGCAAATATTCAATCCAACTTGCGGGCTTCCTTCAGCACGAAAGCCTGTGTCGAAACGGATGTGCGGGATGGGATAGTGGCCGAGTGGTCAAGCGCATTCCAAAGCCGATCACAAAGTGGCAGTTCGAATTTAACATCACTCTTTTGTATTGTGAGACCTTCACGAATGTACTCAGGAACACTGTGCGTGAACGTAGCAGAGTGTTTTGAAGACCAAACAGGCTACAGCTTGCATATTATGGACAGCGTACAGCTGTTGCTAGGCGAATTCGACTGACATCATCGCTGCTCGCGCCCTCACTTCCACCAATCGTTCAACTGGAAGATCACCACAATGCGACCATCACGGCTGTGCATACCGCTAATAGCAAGCCGAAGCCCGTTGTGGTCTGTCTGCAGTGATCACTCTGATGGTTCCCCTCTCTCCGCGTGCCTTCACATCAACAAATATGGCCTGCCAAGCCTAACTCGAAAGGGTGGCAACTCGTGCAGCAATCACGATCGCACAGGACACTTCTCCCTCCATATCGCACACAAATCGACGACCATCACACCGTGAATACAATATGCTTCCACCCAAAGCAGATGACACCTTGCACAACACGCGCTCAATTGACAACTCGACGAACGACAATGACGCCACTCAGCACCTAGCTGACCAATATAGTCATCTGCCACTCAGATCACGGATATGGGAAGATCTGAAATTTTCCTTTCATCGAGATGCGCAAGTCCGTGCTCCGTCGTGAATCTCACAGGCTAACATAATGCCAGCTACACCGGGGCGCTGCTCTTCAACCTATGCGCTTTCGTGCTACCAGCTCTATACGGTACACTCTCGAAGCTTTGGGTAGCCAACATAGACTCATCCATGGTCGTCACCACCGATATCTACACATACATCGGTGTTGTCGCTGAAGTCCTCAATGAAGGATTGCCACGTGCTTCGTACCTGGTCATTGGCGACAAGACGAGTCGCACCTTCCGCGAGAGAGTTCAGCTTACCCATACCCTGATCTTTTTTCAGTCGATTGTGGGCTTCATTATGAGTCTTGGCTTCGTCTGCGGTGCCTCTACGTTTGCCAAAGGCTTTGTGCCAGCAGAAGTGCGAGAAGTGAGCGTGACCTACGTCCGCATATCTGCTTTCTCCGCCTTCAGCTCTGCAGTCGAGTACGCAGTGAATACCTCCACACGTGCACTTGACAAGCCAGATGTATCGCTTGTCATCAGCTCGGTCAAATTTGCTGTTAATATCATCCTGGACTTGATAATCATCTCTAAATTCCACGTAGGTGGCATCACACCCACGGTCAACATGCAAGCCGGCATCTCACTAGCGTGCAATGTTGCTTCGGCATTTGCGGGTCTGGCTTACTTCGTCTACACTACGAAATACAGCAACTGGTCTGCCATACACCAAGACACATCTCATACCAGCCTCCGACCTTCTCTGCCAGCTCTGTGCACATTGCTCAAGCCTGGCTTCATCTTCGTCACCGAGTCTGCGATCCGCAATGCGCTCTACTTATGGCTAGTGCACGGTATTGTTGGTCTCGGCAGTGACTATGCAACTGCGTGGGGTGTCTTCTCCACAATTCGATGGGGTCTCATTATGGTTCCAGTATCAGCGCTGGAAGCGACTGCTCTGACATTCGTTGGCCACTCCTGGGGATACATACGCGCCAAGATTGGGGACCTTGACTCTTCTGTTCGACCTCGATTGTCCAAATACCAGGTCTGGTGCATTATTCGTTGGGCCTTCTACTCTGCGGCCATCGTCCTCATCTTCGAGATCCCGCTCTGTCTTCTCATGTCTTTCCTCGGCGCACGACCCTTCGCCCACTACCTTTCAGGGTCTGACGAAGTGTCTAAGATCGCGGCACGTATGTGGCGCACTATTGACTGGTGCTACATCATGTACGGCGTCTCGACACAGCTTGCTGCCATATTGGTATCAACCCGACCCAAGTGGTACTTGTATCAGTCGCTTGCTTCGAATATACTCTACGTACTGCCTTGGGCAATTGTGTGTCAAGTCATGGTCATGAACTTGGGAGATGCATGGACTTATCATAGCCTGGTATTTGGAGGCAGTCTTGTGTTCTCATTCTTCACGATCATCGCTGTTATCGGAGTGTGGGCTTTGAGGCAGGTGAGAGGAAAGATGATGATATAACACTATATCCTGGAAGTCTTCCGGTGACTCCCGCACCGGCAATCAATCAAGAGCCAGACCATGATAAAGCAAACGTCTTATTGTAAGTCATTGTTACTGTACAATACTCAAAGAAATGTTCGATGCAACGTGTGAACTGAAGACCCAACATCTCGTGCTAGGTCGCGTTGGAGGAATTCACTCCCAGGAGTGATATCGATGCATAAATTACACTTGCCCTTTAGAACGACGCCGGATGAGTTTAGCCGCAAACTGCTGATGAGTCAAAGTCCCTCAATTCAAGAACGTCGGAGTTCCTTGGCGAGTTCTGATCCAGGAAAGGAGATATCTTTCCCTACTTTACATCTCCACGCCTTTCAATCTGTCGTATCGGCTCATAGGGGTGTTCTTTGCAGGTATCTGATCAGTAGTCCGTTTTCCCTTACGGTTGTGTAGCCCAGGATCACCGATGATGGAGCTTCCAGCTAATATCTCTCGTCAACGTATATTTTATAGTTCTTCTGCAACACCGTTGCACCATTTTTACAGTTACGAACCCATGATGATGTTTCAAGGTAGGTTTAAATTCTGTTTCTGACGCTGAAACTTCGCGAACTTGCCAACACTAAACAGCTGAGCTTTTGCTCAAGTCTTGAACCCTTAGAAACTCTTATGGTACTCAGCAGAAGTCGATGATTCAAAACACATGTCCATCATTAATTTTGACAGAGTCAAGCGTTCGTATGGTAATAGGCAACTATATGAGACGGTGACTAAGTCGAAACTAGATTTGCCGCATTCTGGCTCTAGCTTTCGATCTGGGTTGACTACATAGCAGCACAAATCATGGCACCATCCCGCAGAGTAGGTATACAGCTTCTATAGAGCACCAAAGTCAAAAAGACGGGTACAAGGAATTTCCATTGATGTTCATGGAAGTTAAAGATCGTCTCTTCTGTCCAAATTCGATTGCTCCGTGTGCCCTTCTTGCGTCGCGCACGACCCTTCAACGTTGCAAGAGTGTGCGGCTCGTCACCCAGAGATGTTGGGTCCTCGACGGGTAATCTGCTGTCATTGAAATTGTTGTCTGGGAATAAAATCATCGCTTTCACTAGCGGTTTCAGCTGTGTAAACGCTGTGGTGGCAAAAACGATTCTGGCATCCTTCAGGATGAAAGGGATTAGGTCGTCCGGTATCTCATCTGGCTCCTCAATCTTCAGTACTGCCACGAGTGCTTTTCTGCTGATGATGTGTTCAAAGTCGCCCCGAGGCACGAAAGAATAAGGTGTCTTAGCAAACTTGCTCCTTACCAACTTCCTCGTCAGAATGCCGCCCAATGACTCTAGTTCCTCATCTGAGGAACTATCTGGCTCGGACAAGATCATTGTGACAAAGCCCAGTGCTTGAGTCAATTTCAGCAAAGGCTGCTGGAAATATAAGAGCGCGCCTTATTTATCGGTATGCTTGTCCTTGAGTCCATGACGGCTTCTTGCACCAGCTAGGAGTACTGAATGGTCCCTAGCAGGGTATCCTAGCGATGTATACCCATCACCTCAATCCTCCCCTCGTCAAAATCTCCAGCGTCGAAGTTCACGAGCGAATGGGTGTCCAGCAAGCCAGGACAGGACAAACGTCGCTCCAGTGCAGCGCCTGAAGACTATAATAGACTACTTAGCAGGGCCAAGTACGGAGAAAATTATTGCCAGATCTGTGGTTCCTTCGGTGGCGCTCCCAGGGCGGACAACACTTGTGCATGGCTCAAAACTGTCACCGCAATTGGAGGTCGGGTACGGTAGTATGTTTCAGCAGAAGACAGCACCTGCTACCGTACAACGGCATCCTCAGAACGGGAGGTCATCTACTACAAGCAAGCCTCTGTCCTTATTTCTCCCAGAGCATTTGCCCTTGCGTCGCGAGCACAATGGAACTGCTCAAAAACCTCTCAAATACCGCCCATTCAAAGCTATCGAAGCATCCCACAAGATGCGTAATGAGTTCATTCCAGAATCCGAGATCTCTACTCTGTTGACACAAGCCACAGTAACAGCGGAGATTTCAAAGCATGACCATTCACTGCGCAACCGCATCAGAAGGTCGAATGCTGACCTCGAAAAACGTGCACAAACCATATGCGGTATTCCATCCGAAACGGCAACTACCAATTACCGCAAGGTGTTCGCCATCCTCTTACTCATCAATCGACCTCACCGAATCTTGACGTTCATCCATAACAAAGTCTCCGACTCAGACCTCCCACTTGTCAAGGCTCCGTGGAGTAGACTTAGATCCAGCAAAGATCCTTCTGCATTCGTCTCATGCTTGACATGGAAAGATCGTACCATTTCCGAATTCGAAAAACGCCAGTGGCTCGTTTTAGCCCCGTCGTTCAACCCTTGCAGGTCGGATTGTGTGCCGCACCTCACTCTACCATCTGAGGTACATCTACCGTTCATCTGCCAGAAGCGATTACCCCGGGCAGGTGGTTCGTGCCAAATTTACAAGGTCCACATCCATTCGTCTCACCACAATTTTGACACAAGTCAAGTGAGTCAACAACCCTTTGCGAAGTGTCGCACACACTGACCCAGGGTATCATGTCAGATAGTTTGCGGGACTTTTGCGGTCAAAGAGATTTAGTCTAGTACGAAGAAGGACTTCAATCAAGAGGTTGACATATTGAAAAAGCTCAGTAGCTATCACAAACACGAGCATCTCATCACGCTCTTAGCGACATATGAGTAATACTGGAAGTTTCACTTGATCTTCCCATATGCCCCAAAAGACCTAGAACCTTATTGGAAAGACAAAGAGGTCAATACTGACAGAAACGATGAAGTGACTATGTGGATGATCAAACAATGTCAGGGACTTGCAGAGGGACTCTCGGCTATACATCGCTACCGCACGTACTCCTTGAAAACCTCGCTTGCCACGGACTCCAACGAAGCGAACAGTGCAAGCTTTGCTAATGCATCGGATGCAAATCCAGGCCTGAGGAGGCTCTTTGGCCGACATGGCGACATCAAACCGCAAACATTCTTTGGTTTCCAGGAAATAGATATGGTACTTTAAAAATCACTGATTTCGGACTCACTCGCTTCAGCGCAGAGAACAAAGGACCCAAGAGGATAAGATGTTTTGTTCCCAATTCACCTACATACCGTTCACCAGAATGTGACTTGCCCAATGGGCCACTCAGCACTTTGTGCGATATGTGGGCACTTAGATGTGTGTATCTCATCTTCGTGACCTGGTACCTAGATGGCTTCAAAGACGTAAAGGCTTTCGCATATGCACGCCTAATTGAAGACGAGTACTGGGAAAACATATCTACGGACTCTTTCTTCGTCATTACAGGGAAAAAATCAGGGACCCCACGTGCGAAGGTAAAGCCCTCAGTGGCCGAAGTGGGTTGCACCTTACACAGCATACTGGTTCGAGTAGAGCGCTGAACAGGACAGCAAATCAATACCACTAAAGCCCGTGAAGACTGTCCTAAAGCGCTCAAAGATCTTGTAGACGTCGTTGAGCAGCAGATGCTAGTCGTGTATCGATACCAACGTGGCACCCATGTGAGCACGTCTGGACAAGTCACGGATCAGGAAGGCTCAGCTCAACGGACCTGGTCTCAAATGAGCTCTAGTACTATATCGCAGGAGCTGGGCAACATACAGCAAAGACTCAACAAGACATGCTTATTGGACGCTGAGCCGTGATGATAGCTTCCCACACTTGCAAACAATGTTGCAAGACATTCAAAAGTACTGCAATGCAAAATGGCATATCTCGCGCACTTTACACATCTTGTAACACAATGTAAATTTGATGTTGTGAGGCTTCGCAACGTGCCCGAACGACCCATAACCGACCTGTTAGTGTCAACCGCCATGATCTGCAACACAACGCGCCCTGAACTCTACAAGTGGTGACGGAAATTACGTGTTAGAGTTACTTATGACTTACTCCATAGGCACTACATTGTGCTATCGTATATGTGATACCACTCATGCAGATTACGCAGAATCTGCTTGCTTGGCGCTATCGCAATTTGCCACTTTCACGAACGCAATGACGCCCTCATTATGTATAGCCATCCATCTACAGTGCATCACATACACCGGCTGAAACGCGCGAATCGTGAAGACCGTCTCGAAGTCCTGTGCGCCTAAGCTGTGTTTACTTCGCATTACAGTCACTGTTGAGTTTATGCTTCGGCCACATGTGGCCCGTCTGATCCCAGCGCTACGTTGCATTAGCCTCTGCGAACCCGCCATATATAAGTGCTGACTTACAGTAAAGTTGGGATTTGTATAAGCATTCATATGCTTTTTGATATACTTCGTCGTCTCAAAGCCCGGCGGGTCACATGTAACCAGCTTCTCCTCATCCTTCTTCTGGTACCACCTGACATAATCTACCCGCATCACGGCGGGGAACTTCATGTGCTCCCAGTCAATCCAGGTCCAGGAGTTACTGATGCCCAGGTTGAGGATGAGACTCATGGGCTCCTCGGATATCTGGCGGGCTTGGATGTTGCCATTGGGACCAATCGCGCGGCCATCCATCATGAACATCATTTGGTCGCCGACTTGCCAGCTGATGTAGGCATCTTTACCTTCGCCGGGGACATACTCGAAGGAGTAGCGCTGGTAGGCTTGGCCGTCAAACCAGTCTTTGTTCAGATTAGTGGTCGCCGAGATGGCCTGTTGGTAGGGACCGCCGGTGTAGCCGTTGTACCAGCTTTGGCTGTAGTCAGGGAAGGCGGTATAGTTGTAGTTGGGGTACCAGTACACATCGAAAGGCGCGACTTGGAAGGACTGCGTTGCAATGGGCATATTGTGTGGTGGGTACGTCGCGCCAACTTCAATGATGTCGATTTCAGGCGCGCCACGGCCGGTGCCAGGGGTGGGGTGATCTTCGCCTTTGCAGGTGCAGGAATTGAGGCGTTGGCCAGGGAGATTCGAAAGACCGTCAGAAGAGGACTGGTTAGGTGTGATGCCGACATCGCAGGCCTGGTAGGTGTACGGCCACATGCCATCGGTAGTCGAGAGGTAGCCCGGTCTTCCCAGGTTGCCCATCGTCCATGCCCCAGGCCACATGCCCGGTACACCAGCTGGTCCAGGCAGCGAAATCGAAACCTCAAAGATGCCGCCCTTGAAGCAAAGGTGGTTCCAGCTGTTGAGCATACCAGACCGGAAGTTCAGACCATGGTTCGGAAATTGATCTAGGCGTAGCTCCAGTGTACCCTCCCAGGTAGTCACTGCATCCGGGTCATACCACTCCAGGTCCCTTGTGGCTCCGTACCAGATGTCAGGAGCAAAGAAGTAGGGATCGTCGCCTTCGTAGAATGTGCGGTTGTTGTCGTTGAACTCATCGCTGAAGACCAACTCGTATTCGTCGCCGAACTGACCCTTCTTTTTCAAGGCGCTCTGAGGCGTATCTCGGTCGATGAGGCCGTGCCGCATGTTCTGGAGCAACGGATAATCCTTACTGTTGACGATTGCCCAAGGCTCTGGTTTGGGGTAGTGCGACATCTGGTCGAGTGGCGTCGAATATATCGAGTTGTAGTTCGTAAGGCCCAAAGCCGACAGGATGGGCAGACCAAAGAAAATCATGGAAAGTCCAATTATCATCATGAACAAGCCTATGGTTGAAGCTACGTTTTCTTTCGAGAAGTGCTCCTTGAACTTTGTCTTGTATTTGATGTCGTCGTCAGGTTGCGGCATGTGCATGTCATCGTCTGACTCGTCTTCATCGCCTATCAGCGGCCAAGTTGCCGTGCCCTTCTCATCATATGGCGCAACGAGTCGATCATCGATTAGTGAAGCGTTCTTCTCCAAGTCGTACAGGATGTTAATCTTGGTCGTCGACGCAGTCGGTGTGAGATTCGGTGTCAGAAAAGGGTTCACGGGATAGACTGTAGCTATTGGTGTAGTCGTGCTAGAAGTCGGCGCTGACTGTGAAGCGAGCTTCTCGGAAGACGCGCTCCGTGCGCCAGCAAAGTAGGGGTTGAAGTATCGTGTATAGTCACTACCAAGATCTTGCATGGTCAGCGGGCTGCCGGTTGGGCGACCATTCACGGCCGTTAGATTTTGTGAGCTCTTGTATTGCGTTCGTAGCGGTTGTCGAGGCGGAGACCGTGGATATGGACGCCGTTGCGGCAGTGCGTCAAGCCCAAGTGCGGGCTGCTCTGAAGGTGTGACTGCATCTTCACTCGACTTTGACGCCTTTGACTCTCTTGATTTGATCGTTTCTTCACTGTTGGTAGAGGACCTTGCTGGCTTGGGTGAAGGTGAAGATGATGGTGAGCGCAAGCTTCGTCGCCGTTGGGTCTGGAACACTGGTCCTGAGGATGTCGACCCAGAGAGCGAACGCGTAACATTGTTTGGCACAGTCGCGTGCATCTGAAGAGGTTTCGCAGGTGGAGAGCCTGCTGCTTCTGTTTCCAAGGGACGCAACGATGATGCAGCTCTTCCAGCATTCAGATTGACACCTGATCGCCCTGCCCGCTCAATATCCCCTGTTTCCCGTGCCAGCGAACCCCGCGACGCGGGTCGCGACACGACCTTTTGCGGTGGGATCATCGTTACCACTATTTCATTCCTGAAGTTCGGCCCTTTCTTCCCCAAAAACAGTTCCCGACTCACACACCCCGCGATAGACAAGGGATGTTGCTTTCCTCAGGCGACCTCTGCACAATTGCCTGAACGCACTCGCAATTGCCTGAATCGATTGAGATGGAGTATGCGGTGTTCAAGACGTCCCACGGAGAGCTCCTTATTGGAAAGCTTAGACAGGGTGTGTAACCGGGGCACCACTGTTACACTGGAAGGGAGCGAGAGTCGTGGTGGTGTTTCTGCAGGTGCGCAGGTGCGTGATTGAGTAAGCGGAGGGGGAATTATTCCATCATATGTTGGGCCAGCGAGCGAGGTGAATACAGAAATAAGGCAGCAAGCAGAGCGCTCTTGTTGGGCTCATGATCTAGGAAGAACAAGGGAGTTGATAGTGAACCGAGTAACGGGTGAACGTGCTCTGCTTAGCCAATCAGCGTCCACTTCACTTTCACGAGAAAGTACAATGCGGCCGCATCAAGCGTAATCGAAATGAGTCGAAGCTCGTCTAGCATGATGCAGCACGAGCTTGCTGAATGCATGCACCAGTCCGAGGCTACCGTGCCGTACGTCTGGAAACTTTCGTGAATACGATGAGGAAATTGCATTGTGAGAGACTGATGTTGTCGCATCGACAACTCAAGGGTAACATGGTGGGCGTCGAGCCTCAGCAACGCTTGGTTTAAAGTTGCAGGTCCAGCGCAGAAGCGCCCATCCAGAGGACACCCTGTCAAACAGCAGTGCACGGACTCCCGCAATATCGAAAAACGACAATGCCCTAGGATCTTTTTCGTTGTGCAACAAGCCACGCTGATACTGATGAGCCGACCAGGCGAGTCTTGAGATGGCTGCAGATGCCGACCAGTCATCATTTCTTTCCCTAAGACCAGCTCCTCGTTGCCCCTTGCTGGTGCAGACCGCTGAGATACTAACTAGTAACCAGTTATCTCGGTCAATTGGCTGACTCGAATTCGAGTGTTATGAGTAACAGCCGAACGGTGTTTGACCTCAGAATAAGTTGTCGACCCTGTAGATAGATATATATCGCGTGTTTCGGCGCATGCGCCGTCGTGGTTGAGCGCGGAAGAGCCAACCGCTCGTTGGGAGCCTAACAAAGGTAATGCACATGAGCGTCGATCAATGTTACGGTATTTGATCCAGCGGCGCGCGTTCAATTGTGAACAATATAGGTCCGTCTGTCTCAACTTGTACTTCTTCAGCCTTGACATGATTGCTCGTACTGACTTGACCGCCTATCTGCGTGAACCAGTCCTTTACGTCCCACTCCAATCCGGCCGTGCTGATGGTCGCTGGGCCGTAGACGGGAACAAGACCCAAATTCTCAGTGAACAGGCCGCTTGACATGAGATTGCGAACAACGGTTCGTCTCCTCCTGAGGATGATCGAGAGACTCGACTCAGAGAACAGCCACAAGCGCAGGTTTGGGTGCTTCGTCTCTTCTCTGATCATCTCGTGCAGAAGTCCAAGGCCTTGGTCCACTCGACCTGCGAGAGTGCCCAGAATCAAAACGTCCTTTTGCAATGTTGCGTTGTCTCTTGCAGAGATCTTCGACATTGTCTTTCCAAAGTCTGTGCTGTACTGGTCACCGTCTCGTAGCACTTCGACACCGTGCGACTCATAGTACGTACGTACATCGTCGCGCAGGGAGTCGAGGTCACCATGAATGATACTTGGAAGCTATGAACGACTTAGCACTGCGTGTGCCGCTGGCGTATATTTGGCTGCTTACATATTGATCTCTCCGTGTTTCGAGAGCGCCTTTGAACATATCATGCAATCTGTTTGCACCACCATCTGCGCATATGCGATAGATACTATGTTTCCACAGACGCGAGAACGTAGCAAAGTTGGTGATAGGCTGGTTCAGAATGAGCAGATCTGGTGGATTCGATGATTTTTCAGGATGGTCGCCCTCGGCCAGAAAAATGGTCGGGTCGAGAAAAGAGACATCAGATGCACTCATACTTCCAAAACAAAACAAAAGATGGTGCGACCGAAGAGTGAAAGCAGGAGACGAAAGTGAGTGATGATGCAGGCACCGGTGGGATGGATGCGCGATGAGCCTGACGCCATTAGGCGAGACGCGCTAGACAAACGCGCTGCACGTGATCGACTTCATCACTCTTCCATTCACTCGTGTGCCATATTGTGCAATCTACTGATACTTTGAAACTGCTTTTCTGAAATCCGATCCACAGTGTCGCAATAAAGTGCGCGACCCTGGCACAGCCTTCTCACCTGCGTTGAAAATTCTGGCCTACGCGGTCACCGAAGACCAACTCCGAAACCCGTTCGACACCGGCGAAGTGGCTTTCAGGCATTGCAGCTTTCTCTGCAAAAGCTCTCGCCGCTCTCCAAAATTCTGGTATTATCCGGAAACGAGACAAGCGTCGTGTCCTGGGTTGACTTGCTGCGCCTGCGAGGATACTGGCGAAAGACTCTACGCCATGGCTTCACCTCAGAAACGCAAGTTACGAGGCTGTCATGTTGATATAGTTCTACCTGGAGGGAGTAACTTCGAGGCAGTTCAACTGCATTACGGCTCTTGCAGGCGATATACTGTAGAGCGGCTGTGTCAATCTTTGCACCGAACCGTCATTCCTTTCAACAGAAGCCTTGTTCACAGACTGATCACCTGCGCCTCAACGAGATCCTTGAGTTGAGACAAGAGTCGATCTTGAAGCTACTACACCAAGATACCCTACTGAGATCCCATCTCTCTCATACACCGACCTTACATGTGTCCCATGGCTCGAAATTCAGCGGATACGATCTGGAAGAGCTCCTACAACGGACATCCGCGTTTCATCTCAGATCAACGTAACATCACATTTTTATCCCGAGCCTGGTCGCAGAACTGGTCATCAGTAAGGCTGCAGTGTCTCTCAGTCATCCAACCGGACATGGCCTCTCGCCTACGTAATTCCCGAGGTACTGGCCAGTGGCTTGTCATTCAAACCTGGGCAGGCCCCATCATTGTGCGGGACCAAAATGGACCAATCTCACTGCGCCACTGTAACAGAGACCTGGCACACCACAATCAAGCTTCAGTTCTCTATCGAGCTTCACTTGTCAGGACGACGATAGGGTTCTAGCTGCAGGGATATTCCGGTCGTGGCGTCCGGAGACGAGCAGCAAAAGTGGGGTTCTGTCACCACGAATTGTCAGGCCCTAGCGGGACCACCACCACCACAGTCGCCTGAACTAGGAGATTATCACTCATACGTCGATATTTTTCCTCTCCATTTTGCAAGACTCCACTCTCAGACGTGCCACAAGTGCAGCAGATTCTTCGGTGACATGATCGCAACATAGTCTCGCTGCGGATATGTACATCTAATCCCTGTAACCGATCGATCGTGCACTGGCAAGTACAAGCCCTAAAGCCATACATTAACTCCGGCTTCGCACTACGGTTAAGCCTCGATTACCATTGATGCTTGCGCAGTACCTGTAAGCGTGCAGGACGCACCCCTGCCGATCCGGACTCTTGAAACCTGCACAGCTGCCTTCGAGTGCGTCTAGCATCGCGAATTGCTCACTGAGGTCGGGGATCTGTTCACACCAGGAGCACTTGTTTGCTCTAGAGCTAAGTCACAGACTGACTCGACAACACCTCCACCATTAGTGTTCATCACTTACTTACGGAACAGGCTATGCAGGTTTGTCGCCAGTGGGGTCTTGCATCATGTCGGCTCTTGAACCGGGCGGCCACCCCATTGACCGTGAAATCAGTGCCAAGCCCGACCGCAGCTTCGAAACATAATGTATATCAAAGTTGATACCCGGGTTTTCGAAATGACCTGCATCCAATACGGCTCAAACACACATTCGTTCACTGCTCTGCAACACAATAGTTGGTACCAGGAACTGGTTTCCCACACTTCAACTCACTTTCCTCAGAATACTTCTAAGCAATGTCATGTTCCTTGATGATGGGACAAGCAGCAAATATCAAGCCAGTACCATCGACTGCCTCATCAAATACCTCCTGCCCAGCAGCATTGACATTAACACCTCCAAATCCTTATGCAAGAGATCCATCAAGACGAGCAATAGCATGCGTTACTTGCGCAAAAGCGAAGACACGATGCGATAAAGCTGTGAGACGCCAAATTTACCTCCAAAGTAACATCTCCATGCTAATCACCTAACAGTTACCATCATGCTCCCGTTGCATTACTAAAGGCTTGAAGTGCGACCCGCGCTCCACTCGCCGCACAGCAGATAACAACCATCGCACCTTTCCCACCAAAAGACCTTTCGTAACACCGAAGCGCTTCCTTACCCCGGGCGTTTTACTCTCCTCGGACAGCTTTCCTTCGCCACGCAGCATCCCCTCAACGAGACCACGCAGCATCATGCGCGCACCCTCACACATCGACTTCCGCACCGCCGTCAAGATGAGCCAACAGACAGCTATCATATCCGGCGTGCCCAAACTCATGCCACTGCCCTCATATCAGAGTCAGATCATCGATGAGTGCTATTCGTACATACCAAGCCCTGAGCCAGAGCTGAGATACACGCCTGATATTGAGCAAGATGGCTTCCCGTGCTCGAGGGGAGGGACACCGCAGACACCTATCGATACGTTTGGCTTCAATGATCCATTTCCGTTTATTGAAAATCTGGAATACCTGGACGGCCAGCCGTGGTCTGGAGATGGCCTAGTACCTGTTGGTCTGGGATTTGAGGATATGCAAATGTTGATGCCAGACGATAGCTGGACAACACCAGAGCCTGGTCAGGTGGCGCAGGCGAACATGTTCGCACAGAATCCTGAGATGCAAGACAGCTTCGACACTTCGCTCGATACATTGTCTGCTGACTGGTCTGTCTTCCGAATGCCAACACAAGACGACAGTGTCCCTCCCTCGAAAGATGTCAACACTGGCCTTGACTCTGGGATTGTCATGCAGGGCGAGTGGACTCAGCCGCCACCGCCACGGCAAGACACGTTCGTCGACATGGGGAATCTGATCACATCGGCGCCGTATGTGCCGAAGATGCAAGTAATACCTGGCCACGCGCCGGTATGGGAAGACGTGTTCATGCCGAGTTCAACATCTTACGGATATGGGGCGTCGGAGCATTACCCTCGACTCTGAAAATATATTGGGGTAATCTAAGAAGAGATAAGAGACAGTCTGTGTTCTGATACCCATTACTACAACCATCGATAACGCTGTCAATCAACCACTAGTATGGCAACGTGCGTCCTGCCTTCGTACCTATGAAGAAAAAGATGCTTTCAGCGAAGAGCGTTCAGTAGTGCTATATGCGGTGCCGTATCTTGCATACTTCGTGATGAGAATACAGCTGCGCGCACTTTTAGACCACGGTGATGCGCTTGAAGATGGCCGTCAGGAGGACGCTACCGGTAGTTTGGCGCCTGCTTAAAAGGCAAGACGGACCGCGGCGACCACGCGTATCCTTGTCAACGAACATCACTCAACAGCACTCTCCCGATGAAACGCACAAAGACATGCACAACAACCGCGTAACCACCTTCCCGATGCCATTTATTTAAGGGCACATGGGTAACTCAATTTGAGCATTGAACAAGGCGCTAGATAACGGGCGCGCGGGACGTTCCTTCTTAGCTCGACGCGTTCCAGGTAGGAACAGGAAGTTGACGTCATGAAATACTTTGACTCAAAAAGAAAACGCATCGCTTGTTCCCTCCTTGGCTTGTTGCGGCAAGTCAATTGATTGATTGAGACGCCCTGTGTTATTGCGTGCCCTTCTCAGCATGTTTTCGAAGGCCCTCTTGCTGGCCACTCCGGCACTGGCACTCCCTGCGTACCTCAGTTCCCAGCAGCAGCAACCGATCCAGCCGCTCGATCACTCCCAGGGCTACCAATTCGATCCTCTCTTGCATCTGCCAGGCATCTCGCCGTACTTCGATGCTGTCGGCTTCGGTCTCGAGCACTCTGCACCCACGGGCTGCAATATCACCGCCGCTTCATACATTGTCCGCCACGGCGCCATCTACGCGAACGATGACGAGTATGAGGAGTTCATCAAGCCGTTCCTGTGGAAACTTGAGAAGCATCGTAATGGTCCGTGGTCAGGGCCATTAGCCTTCATGGCTAAGTGGCAGTCGCCTGTTCTCGAGGACAAGCTGGAGGATCTGACACCGTCTGGCGCTGTCGACGCTACCAACGTTGGCAAGCATCTGCTGGAGCGCTACCCAGACCTCGTACCAAAGACAAAGCGCATTCTCGCTGACAAGAAGTCGCGCACATACGACACGGCGGCGAACCTTGTCAAGGCTTTCCCTCAGGGCGAGGACATTGATATCGTGCGCGTCACTACCAATGCCAACGGCTCAATGGAGTCTCTCATTCCCCACAAGTCGTGTGAGAATTTCTCCAAGACGCCGGGCACAAAGGAGCAGGACAGGTTTATTGACATCTATGGCAAGAGCGTCGCAAAGCGCCTCCGACCCTTTATGCCCTTCGAGCTGTCGCCCTTCGATGTCGTCGGTCTCCAGCAGCTCTGCGGCTACGAGAGCGCTATCACCGGCAAGCGCTCTGAGATCTGCGCCGTCTTCACTGATGCTGAGTGGATGGCGTACGAGTACTCCTGGGACCTGAAGTACGCCTACATGGTCGGCCCCATGAACCCGCTCTCTCCCTACCTTGGGTTCCCTTGGTTGCAGACACAGTCTGAGCTTTTCCGCAACATACAGAAGCGCAACCACCCTGGTGACGCTTGGCCCGAGGACCAGCGCTTCTTCCTTGGCTTCACGCACCGCGAGGTCCCCCCTTTCATCGCGACTGCCCTCGGCCTCTTCAACTCCTCATCCGGAGCGACCGAGGAGTTCCCCACCGACCACATCAACGTAAGTCTACCCGCTACCCACCCACATCACGCACGCACTGACACTCGACAGTGGACACGAGCCTGGCGCATGGCCGACCTCATCCCATTCCTCGGCCACGTCGGTATGGAGCTGATGAGCTGCGAACGCGGCGCCGCCAGCGGTGATGGCCCCGGCGACTTCGTCCGCTTCATTGCCAACACAGCACCGCGGCCGATACCAGACTGCCAGGACGGACCTGGCGCGAGCTGTGGCTTTAAAGACTTCCGCAAGCTGATTGGGAAGGGCGCGAAGAAGCACAAGGACTTCCACAAGGTGTGCGACAAGAAGGGCGGAAAGGGGAAGGGCGAGCACGAGTAAATTTCCCGCATAGCGTGGGGCGTTTCGGTAGCATACCATTCGAGATCCGTAGAGCATGCTATTCATATGATTCCCGCCGCCGCTGTCGTGGGCGCGCTTCCAGCGTGCTGCGTCTTGCTCGCCTCGCAGCAAGTGTCAGGCAGGCGCAGTAGTCTTTCAACTACGTACATCTGCTCCCGCATCTGTCTTCCCACAGACCTCCGGCATCCTACCTTCACGACGACCTCCCTCGGCATGAAGCACGGTGCACCAGCTCACATCACCTCTGTGCTCGCACCGACCACCCGGAATCCCCGATTGAGCGGAAATCGAACAGTCGAGCTATCACGCCTCTTCGACCCAGCACACCGACCAGACAGCATGCTGTCACGACCGTGTACGCAGCACAATTGATAGCACACTGTTCGATTACTATGTACGTAGCTGTAGCGCCCTCAATAAGTGTACAATGGTGAAACTCCAACCCGCGAATGCTCCTGCAAACGCCTGTTTTCCTGTAATATGCGCCGGAAAAGGAGCGACGGTTGACTGAATAAAACGCGCGAAATGCAATACCAACACCTTGAACCAAGGCCCTCCCCCCCCCCTCCCACACACACACACACACGTGAGCGCGTCGTGGCCAACTGACTTAGCCCATCATCGCCAGCTCGTTGTCGATGCACTGGTTGAGGTAGATCTTGCGCTCGCCCGTGAGCTGCGTCTGCAGTCTCTGCTCCGCGAGGGCGACGAGCTGCTTCTTGGTCATCGAGTCGAGATCGCCCTCGCGTAGGCACGTGCGGACCACGTCCTGGATCGTCTGGTCGCTGGGGCCAGTCATCATGTTCTGGAAGTTGACCGTGCTGCCGGGGCGGCTCTGGCCGTAGCCCAGCGGGCTGCGTCCGCGGACCGGCGGCGTCGAAGCCATCAGGTTGTCCGACGACTGGAAGCCGCCGTGGCTGGGACGGTGGCCGTACGGACTGTCGCCGTAGGCGTCGCTCGCGTTACCCATGGACATGAGGCGGCTCTGGTGTGGGTTCTGGTTCTGGTTGGGGTGGTCCTGGTAGCGGGAGAGGTTGGAGTAGGTCGACTGGCGAGTCTGCATGCCCTGGTAGGGCCCGGGCGACTGTGGTGGCATGTGCGAGATGTGGTGCATGTTGGACATGATGGTCGATGCGGGCTTGACCGAGGAGTAGACGGATTGCATGTCGTTCATCTCGTACGTGTCGTCCTCGTACGCGCTGAACCCACCCTTCTCGGAGGTGTGGCCGGGAACGCCGCGGCGGCCGGGGAGCTCGTTGCGCTCTGCGTATTCGTCCCAGCGCATCATGGGGATGGACTTGGGATCGAAGCCCTCGTCTTCTGTGAGCACAGCCTTCTTCTGACCCTTCTCGCCAATAACGACACGGGTGTTACCCCACGAGAAATCGTCTTGCTTCCAGAAGGAATAGAGGGGCAGAGCCAAATTGAAGACGGGGAACGCCAGCAGGTAAATCAGCATCCATCCAATGTGTTGCCACTGGCGTTTGATGATGAAAATCAGAGCCTGGAGACCGTAGACACCTGCAAGCATGATGATTGAGATCATGGGGAATTGACCAGTACCAGAAGCAACCGTGTAGATCAGATAAACCAGGTAGGCACAGATGGAAGGGAGGGCGAGAGTACCGAACAGATCGATGAAGACGACAAAGCGCATAGAGAAACAACAGAAACCGCACAGATCACTGATGAACACGAGTTCAGCCAGGTTGTGGATAGTTGAGTTGATCCAGCGACGTCTCTGCGAAAGCAAAATACTCCATGTCTCGGGGGCAGCTGTTAAAGCATAGGCGTCAGGGATGAATTTATAGGACATGGACGGGAAATGCTTCGTCATCAAGGTCGTCAGGTAACGATCCTCACCGAGGGAGAGCAGGTTCTTCTTGTGCAGAGTGTCGACAACACAATCCGCGTAGTCCTTGATGATCTTGTCGGAAATGATGAGGGGCTTGCCCTTGTCAGCTGTTCGCAGGCGGTACATGCAGAAACTGATTTGATTAGCTGGGTTCCTATACAATAGAAACGTAGACTTACCATCCCGGCAAACAGGTGACACTACCGAACAAACTTTCGAAGGCCTTTGCGAGGTGATGGGAAATGTAGTACTCGTAAACCTGGATCATTGTCCACCAGGACTTCTCTTCGTTCTCCAGACTGGTTTCACCACAGATACCGGCAATCTTAGAGTCATTGGCGCAGCTTGCTACGAGTCGGTTGAGAGAGTCGGGTCTGACCATGGTATCCGCGTCGACCATGAGCATATATTCGTAGAGCTCAGGATCCACACCAATGATGTTGTTGATCTGGTGAAACATCTCCAATTCCAGAGGGTTCATCTGGGCGCGGTGATGGACGCGGTTGAGGAAGCTCATGAGCAGGATCTGCGAGTCACGCTTACCGCGATTACCGGGCTTGCTCTTGGACTGCTCGGACTCCTTGCCCATCTTAACGATGACGATGTATGGAACGACGTTGCCTTCAAACTCGTAAAGACCAGAGTAGACTTTGCCGTAATTGAGTTGCTGACTGCCTTCACCGACGGACCAGAAGGGAAGAGCAGGGGGATCAACCTTGGGGTCAACACCGAGAATATCAAGGACAATCTTGGGTGTAGGACGATCGTTACCACCACCAACAATCATACCGTCACACACCACACAGATAAGCTTGCGCTTGTTGTCGTAGGCAAGGGCTGTCAGTGAGTCAAGACCCTTTCGGATGTGCTCCTCTCCTTCTGTATAGGCGGGAACGTGGCAGATGACGAATTTGTCCTGGTTGACAGGGCGCTTGCGGGAACCAAGCTGCAGCGCAGCCAAGAACTTGACGACAATAACGGCACAGAGAATGATGGTGACTGCAAGAAGGATGTAGTCGTTGATCCGGCACTTGACAGTCTTGCGGAAATCAGTTTTACCGACGTAGAAGGTGTTCTTCAGACACTGGAGGTTGTAGGCTTGGGCGGTGGAATTGAGCTGGTTGGCGAATTCTTCCTTGAGGTTGGTTCCCGCGTTGCTCTTGACGAGGTCGACAAGTTTGTCGTCGAGGAAAGAGTACTCTGTGCCGTCGTTGTTGACATCCAGGGTCTTGAAGTAGTCTGTCAGGTCGTAGACATCATCGTCCATTGTGAACCACATGTGATTGTCGTCTTCGCCCTCCTTCTTGATCGTGTCACTGTCCCAGACAAGATCGCCCTTTCGCATCTCCTTCATAGCAGGTAGGAAGACGTTGGGGTACCAGTCCTCCTTCTTCAGGGCGGCACTGTCAGCCAAGTTGGTTTGCGTTCCAGACTTGTGAACACCAAGAGAGTTGGTGATGGTAGTGTTGGAAGTCAGGTACAGCTGTCGGTTACGAGTGGTATCAGAAATCAGGTTCGGGCAGGCAAGATATAGAGGCGGCATGATGTAAGGGTCCATGTCGAAACCAGCAAACTCGATCATGTTGGTCTTCGAAGCTTCGGTGTTCGAGTCACTGTGCTGCTTCTTCCAGAAGGATGACAGGTCGTACACTACACCGTGGTGACTGACGTAGTAGTCGTCCTGACCCTGGTGAGTGGACACTTCATCCTCGTTCCAGACCTTGTTCTTGTTGGGGCAGAGAAGCTTTCCGAAGGCGACGATGTAGAAGACAATGGTTGCGTTGAGCAAGAGAATCAAGAAGAAGAGAACAAGCTTCTCTCTCCATGCCATGCGGACATCGGGTCGTTTCATGCGTCCAATATACTTCAGGGCAGGGGATGGAAGCCAGAAAGTGCACACCCAGACGAAAGCGATCCACATGCGTCGAGTGGCTGTGATGGGCATCTCGGTGACCATGGAGTTGCCACCAGTCTCCGCATCGTAGTAGGTGACACCCTTGGTCTCGTCACCTTTAGCGCCGAGCCCGTAGTCACCAACTGTGGCCACGGGAACGGTGACAGTAGTCGGTGCAATAGACTTTGCATCTGCGGCGCGTGCCAGGCTGGGGGTGCTGGCAAAAGGATTCTGAACCTGCTGCTCCGGAAGTGGTGGGAAGAAGCCGCTGCCTGCCATGCTGGGAGCTGCTTGTGCAGGGTAGCCGCTCTCGAGGCCAGCAGCTCCAACCATGCCACCGAGCATGCCGGCGTTCATGCTCTGGTTTCCGTTCATCTGCTCGAGCTGGGACTCAGCCTCCCACCAGGTGCCCTCCCTCATCCAGATGCGCTCGTTGCCGACCACAACTTCGCCGTTGCTCCAGCCGCGCTGCAGTGTCCAGTTCTCGATGCCGTCCTTGCCGTCCATGCAGCCGAGAGCTGCGTAGCGCTCGTAAAATTCGTGCACATCGAAATCGGCTGTGAAGTCAAGGTAGCGGTTGCGGCGGTTCGCCCACTCTGGCAGGCGCCACTCACGCAGTTGGCGCGAGACAACACCGGCTTGCCAGGTGGAGTTGAGGTCTTGTGTGACGGAGGTGGGGATGACATCTGTGGGGTGGATCGCCAGCTGGAACCAAAGTCTGCTGCTGGCCACGGTCATGGGCAGGTCAAGGCGGTTGTGCTTGCCCAGGACGATGCCGCCCTGCGGTACAGGGTAGAGGATCTTCTTGATAAAGTTGCCCTCCTCGGCGTCGATAGCAATCTTCTCGAGAACAGTCTCGCGCCGCTCCAGCTCCGAGTCGTGCTCGCGAAGCGCAGCACCATCGATGCCAAGCTCGGCCTCGCTGGTCTGCACAGCGTCCCTCATGCTCTCAAGCACTGAGTTGCCAGCCGCTGCAATCTGCACACCATCGGCCTTCATCTCCGCGTTGATGCCTTCCGTGTCGTCGAAGACAGTGCGCAGAGCAATTGCCTTGGCGAGAGTGCGGTTTGGTACCTCGACGATTGTGACGTTGACCAGATCCATTCCGTCGACGTCCGAATCAGGTGTCATGACACCTGGCTGGCTGGCATCGCTGTCGCTCGAAGAGAACCCGGCACGGGCCTTCCTGATGTCATTCTTGATGGTGGCGTTGGCCTGTGTGAGCACGTAGTCGACAACAGCCTCGTAGATGCCGGCAATGGCGATTTCCCGGTCGTTGGAGCCCAACTGCTGCTTGAACATGTCGGGCGAGATGTCGAGGAGCGAGCCGCAGTCCTGGCATGCTGCGTCCAGCTTCTCCTCGTCCACAAAGTAGTCCAATGTGTTGCCCAGCTTCAGCAGTGCGGCCAGAGTGCTGATGACATCACGCAGCTTCTGCCCCTTGATGCCAATGGCCTTGAGGTTTGTGCGGAAGTCCTCGGCCGCGGCGGCGTCGTCGGCGTCGGGGAGGAACGAGGGAGGGTCGTAGGTGCCCGAGCGGTTGAGGAGCGCGTACTTGTCGAGGGACTGGATGTCGAGGATCTCTCTCTCCTGCTTGCTAGCGGAGCTCGAGTTCAGGTAGTAGAAGACGTCGAAAGCGCGGTAGCCAGTGTGGGCGGGGATCTGGAGAAGACCCTCCCTTGTGTCGAGTCCACCAGTGGAAAGCTTGATTTCAGCGCCCCTGCATTCGCCGAGGACGTCGATTGTGAAGACGGCGGCGAGCGCAGAGTAGCGTGGCGCGGACGGGTTTTGCGGCGTGACGCAGTGTGTAAAGGGCTTGAGTGCCTCGAGCGCGACGTAGAAGCTGTCGGGCAGGGACACTGGCAGCCCCGAGACTGCGGGGGCAAACAACGAAGGGGTCGCCTCGTGGAGGGAGCTGGGGGGGGAGGCAAGGTCAGCAGCTGCACAGGGGTCGTGGCTACATGCACGCGCGACTCACCTCAACACCAAGGTGCCGTCCTCGACTCGGCGACGGGCGTGCTCATATGTCTTGCGGACCAGATCGAGGTCCACGGTGCCGCCAATGCGGCCGTCCTCCATGGTCTTCGCATTGACCCACGTGTTGACGACCAGACTGGTGCTGGGCTCAAGGCTGTAGGGCTGCCCGGACTTGTAGCTCGAGTTGAGCAAGTTGAGGAGCGTCGTGGTCGACTGGGTCGTCGACTGGGCGGTCCGCTGGGGGTTCGTAGAGGCGGTCGAGTAGACGCTCATACGACTGTTGACGAACGACATGATGGCGACTGGGTGCAGGACGCCCCGTTCGTGGACGGTGTGTGCGAGAGACCCTCAAAGAAACGAGGTTCGCGGTCCCAGACCGTGCGTAGTGCAGTTGTAGTGTAGTTGTAGCGAGTGCCAGCAGCAATTGCGCTGTGTCTCCTGGCCCTCGATGGCTGGAATGGCGTTCAAGTGTCGCGGGTGCGCAGAAGCAGTTTCACTAGAGGCAACAAGGGATAGAATTAAACGATAGTGTAGTGAATGAGAAAGAAGAAGCACACACGCGCTCCACGGCAAGGCTCGTAGAACGCAGATACTACCGAAGAGTGGTTGTTTGTTGGCTCCCAGGCGACTTTCTCCATTCCTCAGGGCGCCGGGGAGCTGCGCTTCCGCCCGCTGAGGCATGGCGCCGCCGTATCGTTAGACTGGTTTAGGGCGTCCATGACCAGCACTCGCACCCTGGCCCTGCAGAGCTCGACGGCTCCTAAACCAGATCCGAGCGTCCGAACATGGATGGCAGGTCTTGCTCTCGTCGCCACTAGCAGAGCAGAGGCCCTCGTCCGATTTATCGATACGTGCGCTGCATCTGCTCCGTGGGCTAGAGAAAATCGGCTAAAAATAAAGGAGGCGGTAGCTTAGCTATTTTACCATTTACGCCAGCTGCGGCTCTGCGATGCGGCTGCCCAGCTCTCAACATTCACGCTCTATCGATATGACAGAAGGATTATCTAGCGATCATCCCCGCCCCAGCGCGGAGTACAGTGGGCTGCGGGAGGAGCAAGCCACGGTCATGAGTGTGCAAATCGCAATATCCCCCAGCCTTCCTTCATCTTGTCATCTAAATTGTCTCTTCACAATGCAGTGTTGCCCACCGCCGCCCGCTCAAACTGCAGCAATTTGGCAGCTTTCTCAAGCAGCCTGACGTCAGGGGTACCTAGGTGGTTGCTACCTCGGAACGCCGTTTCATGCGTGCTGTTCAATACGGATGCTCTCCACAGTGCCACTGCCGTATTGCCCCGTTACCTATTAAAATGCCCAGGTCATGCGCCCAGCCTCTGTGTGTGAGCATCCTTTTGTGTTGATTGTTTTCGCGGCAGAGGGGAGAGCGGCGACGCGCAATCGATACGCAGCTAGCGCGCATGAAAAGCGTTCAGCGTTGATCGCTACCCTTTCCCGGGCGCCAGGCGAGGTCGGCCGTTGGCTTTGGTGCAGAGGCGGGTCGGGGCAAGCCCGCAGCCTTGGGAGAGGACGACGTTTTGAGACAGAGTCCCACTCTCTCAGGCCAGCACTGTCACAGCAGCCGGAAGACGCTGCTGTCGACTCTCGACTTTGAGTCACCCTGCCACGCAGCGCTCGTTCCAGGACGCTGCGGTACGTGCCCTCAGGGTGCGGCCACGGCCACAGGCTGGACCCGCTCGCTCCTGCTGGTGCGCTCGCTGCTCATCAGTCAGCAGGGCGAAGGACTGCGTGTGGAGCAGTAAAGCATGGCCGCAGCAGCCTAGGGAGGATGTGCAGAAAAGGGGCTCCAAGAATAGAAGAGTAAATTACAGCTAGTCCACCACCTAGTCCACTACCCAGTCCAGCTGGTCTGTGTTGACGACGGCGGCGACGGGCGAGCTGCTGGGACCCCTGGCTCGACTTCGCAGCCCCGTCGATTTCCCCTTTGCTGCAGCAGTCAACAGCCTCCAGCTGTGCTCCAGCCCTCAGCATTTCCCTTCGTTGCAGGATTTTTTTCCACACTCGCTGATAGATAATTGCATTGACTTCACTTGCCGGCACAGCCAGCCCGCACCGCGCGCGCTGTCCCTCCTGAGCCGCCGCATTCCACCGCTGTACATAGTTGCACCCACGCGTGCCGCCGCCTCACCACCCCAGCTCGCCCGCTGAACACGTCCACTCGCTCCCACGTCCCCCGGGACTCCGATTGACAATATGGCCGTCAATCCTCTGCACGAGTCGAGTCTGCCCTCGCTGCCGCAGCACCAGCAGACCGACACAGGCCTGACCTCGGCGCTGGCCAGTCGCTTCCATGCCCATATGCCGACGGCCTCGCTGTCCTCGCACGCCATAATCTCGCTCAACACATACACGGATCCCAGCCGCGGCGTCGATGGCGGCGAGGACGCCAGCGCCGTACACGCTGCCAAGGACCTCGCGGGCCGGGCATACATGCGCCTGGGGCAGCGGTCTGAGGACCAGGCCATTGTCTTCCTGTGAGTCGCCCTCGCCCACAATGCGTGTCGCCACGGACCTACTAACACAACGCAGAGGCGAGACCGGCTCTGGAAAGACCACAATTCGCGGCCACATGCTGAGGCAGTTCCTCTCGTACTCGGCCACGCCGCTTTCCAAGAAGATCGAGTGTGCCAACTTCGTCTTCGATGCCTTCACCACAACCAAGTCGCTCACCACACCCTCGGCCTCCAAGTCTGGCCTCATGCTCGAGCTCCAGTACAACACATCGACGTCCAACCACGCCACTCTCCTCGGTGCACAGTACCTCGCCCATCGACTCGAGCGAAGTCGACTCGCATCCGTCCCGACCGGTGAACGCAACTACCACGTGCTCTACTACCTGCTCTCCGGGACCAGCGCTGCTGAGAAGAAGCACCTCTACCTCGACAACGCCGGCACCGAGGCCGCCGGTACACGCACATCGCTCGGTGCGAACAAGCGGTGGCGATACCTGGGTCACCCCACACAATTGAAGGTTGGCATCGACGATGCCGCTGGTTTCCAAGAGTTCAAGACTGCGCTCCGCAAGCTCGAATTCGGCAAGGATAGCATTGCCGGTATCTGCGAGGTCATGGCCACCATTCTGCACATTGGTCAGCTCGAGTTCGAGACGGGTCAGTCGACAACTCCTTCTGCTGATGACAGTGGCGGCTACTCCCACGAGGGCGGCGAGACCATTACAGTCGTGAGGAACAAGGACAGCTTGATCCCTATTGCTCAGTTCTTGGGCGTGACTATCAGCGACCTCGAGGAGAGTCTGCGATACAAGTCAAAGACTCTGTACCGCGAGCGCGTGACCGTGATGCTGGACCCCAGGGGTGCCCGTGCAAACGCTGATGAGCTCGCCCGTTCGCTCTACAGTCTTCTCGTCTCATATGTCATCGAGCAGAGCAACTCGAGGATCTCCAGCTCGAACGACCAGCTCACCAACACAGTCAACCTTGTTGATTTCCCCGGATTTGCCATTTCCTCTGGGACAGGATCGTCTTTGGATCAGCTGCTGAACAACGCTGCGAATGAGTCGCTCATGACCTTCTGCCAGGAGAGCTTCTTCCAGCGCCAGATTCAGGAGATGGAGGCTGAGGAGATCAACTTGCCCCCACTTCAGTTCTACGACAGCTCCGAGGCTAAGATTGGCCTGCTCAAGTCAGGCAATGGTCTTCTGAGCATCTTGGACGACCAAATGCGCCGTGGCAAGACGGACATGCAGTTCCTCGAGGCCATCCGCAAGCGTTTTGACGGAAAGAACCAGTCCATTCTTCCCGGCAGCTTGACCGTTGTCCAGCCTGGCAGCAACTTTCCTACCCCCAACACTTCTCCTTCTTTCACCGTCCGCCACTACGCCGGTGACGTCGATTACGGTGTCGAGGGCCTCATGGAAGAGAACGCAGACCAGATTTCTGGCAACATGATGCAGTTGCTGCAGAACTCGCAGTCGCCCTTTGTCCAGCAACTGTTCGGCCAGGACGTGCTCCAGAAGATCTCTCATCCCAAGGAGAAGTCCGCCATTGTCCAGGCTTCAGTCAGCTCTAAGCCCACACGTATGCCCAGCATGGCACGTCGCAAGAGGGAGACTGGAAGGTACGGCCGTCAACTCAATGTCTTCGACGAGGAGGTTCTGAGTGACACGGAGAGCAACGTTTCTAGCTCGAGGAGGAACGGCGACTCGTCAAAGGCAAAGCAAACCGGCGCTGCTGGCCAATTTGTCAGCTCGCTCAAGACCATTGAGAACCAGCTGCGCAAGGCCAATCCCTACTTTGTGTTTTGCTTGAAGCCGAACGATCGTCGTATCGCCAACCAGTTCGACAGCAGATGTGTTCGCCAGCAATTGCAGGCCTACAGCATCCCAGAACTCAGCCAACGGCTCCGCGTTGCTGACTACAGCATCTTCATGCCTTTTGCTGAGTTCCTTGGTCACACTCAACAAGACACAGCCATTGTTGGCAGCGAGAGGGAGAAGGTTGAGATGGTCCTGGACAGCAGGCCGTGGCGCGAGAACGAGGTCCGTGTCGGTACGACTGGAGTCTTCCTGAGTGAGAGGTGCTGGCTTGAGATTGCTAACATCGCCGATCTGCCATCTACTGCCCGCGGATTCGCTGCCTCTGATGATAACCTTCTGACTCCCGATGCGGGACGATCCTTCGGTGACTCTCGCGCTAACCTCCTCGCAACCCCAGGAGGTGGCGAGTACTACAACGACAAGAACGGCAACTATTTCGGCAGCAGAGATGTCGACGCACGCTCAGAGGCTCCCTCCGGCGTCACTGGAGATATGTTCCACGGTCTGGAACAGCACAATGTCATTGACGAGAAGGCAGCCGACAAGAAGATGGAGGAGGTCGATGTTCTCCCCGTCTCTGGAAGTCGCAAGCGATGGATGTTTTGCGTTTACGCCCTGACCTGGATGGTCCCCGACTTTCTCATCCGCATTGTGGGACGCATATCGCGCAAGGATGTGCGGATAGCGTGGCGTGAAAAGCTGGCTATCAACATGCTCATTTGGCTCAGTTGCTTATTTGTCATCTTTCTCATGATCGGATTCCCCATGTTGATCTGTCCGACCCAGCACGTGTACTCCACTGCTGAGCTGACATCCTTCAACGGCGAGGATGACTCAACAGCCTACATCGGCATCCGCGGTATTGTCTACAACCTCGACAGTTTTATCCCTGCCCACTACCCCAGCATCGTTCCAGCCAAGAGTCTCCAGAAGTATGCTGGTAAGGACGCCACCAATCTCTTTCCAGTCCAGGTCTCGGCTCTGTGTGCTGGTAAGGACGGTACTATCCACCCTGGTGTTCAGCTCAACTACAGGAACTCCAACTACTCCGAGACTGCCAACAACCTCGTCAGTACTACCGACCAGAACGCCCAGTACCACGATTTCCGCTGGTTCACCAACGACTCTCGCCCAGACTGGTGGTACGAGCAGCAAGTCTTCATGAAGGCCAACTACATGAAGGGCCGTGTCGGATACAGTCCCACTTACCTGAAGACCCTGGCTTCCAAGCAGAACGCGATTGCCTACATGAACAACAAGGTCTACGATCTGACAACCTACCTGCCTGGAGGTCGCAGTGTTCTCTACCCTGCTGGCGAGGCGGCGGAAGCGGAAACTCCCAGCGTTGACTTCATGGAGGACAGCGTAGTTGACATCTTCCGGGTCCAAGCTGGAAAGGACATCAGCAAATACTGGGACAACCTCAACCTGGACGCTACCAAAAAGGCCAACATGAAGACATGTCTCGACAACCTGTTCTACGTCGGTGATCTGGATACTCGAAGCTCTACTAGGTGTCTGTTCGCAAAGTACTTCCTGCTTGCCATTTCGATTCTCTTGGTCAGTGTCATCGGTTTCAAGTTCTTCGCAGCCCTGCAATTTGGCGGCAAGACTGTGCCCGAGAACATCGATAATTTCATCATCGCAACAGTCCCAGCCTACACTGAGGACGAAGAGTCCCTCCGTCGTGCTATCGATTCCGCTGCCCGTATGAAGTACGATGACAAGCGCAAACTTCTTATAATCATCTGCGACGGTATGATCATCGGTCAAGGCAACGACAAGCCTACTCCTCGCATTGTTCTCGACATTCTCGGTGTCCCTGAGGCTACAGACCCCGACCCGCTCAGCTTCGAGAGCTTGGGTGAGGGCATGAAGCAACACAACATGGGCAAGTGCTACTCCGGTCTCTACGAAGTGCAGGGTCACATCGTGCCTTTCCTGGTCGTCGTCAAGGTTGGTAAGCCCTCCGAGGTCTCCAAGCCTGGTAACCGTGGAAAGCGCGATTCCCAAATCGTTCTCATGAGGTTCTTGAACCGTGTCCACTACAACCTGCCCATGAGTCCTCTCGAGCTCGAGATGCATCACCAGATTAGGAACATCATCGGTGTGAATCCAACCTTCTACGAGTTCTTGCTCCAGATTGACGCCGATACTTCCGTTGCCCCTGACGCAGCTACTCGATTCGTCGCCGCCTTCCTCAACGACACTCGTCTCATCGCCGTCTGCGGTGAAACCGCTTTGTCCAACGCCAAATCATCCTTCACCACCATGATGCAGGTCTACGAGTACTTCATCTCTCATAACCTGACCAAGGCTTTCGAGAGTTTGTTTGGTTCCGTTACCTGTCTTCCCGGTTGTTTCACCATGTACCGTATCCGCGCTGCTGAGACTGGCAAGCCTCTCTTCGTCAGCAAGGAGGTCGTCGAGGCTTACCAAGAGATCCGTGTCGACACATTGCACACGAAGAACTTGCTCCACCTTGGTGAAGATCGTTACCTGACTACGCTGCTCATCAAGTTCCACTCCAAGTACAAGACCAAGTACAACATGCGAGCAAAGGCCTGGACCGTGGCGCCCGACAGCTGGTCCGTCTTCATGTCCCAACGTCGTCGCTGGATCAACTCGACAGTCCACAACCTTGTCGAGCTCATGCCTCTTCAGCAGCTCTGCGGTTTCTGCTGCTTCAGTATGCGCTTCATCGTCTTCTTGGATTTGATCTCGACAGTTGTCCAGCCTGTCATCCTCGTCTACATTGGTTACCTCATCTACTCCTTGGTCTACACCCCCAGCGTCGTTCCCATCACCGCCTTCATTCTCCTGGGAGCCATCTATGGTCTGCAAGCCATCATCTTCATCGTCCGTCGCAAGTGGGAGATGATTGGTTGGATGCTGATCTATATTTGCGCGACGCCTGTCTTCGCCTTCGGACTGCCGCTGTACGCTTTTTGGCACATGGACGATTTCTCGTGGGGTAACACTCGTGTTGTCGTTGGTGAGAAGGGTCAGAAGGTCGTGGTCTCAGACGAAGGCAAGTTTGACCCTGCCAGCATCCCCAAGAAGAGGTGGGAAGAGTACCAGGCCGAGATGTGGGAGCAGCACACCATCAGGGACGACCAATCAGTTGTCTCGGGCTACACATACGCCACTAAGAGGCCGTATGCCGCTTCTGCCATGGGCGGCTCCGAGTACGGTGGCATGCCTCCTTCCAGGCCCATGTCCCACCTCGACATCCCGCGCTACGGCAACCACTCCCGCATGTCGCTGGCTCAAAGCGGCTACGGAGGTGACAGCATGGAGATGTCAATGGCGAACCTGCCCAGCGACGACGAGATCATGAACCAGATCAAGGTGATCCTCGCGAGCTCCGATCTCATGACGGTCACCAAGAAGTCGGTCAAGGGGCAGCTTGAGCACATGTAAGTCGCAGCCCGCACCATTCTTACGCACCAATGACTAACGCACTCTCAGCTTTGGCGTCGATCTCACGCTCAAGAAGGCCTTCATCGGCGAGGCCGTGGAGCAGCTCCTCATCAACGGGCAGCTGCACTAGCGCGGTCGTAGCATCTCTCTCGACGCAGCGACGGTCTCTCCACGCTTCACGACTCTGTTCAGCCCCGAGCGGGCATGTGTCAACTATCATTACTATTTAATTCCAGATAAGAAGAGTGCGTCTATTCGCGGAAGCTGCGTTTGGGTTTTATTTTTATTTTATTGTTCTGTCGTCGTGCGCGGATCGGGCACCGGCGGCCGGTGCGGCGTTGGGATCTGTCTATATTGCATTCATTGTGTTGCTGCATGGAGAGGGGCAAAATAGGAGTAGTATATGGTCATATGGTGTAAGAATCTAGAGCGATTATGAGTTCATCTCGTCGACTTTGCGTGGTTCGAGAATATTCGAATATTCGTGGTGTGGGTTTATCGCGTCGTCGTGAGCCTGACGGACTCGAGGCGGTCGCTGAGGGAGCTGATTAAAGTGACACTGCGATGTACGAGTGATTTGATTTGAATGCTATAGAAGAGGGCATGTGACACTAGCAAGAGCACACATACCGGCAAGCTAGCTCTGCAGTCGGCACATGCAGCTACCTCGCCTTCTCGTCCTCAACCTGCCGCCTCAGATCCTCCAGCACGTCTCGCCGCCTCTGCAAATGGCCCTCTAGCCCCTCAACCTGCTCCTTGACCGTGTCGATCTCGTCCCTGATCCCAGACAGCCCCTTCACGGCGCCGCCCTCGTCGTTGTCCAGATCCTTTAGCTGCGTCCGCTTGTAGTCCAGCAGCGACTCCAGTTCGCGCTTGACCAGGGCGGGTGTGCTGTCCTTGCTACGCCCGTGCCGCCGGCTCTGCGCGTCAGCTTCGACAAGCGCCATCTTGGCCTCCAGCTCCTTCAGCTGCTTCTTCAGCCGCACCTCCTCCCAGTCCTCAGTGGTGCGGCCGCCGAAGTCGGTCCCGCGGGCGCGCGCCCCGTAGCTGTTCGCGCGGTCGCCGACGCCCAGCCGCGTCAGGTAGGCGTCGCCGAATTTCTGCTTGCGGCCCGTGGCCGAGTCGGCGGGGGCGGCGTCGGTGGCCCAGCGGCTCTGCGGCTTGCTGACGTCGTAGTCGATGTGAGATTTTTCGAACGACGCACGCAGGCTCGGCGGCACGGAGCGCGGCACGCGGAACCCCTCGGAGCGCTGGTTGAGGATGTGCAGGAACGCGAGGGCGGCGTCCTTGGCCACTGTCTCGCGCGCCGTGGGGTTCACCAGGTTCCATGCGAAGCGCACATCGCTGTCCGGCACGCCGTCGAGCGAGTCGAACAGGCCCGCCAGCGCTTCGAAGGAAATGTTGCCGTGCCCGTCGCGGTTCGCCGTGTAGATCTCCTCGTACTTGGCCTTGTCGGCCGGCGCCATGTACCAGTCGAACCCGTCGCGCAGGCCCGGCGTGCCGTCGTCATCATCGTCGTCGACGGGCTCGAACTGCTGCCCGCCCGCCAACGCGCGCGTGGCCTGCACGAGATGCGCCTTGCTCTCCGGCACGAGCCAGTCGGGCAGCGCCTGCGGGACGTCGGAGCTGAGGCCGTTGATGAGGTCGAAGATGAGCCTCATGGCGACGCAGAACTCCTCAAAGTCGAGCTTACCGTCGCCGTCCACGTCGGCCAAGTCCCACACGCGCTCCAGCTGGTCGTCGCGCAGGTGCGAGTTCTTGAGCACGGGCGCGGCCTGCCCGCCGTCGAGGTGCGTCCCGCCATTGCTGAGCGAGCTGAAGATCTCCCAGTACTTTTCGATTTCGTCCTGTTCGATGCGATTTGGCGGCATGCTGGGCGGGTGTCGTCGTGGGAGCTTGCGGTCGTTGCGTGGGAGCTGCCGAGGGCTGCGGCCGAGCTCGAATGGGGTTGGCCCGTGGGGCATGACGTGCACATCCAACTCTGCCGTGTTACTTCACCTCCACCGCAATTCAGACAACGTGCCTGGCGGCGTATGGATTAGCATTCAGTCATCCACCTGACCTTGCGTTATTAATCTAACAGCTTGATAGAGCAGCAACTGCCGCGTTTGACACGCATTCACAACGCTAGGAGGTGCCCAGCACAACGCCTTGAGCAGCCTTGTCAACAATCATGCCAATTTCGACCTCACATTCATGCGCTCACCCAACAAGGTAGGAATCAAACATATGCAGGTGACTCCAGGCTGGAACAGGTAATCTACCAAGTCGATCCGGGATCGCTGGGCGCCACTTGACTGGTTGTTGACAACCGTGGCCATGAGGTACCCAGCGCAACGCCATAAGGTACTCCACAAAACCCCAGACCGTACCGGATTCATCTGTTAGCCTGTAACCGCCAGCTCTTAAACCGGCCGAATATTCCATTTCTCCAACTCGGCCGAGCCTCTGTTCCTACCTCTCCAAGACAACCACCTCGCATGAGTTTCGGCCGAGCGCCCTACGTACTGTGTACATCCCGGAACACCTACAATATATTATAACTACATCCTTCAGCATTCTTGCAGCATATCCAACAAACACTACTACCACACAAACCTACCTACAACATCCATTACTTCGATAACTTCGATAACTTCGAACTAAGATACCTTGCAATGTCTCTCCTCACCGTAGAATCCCACATCACAATCGACAAACCTGCATCAGAGGTTTTCAACTTCATCTCCACGCCCTCGAACTGGGCCGGCCTGCATCCCGGCAGCGCTCGCATCATCGGCGAAGGCATCACGAGTTCAGCGGTGGTGGGAACGCGCTTCATCGAGGTCATCGACGACGGCCACAGGCCCGTCTTCGACGCCCACTGGGTCATCACGCGCTCCGTAAAGGACGAGTTCTTCCAGTTCCAATTCCCGAGCGACTTCGCCCACGGCCCGTTCCAGGAAATCGTCATCACGTACAACATCACCGCCAAGGGAGAGGCGTCTACTGCCTTCACGCGCCGCATGGTGTCTTGGGTCCGCCCTGGCGCTGATACGTCCGAGTTGGCTGCGTTTTCCGAGAACGATATGCACAACAAATACGTCGCAGGTGTCAAGGCTAGATTGGAGGCTAAATGAGGGCTCAATGGGCTCAATATAGCATGATGTATTTATTGTAGCATAGAGGTGTACTAGTTACTCCGCCAAGACCGTACTCATATCTACTTTACAATAGCCCACAACGGCCCTCCCTCTTCCGTGTTCACGTCAAAAGGGAGCTCGTAGCTCATGTCTCGCATCTTTTAATACTACAATCATTTATATTCAAGCTCGTATAAGTCCTTCACATTCAAGCTCATAACGACCGCGTAACAAGCTCGTCCACGCCAAGCCCAAAGTATCCATTTTTAAAACCAGCGCTCCGCCCGCCCCGCCACTGGCCAAGAATAGCCAAGCCCTGGCATCAGCCCCACAACACAACACACTTGATTACAGGCAGCGGCAAAAAAAGTGTCATCTCCCCCGGAAAGGCTCGAACTTTCAACCTCCTGATGTGCCATCAAGCGGAACGGATAACAGTCAGACGCGCTAGCCAATTGCGCCACGGAGGATCTTCTCGAAGAGAATGTGGCATACTGGTGTACTGTTTGATGGAAATTGGGACCTAGGTATATAATATATTTTAAGTTAAATGAAAGGGAGGAGTGCGAGGGCTGGATGCGCAATGTTGGGAAGCTCTCAGGGCGTCAATGTGCATGGTCGCGGGCGAAGTGAAGCTGAGAAGTCTGAGTGCGGCCAACGGCGCTGGACTACATTTGCCATGTCTCGGCGCTCGAGTGCAACGCCAATAATCTGTGCAGATAGGATGGACTCTAATGTCTGTTCATCAGTATGCTTGGAATACAGGCAAGTGGTACCTGTCACCATGCCCCTGACTGCACTACGTATGAGCATAGCATATCGACAAGTCGAGATCACGATGGAAGGCGCAGAAACATCGGTAATAACTGTGGTCAATTGTAATGGATTGAAATCAATGTGCCTTCCTGGAAGCATGCTTCCTGTTCTCTTCGTCGCTCCGTGCTGTTCCCTGAACCAGCGTCTCGCGGGGACTACCGTCGCTCGCGCTTCCAGATCGCTGCCGATGCTGCGCGTTCTGCATGCATTGGATACTTGGGCGAGACCGTCCAGAAATTGCGTGGACATCGCGTGGACAGACGTGTGGTCGTACGTCGAGCAGCGGCTAGACTGCGCGGTCGCTGGTCGTCAAGGGGCGCCAGGAGCATCAAACCCTCCGCTCCAATACTTTCTATCGGCGTGCCATGTCAGAGCCAAAAGCAGTGCTCATCGCTAGAGGATGTTTCGAGGTGGGTGCTGTTCGTAGCATCATAGTGTGGAATCAAGTCCTGCAAATCAGTCGCCCGTGCCGGGCCTCATAGTTAGCCGTGTCGATTAATGCGCTGCTTCAACAGCGTAGATCAAGTCGTGTAGAAGCTGTCACGCCGGCTCTGGTCGACCACCTAAGGTTTCGATGAAGCCGACGCAGACAGCTTCGCGTCACACCTCTGTTGCAGGGATGAAGGGGGTCCGTACCAGTTGACATCGCTGAGTTGCAGCTTCCTGGCGCGCTGATTGCTACGGTTGTTACCGGCTTTGTCAAGACGCGGCTGCGCATACGGATTCTGGGTCTTGTCGAGAGCTTGCTGAGTATCAGTACGTGTTCTATTTGGGTTCGGCGAAAGAGCGTAAGAAAATGGTGATTCACCGGAGTCTTCAACGTCATCACGAGCTTCGTTGTAGTTCAGAACGAGGCTCTTGATGCGCTGCTGTTCCTCCTTGTCGGCCTGTTGCTTGTTGCGCATTGCAACTGCGAAGGTCGAGTCAGAGGGCAGATCGATCGACCGCGTCTGCGGCTTGTTTCCACGCTTGCTGAGAAGTGAGAATTTCACAGTGTTAGAAGGCGCAACTAGGACGGGAGCTTCGCTCACGCCGTCCTCGGGGTTAGTCGTTGTATCGCGAGCGCGGCGCAGCGGAAGGGGAACGTCGAAGACAGGCTTGCGGTCGTACTTGCGTGAATCAGTGCTGTCAGACATAAGTTTGGCCAGTTCCCGGTCGAACTCAGCTTCAGCTTCGGGATCTCGTTCTTCCTCTTGACGTGTCACAACAATGTGCTCTTCCTCATCTGATAGGTCCTGCTTCATTGGCTCGTCATCATCAGAGTCTGCATCCTCTTCATCGGACGACTTCTCCTCGCCTTCGGGCACAACGACATCGTCATCCTCTGGGCCGTCGACATCGTCGTCAGAAGCAGACTCCTCGTCATCCTCGGGCTCGGCAGGCTTGTCGTTTGCCGTCGTCTGGTAATTATGCTTGACTGCTTCGCCAAAGATGCGCGATGCTTCGTCCAGGTCGGTGATGAGCTTCCATTGCGGTCGCACGAGAGCATAAGCGTCCTGCACAATGAACTCAACGTCCATTGGTAATGCGTCCTTGGTGCAGACGTAGTATTGCAGGTATGTAAGGAAGAAGTCAAGCTTCTTCTTTGCTGCACCTTTGTCGTAGTACATGCCGCAAGTCTCAAGGAGGCTGCAAACAAGACGAATGCGGAAATAGTCGTCCGGCAGATCCAGCGGATTATACAAGTCTAGACGAGCGTACCCTCCTTGCCACCCGTAGTTCAGCAACTTGTAGAGGGTGTCGAAGACAAGTGGCGAGTCAACGAGTCGGTAGATATACAGTTCACCAAGAAACTTGACTTCTGCAATCCTGCGCTGGTTGAATTTGAAGTCGTTCAGCTCAAGACCAAATGTGATCGACTCCAAAAGATCGTCTATGACAGCGATGGCGAAATCCTGGTGGTAGCGGTGAATGGTGCCGAGGATGACAGCCAACAGATGAATGTTGCTGTACTTGATCTTGCCAGGCTTGGAGAAGATCTTGTGTAGAAAGTTGACGACCTCTGCCTCTTCCCAATGCATCTTGCGGATCTGCTTGACGGTCTTGTCGAGTGTGCGACGGGTCAGGTCTTGGTACATGATTTTGCGCAAGAACAATTCAACCGGTGTCCGCTCCTTCTGCTCAATGGCCGCACGCTCTGGTGGGTTTACATAGTAGACCGCGTTCTCGATGAGCATACGTTCTTGCTGGCCGAGAACTTGAGCGCCCTTCTTGCGCTGCAGGGTCTCGAGGAAGGAAGCCATGCGCGGCGAGGTTTCAGGGTTACGGATGAGGTAGCGTCCGCAGTTCTCGAGCAGATTGCAAATAATCTCAATGTTCATCCTGGAAAAGTCGTCAAGGCTGACCTTGAGACAATGGAAGATGACGTGTTCAGGAACAACACCGAACTTGGTCAGTTCTGCGAGGTAGCGTACGTTCTGCGTGCGTACTTGGCCCAAGAAGTCCTTCGATTTGCGTCGTTGCAAACTCCGGAACTCATCGTCTAGGTAAGACACAAGACTTTGTGCGACGTCGGGCATGTACTTGGCAAGTGTGGCAATTAACCTCGAGTAAATCGGCAGCAGGTCAGATCGTCCCTTGGGAATATCCTGAACAGCCTTGACTAGACGGTTGCGCGATGCCTTGGAGTTGAGAAAACAGAAGTCGATAGCAGCCTGGTCCACGGTGTCCTTGGTGTTGAGTTCTGGGAGACGTGCGAGAACTGCATCCACTTGCGTGCCAACAGACTTGTTGGCAATCGCAGTGGACTGGTCATCAGCATCTGCAATTTTAATAGTCTCCACAGCCTCCTTCTCAGCACTCTCAGTTTTCGCCTCGATACGCTTTCCGACTTGCTCATTCGTGTCAATGTTCTTCTTTTTGGCGTCCTCCAGCAAAATGCCCGGGACACGGTCCTTTAGGTCGATCATGTTCTCGTAGAAGCGGCGCTCATCTTCATCTTCCCAAATTCCCGGTCCGTCGCTGCGGCCGCGCAGGTATTCGCCAGCCTTGATCAAGCCGATTGTACCGTCTCCGACATTCGCAGAGCTATCTTTCTCTTTCAGATCAGGCATTTCCACACCCAGTGCATCGGCCATGATCTGCGCATTGGCAATCAATCGCTCCTGCGCCTTCAGTTGCTTCTCGTAGTTTGCTTGTCGGTCTTCGAACACCTCTCCTGACTTTACGTATGCTTCCGCGTTTTTGCGACCTTGAGATGCGAGGTGCTTCTGGTCTCGCAGCAGATGTGCTTTGACATCTTCAAAGTAGCGTGTGAAAATGTTCTTGAAACGCTGTTGCAAATCTGCGGCAATGATGGGTGGGTCTTTGCTGGGCTGATCGTCATCCTCAGTGGCTGAAGCGTCCTCGTTCTTGTCTCCAGTGGTCGTGCCATCCTCGTTCACAGTCCTACGACCTTCTGCAGATGATGTCCTCGCGCCAAGAATGTCCCATGCGAAAGCCTTGACGAAGATGACCACAAGTGGTAAGTTGACGTGTTCGCGGTCGTGGCCAAGCATGTCCTTGAGCACTTCCAGCGGGAAGGGCTCTGCGTCGCTGCTCTCAGCACGCGCTCTAGTTCTGGTAGACCCTTCCACGAGTTTGCCGTTGTCCTTATTGTTGGCCGCATCTTCAGGCCGAGCAACATCATCAAGGCTTCGCAGTACGCCTGCCAGCCAAAGTTCGGTAGCCACGCGCAGAAGCACGCGCTGACGAGCCAGACGTTCCTTCTCTTCTCGGTCGCGCACTTCTTGCGACAGCATCTTCAGGTGTGCTTTATCCGGAGTCGCAAGTCCCCTCCCAATGTACCAGCCAATGTAGCTGGTAAATTCGGAGGGCCCAAAGCGTTGGTGGAGGGCGCTGATTATTTCGACACCGGTCGCAATCTCGCCGGGGGTCTTGAGCTTGCAAAGACCTTCGTAGCATGCTGAGATGATCTCAGAGAGGTACTTGTGGAGGGACAAGGTGCGGATTTCTTGGAGGAACTGGGTCTGGGAGGACGCGTTGATGGCGGTTCGGAGGCGCTTGATAAAGGCGGTGTTCTTCTTCATGGACGAGTCGAGCGAGCCCTGCACAGGGAAGACATCTGCGCAACGCGTGAGCTTGGGATCTGGTGGGGGCGCATTTCACTACTGACCTTGTTCGCCATCCCACGCTCGGAAGTTGAGCTCACGAAGCTCCCCTTCAAAGTGTTAGTAACGAGCAGCCCCCAAAGAGAGCATACGTACTCTTCCTGGGCCGTTCCATGGTAGAGTAGGTAGTCCCTCAGTGGTGGAGGGGCGGGTGTCGATAGCTCGGGTCGGCTACGACACGCGCACATGGAATATCGGAGCTATATCGGGCGCGACTTCTGCAAGCATTGGGTCGAGCGCAGTGCAGGCAAGCTCACAGTCAGGCAATTGTTTGCGCAAATAAACAGCAAGGCGAGGCCGGTGGTTCACGCAATTGCACACAAGTTGAGGGTTGTTTGAAGTTCGTCCGCAGGTCGCTCTTTCCCCTCGGGGGTGTAGCGTCATTGCCAAGAAAGCAGGTGCGATTGAGCTGGGTGCTCAACCCTCACCCAGCACTGCCTGCAACGCCGAATGGGCAGTCTTGTGCTTGTAGAATAAGCCGACATTACTGCACCATCCTGGTATGATGTGACTCTAGAGATCAGCTCTGTATCGCTGGCCCTGAACAGCAGGCACGAGGCGCGCTTGCTGGAGATACTGGAGATTAGTCTGAGACTGAGCGTGCAGTGGACGGAAGGGACGGAAAGGAAATGGCCTCCAGTCCGCTGTTGATCTGCTACGATCTCTCGACATTGACCACGTCGATCTAAAAATCGATGTCTCTGGCAGGACATTCGCCAATTACGATTTCTATTTCCACTTGGATTATACACTACAATCGATTTTGAACTACGTAGCTCGCAAATAGAGTCAAGCACAGCAGGGGAGGGCCTGAGAAGGATAATGCGCGATCGTGATTGCTGAACATAGTGCTCGTCAGTAACGGCGTCTATGCAGGTCAAGGGATGCAGCGCTTGCTGGCCGCCGGCTCGCCTCAAGAGGTCAGTCAGCTACAATGACTGCAAGCAACACTACATGAGCTTAAAGGGACGCCGTCTTGACTCTTCAACGCCTGCAAGGCTTGCACGTAGCATTCGCTGTTTCGGTGTCTCGAAGCAATTACATTGACGCAAGAAAAGGCGGCTGAGTCTCGTCCGTTGCCTGAATCCTTTTCCCTACAGCGATCCTTGGCCCGTCTATCGCAAATGCGCATCAGCCGAGGATCTCGTCGAGGGGGCGATGTGGAGCGAAGAATGGCGCGCTTAATTGATGGTTCGTCCTTTGAGATTCCATCGTTCACAGATATAGCGTTTGTTAAATGCTAGAATGGCGCCTTAAGAGCAGCATGGTTCATGAATGGTTGAGACAGATATCCTTCTAATGGAGACCGCGTCTTGGTCTTTTAGAGTTCGACCGACGTGGAATTGTGGTTCAGGGGTAAACGGTGAGCTTAGTATTACCGCGGCCTTACTACCGGCGTGCGTAAGCGCCATGGGTGAACGACGACGACTCGTGTGCATGATGAAACAAAATTTGCGGTAGACGATTTTGACAAGCAATGGACGCGATGAAGACAGCGAGTATACGAGCAGTGATATCGGCTGCAACCTCAGCCCTGCAACGCATTTGCCAGTAGGTACAATGATACAGATCTGGAATGACCGCACGGAAATACGATTGGCAACATTACTGTACCTCCCGTTACCGAACAGATCGGCAGATTTGGACATGCACAACCGTATCCCGAGCTTGCGGGACCACGGTCTATTTATCGATTGCCAGCCGTCCGGCGTCTGCTCAGCCTCGTGGGACGGCAGGTCCGTACTGAAGATCTGTTCTGGAAGGCATGGATGCTGGCAGGTGAACTGCACAGAATATTGGATGCAAAGTGCAGCCACTACTGCAGCGCTGAATGGACTGTGTGGGCCACGGCACAATGCCGTCCAGCAGGGGAGACAGGTCATCTCATCTCATCGCTTGATGTTGAGGGCCCTCTCCAAGGTCTCCACCGAATGCCCGTGTTGCTTTTCTAGCTCTTCTTAGTGTCTTACATGCCACTCGCTATAGCGGCTAAGGAGAAAAGGGGAGGGCAAACGTGCTGCTCCGCCCGCTCGTATTCAATCAAATTGACGGGTGACAGCAAGCCCCTGCCGCAAAGCTCGCTGCCCGGCTGTGATGGTAGAGGCGCGCGCCATTGGCCGAGGCCCTTATGTCAGCGCGCATTCGAATGCATTCTTGGCAATGAAACGCGCTGCAAGCTACACCCGGAAAGCGGCAGGGAAGGCGAAATTCCTGCGCACCATGATGCCATTATTGGCACGTAGCATCCAGCAGCAGCGCTCATCGTGCAGGAGCAGGTTTGAGGTCTTGTCGCCGATTCCGCTGTCAGCTGTCGAAGACTGGGCGCTGCCTTTGTACACTCAGACGCCTAAGGCAGCGTGGCCGCCCTGGTGTACCACTGTTCCGCGCAACAAAGGTACAAAGGGAAGGCACAAAAGGACGATCAGGAGCATCTTCAAACAGAACGACCGTCCGCGCTACAGACCTCACGCGCCCAACGGCAGACGGCGCACGGGGGCGTCGTCCTAAAATAACCGGCGAGGCTACTGTGTACATTAGGCTGACCGGCGTGGAGCTCTCGCGCCCGGGGCACCACTCACGCAGCGCATGCCCAGCAGCATCCGTGCCGCGATCTTGCTTTGGGGAAGGGGAGGCGGCCAGTCTGCCCGAATCAGGCGGGTTCCCCCTGCGACGATCGCGCACACTGGCACAGACTTCACCAAGCCCAGAGACACGATGACACTTTGGGTGAAGTCGGCGGTGGCTCACTAGTGTTTCCGCCATTCGTGCCTGTACAAACAAGCCCGGCCCCCTCGTGCAGTGAATTCCCTTCCTCCCCCAGGCGCACCTCCCCCCCGAAACCTGCAGCTCGTCTCCCTTGCGTGCGATCTGTCATGAAATTGTGCTGAACGCTGCTTGTTTCTTGTTTGAACCCCTCACACTCGTTTACCTGCTTGAACAGGAGGTGCATCAGCATTTACCCGCCCAACAAGTCCCGGCAGTACATCCAATATCGACGACGCCGACCCTCACTGTCAGCTGAACTAGCCTGTCTTTTTTGGGACTGCATCTTCTCGTCTACACCCCTCGGTACACTCTCGGTCCCTGCCTCGATTTTCTAGCGCTGTGCGACAAACAGTCCTGCGAGCGTGCGCTGTGTCACCCCACCCGTCCAGCTCTCCGCCGCCCTGGAGCCGCAAGAGCAAGTCAATTGCCTCATACCTCGCTCGCCTCTCGACTTTTGAACGTGGCTCTTAGTCGCCCTCTGCTGCATCCGCATCCAGAGTGTTCCAGCACCCCGTCTCACCGAGAAGCCCTCATCGTACCATCGGCAGCTTAAGCTAGAGCTTTCTGCCTCCACTCGCTATACCCCGCCTAACGACCTCAAAACGACCATATACACTTTAAAACTTCTCGAAGATGTGGGGTTACGCGGAGCCCGTCGTCCGGGCCCTCGTGTCGAGGGCAGACGACAGCATCCCAGATATCACAGATCCGTGGGCAACCAAAGATGTGAGGAGTCTCGCAGCAGTAAATCAGTAATGTAGCTAACTCAAACAGATTGTCTATGTATCTATCGTCGGCACTGTTATGCTTGCCGCACTACTCGAGTGGTTCCTCTGGGTTGCCGCATTCACATACTGTCTGGTCAAGGTCTTCCAGAAGGCTGAGACTATCAGTGTTCGTCTTCTGGCAGTCTTCTTCGGTATCCTGTTCTTCTGTCTTCGGTACGTCCCGCGATTTTGCCAGCTTTCACGTCCATCGCTAACCTTCCCAGTGCCATCTTCCTGCCCATCATGGTTGTCACACTCCCTTTGCCTTCTCAGGTTGTAAAGTACTTCCCCCAAGAGATGGTCGACTTCCTTCAGTGGTTTGCTTTCTGGTCATTTGCTGGTCTCTTGACAATCCCGTGGCTGTTCTGCGTCTACCAGCTCGTCACCCATTCCGTCGGCCGCGCCAGGAGGATCAAAACTGTGCTCGATGAGGCTTCGGCTCCCAAGGTCGTCATAGTTATGCCCTGCTACAAGGAGATTCCGGAGATTCTTCTGCGAACATGCGACTCGCTCGTTGACTGCGAGTACCCTCCTTCTTGTCTGCACATCTTCCTGTCCTTCGACGGAGATCAGGAAGACGAACTATACCTGAACACCATCGAGAAGCTCGGTGTGCCTCTTACCCTCGACTCGTACCCCAAGTCCATCGATGTCATCTACCGTCAGTGCCGTATCACCATCTCTCGCTTCCCCCACGGTGGCAAGCGCCACTGCCAGAAGAGGACCTTCAAGCTCATCGACAAGATCTACTCCGAATACCTCAAGCGCAACGACAACCTCTTCGTGCTCTTCATCGACTCCGACTGTATTCTCGACAAGGCCTGTATCCAGAACTTCATGTACGAGATGGAACTCAAGCCTGGATCCAAGAGAAACATGTTGGCGCAGACCGGTGTCATTACATCCACAACTGAGAAGAACTCGCTCATCACCCTACTCCAAGATATGGAGTACATCCACGGTCAGCTCTTTGAGCGTTCCGTCGAGTCCGGTTGCGGTGCTGTCACTTGTCTTCCCGGTGCCCTTACTATGTTGCGTTTCTCCGCTTTCCGTAAGATGGCCAAGTACTACTTCGCCGACAAAGCCGAACAGTGTGACGACCTCTTCGATTACGGCAAGTGCCATTTGGGTGAGGATCGTTGGTTGACTCACTTATTCATGATTGGCGCCCAAGAGCGATACCAGATCCAGATGAACACCGGAGCTTTCTGCAAGACCGAGGCTGTGCAAACATACGGCTCTTTGCTCAAGCAGCGACGCCGCTGGTTCTTGGGTTTCATCACCAACGAAGTTTGCATGTTGACAGATATTCGTCTGTGGAAGCGCTACCCCATCCTGCTGGTCGTCCGTTTTATGCAGAACACCATCCGCACCACCGCCCTGCTGTTCTTCATCTTAGTTCTCTCCCTCGTCACAACATCACAGAAGGTCGCCAACCTGCCTGTCGGGTTCATTGCCATTTCTCTCGGCCTCAACTGGCTGCTCATGATTTACTTCGGCGCCAAGCTCGGTCGCTACAAGGTCATGCTTTACCCCCTCATGTTCGTAATCAACCCCTTCTTCAACTGGGTCTACATGGTTTATGGTATCTTCACCGCCGGTCAGCGTACATGGGGAGGACCTCGTGCAGACGCCGGTACCGCCGATACCACTGTCACACCTCAGCAGGCCATCGCGCAAGCTGAGGCTGCCGGTGATGATCTCAACGTTGTTCCTGAGACCTTCAAGGCCGCAGCTGAGGCTCACAAAAACCGCCCCGGACCCGTTCCTCTCCAGCCTACTGCCGATATGGAGGGTCGCTTCGCCGCTGCCGAGAGGCTGCCCAACGGCTGGTACCAGCAAAACAACGATTCTGGTCTCACATTCCCGAATATGGCACCTCGCGACCCCAACGCTCCTCACATCCCTCTGCACCCTCGTTCTTCCATGGACTCGTTTACCTCGACCGGCACCTCCGCGAACAACTCCGTCTACATGCCCCGCCGTGTCGAATCCTTCATGGACCCTGAGGATGCTCGCATCTACCACAAGACTCAGGAGACCCAGAAACCTGCTGGTGGCGCTTTCTTCGAGGAGCACCGTCAGCAAGGACCTTACGAAGTCGGCATGAGCTCCGGAAAGGGCGGCTACACTGAGTCGGTTGAATCTCTCTCCAGCGACTCCATCTACGACAAGCAGCAGGCAAATTCACAGCAGTATCAGCGCACATCGCCACTCTCCAACCAGGCCGGACAGGGCGACCTCGCAGCGCCCAAGGCTGCGTACAGCCAGCAGAACAACCGCGATTCCAATGGCTCCGTGCGCCAGGGGCGCAGCCCGCTCGCACAAGAAAGCTACAGGAGCGCACCTGGTGACGAGCTCGGTTATGAGATGACACAGCCTCAAAATCAGAGCCTGATGCGAGACGTCTCTCCCGCCCCCGTGGGGCACAACAGGAGCGACTCGACAGATTCGAAGAAGCGCAAACGCCTCACCAAGGACCGCAAGTAAATGCGATCTCTTTCTTTGACAATCATCTACTTTCGCATCTACACATCAAAAATCTGGACATAGGCGATGGCGTTCAAGCACTTTCGACAACGGTCTGACTTTCCACATGACCTGCACAGAGCAGGGTTCCCGGCGTTTGAGCGGCCGACACATTGCAATCACTTGCATACTTCTTTACTGTACATATCATTAAGCACCCATTGGCGGAGTGTCTTGGCTTGGTTGGATACGACGTAACTGTAGATCATGACTGGTTCGCTCGCTACCATTATTTTCAACAAGCTCGTGTTGTAGTATATACGTGAGAGCGTAGGGCGCTTAATGTTTAGAGGTCTCAGGACTCAATTCAATGATCACCTCACAACTGCGTTCGCTCAACTTTGCCAGTGTGGTTTATTGCACGGATGTCACATTGCGTACACGTAGTCCTGGTACCTTTGCAATGAGATCGCCATCTCCACAAGGTCTATCGAAACATTGACATCGCACAAATTTACATCGGATACCTCCCGGGACTACAGGTATCAAGCTGGCACTACAAGCAGCTTTTCAGTCAAGCACCAGCACCGGGCTGATCGATCTTCCTGAACAACTCAGGGTGATCCATCGCATACTGCACGCCAGCAGCCCAATGGTACAGCTTCGCAGCAATCACGTACCCCTCCTTCGCCCAGCCCTCCAATCGCTCATACAGCTCTGCCAATGGCACATTAACCCGCAAGATATCCTCCCCTTCGTCCAAGTGCTGCTCCGGCTCCGGCTCGCCCTCCTTCAAGTGCACCTCCATCATGCACAAACACATGTTCGCATTCGTCATGCCCGGATCCGCAGCCACAGCCGGACTCGTACTGACCACCTTCCCCTGGTAGCCTGTCTCCTCGTACAACTCCCGCACAGCAGCTTCCTCGGGCTTCTCATTTGCATCGATCAGGCCCGCGGGCCATTCGACCGTTGTTGCCTCCACGGGTGGCCGGAACTGCAGGACCACAATTGTCGAGGGCGGCTTGGAGGGGTGGTAGATTATGTTGCCCATTGCGACAGCATCGACGCCAGCTTTTCCACGTGTCTTGCGCGACGCGACTTCCCACACGCGCGACACGCCTTTGGCATCGATGTAGCCGACTTTCTGCAGCTTGACCCATTTGGCCTCGCTAGAGGGCAGGTCGGTAAATGAGGTCACGCGGGCTTTGGATTTGCTTGCCATGATGGATTTGTGGGTTTAGTTTGTGCTGTGTCTGTTTTTCTGGTCGGAAATGGTGACTCGACAATGGCTGTTAGGACAGGTGGCTAGTGATGTAGCTATGGTGGGGTGGCTTCACATTTGCCGATGACGTAATATGATCAGGTATGGAAGCTGCCACGAGCGATATTGCTGTTACTGACTCCACTGCGATAGGCTTGAGACCAGGTACCTGAATTCAGCACTGAAGAGCATACAAACTGATCCGTCGATCTTGAGCTGGTGCTGGAGTTTCAAACGCAGGTCCCACACTAAAGCCCGGAAAGTTAGCGGCGGGAACTAATCGCGTAACGTCACCTCACTCTGATGGCATCTGATCCCTGATAAGCACCTCCGTGTAGGTGGTTCTCGACTGCGTCCTGACTTAATCTCTATATTTGATTTACTGCTTACGTTGTCATATGCAAGGGTTTGAGCGTTTGTTCTTGTTCATCCATTGCTGGACAACATGACATCGACACGTGCTTTCTCGAATTCTATCTTGAAAGCAGCTTCAAGGCGACAATTTTCCTTGAGTATCAGGCGAGATGCAGACTTCACGCATGCAGTTGTCGGCGGCGGCGTAATCGGACTCGCAATCGCTCGAAAGCTGCAAGAAATAGAAGGTGCATCGACGGTTCTGATTGAGAAGCACAGCTCAGTGGGCACAGAGACAAGCTCAAGAAACAGCGAGGTAACGTGAGCTTCCAATAGTCTGTCTCTTCAGCTCTGAAACCAATACTGACCACTCTAAGGTGATACATGCAGGACTTTACTACGGAACCGACTCGCTTAAGACAAAACTATGCTTGAGGGGCAAAGAGATGTTGTATGGTCTGTGTCAAAGATACTCCATTCCTCACCGAAACACTGGAAAATGGATTGTTGCCCAGGACTCCGCACAACACGACGCAATCCGCAAGGTACATGAGTTCGCCTCTAGCATCGGCGTCCCAACCCGCTTTCTCTCTGCGAAAGAAGCAAAGGAGCGCGAGCCAGACGTCCGCGCCGAAGCAGGTGTGCTTGAAAGCTCATCAACGGGAATCGTGGACTCTCACAGCTTGATGCAGTTTCTGGAAGGCGATTTTGAAAACAAAGATGGCGTGTGCGCATTCCAGAGCCAAGTCGTCCGAGTCGAGCCTATCAATGCCGGACGCGGAGGTTGGGAAATCACGACCAGTAGTCCTGACGGCGAGGAAACAACAGTTACAGCGGAAACCCTCATCAACTCTGCCGGACTCTACGCCGTCTCGATTTCTAATATGATCTTGCCCTCTGATCGACAGCGGAAAGCCTTCTACGCAAAAGGAAGCTACTTCAGCTACTCTTCCTCACGCCCAAAACCCTCCACCTTGATCTATCCCGCTCCTGTTCCCGGTCATGGCGGTCTCGGCACGCATCTGACGCTCGATATGGGCGGGAGAGTGCGCTTTGGGCCGGACGTCGAGTGGACCGATTCGCCCACGGATTACACGCCCAACTCGAAGAATCTCAAAGCTGCAATTGACGATATCCAAACTTATCTTCCAGGGGTCGATAGAGATGCGATTGCACCAGATTATGTTGGTATACGACCGAAATTGGGACGCCTGGCGGCAACAAGTGGTAAAGACTTCCAGGATTTTTACATCGCAAGAGAAGAGGGATTTCAGGGGTTTATCAATTTGCTAGCCATGGAGAGTCCTGGGCTGACGAGCAGTCTGGCGATTGCAGAGGAGGTGGAGGCATTGTTATATAAGTAGATCTACACAAAGCGTTTGCGTCACTGGGTGACGATCGACGTAATTCGCCAGGTGATGGAGTATGAAGGGCAAAATATGTGCGATTTGTGATGAAGTTCAGAGTCTGAAAGGCGCGCATTGTATCGATATAGGCTATTTGCAGCACGCCAAACCCGCCTCAGGCTACAAGAACTATGGGCACCTGACAACTTGCGCTTTCTCGACTCATCAAATCGACCGCTATTTCATACAATTGTAGCGACGGCTCTTTCCTGCTCGACTTCTTCAAAGCGTCCACGATCCGTATCAAGATCCATGCCCTTCGACGTCACCCTCTTCGGCGTATAGGACACCATTCATGCTGTAATATTGAGAAGTATTGCAGTGGGCATAGATTGATGGACGAGCAGATCAGATGCCGTACAGATGTAGAGGTTAGGCTAAGGCTAATAGAGGCTGCTCAGGGTGTATGAGCTTGTTATCTGCTAACTTAGCTCAGAAGAGTAATCTGGACCCAATTTTTTCTTCTTTAATCTGGTCTTGTCTTATATGTATCGATCAGCTTTAAAAAAAAGGAAGACCGCAATACCAATCTATCAAGTCACGAACCTGCACCAGATTCGGCTATAATTGGTTGTGCATTGCCGGCCACTTGAATGGCAACGACGTACGGCGAGGCGACAACTAGACTCTTTATCTTCATTCCGCCCACAGGCGGCCGCTGTGGCTCGAGACGACCATACCAGATGGTAGAAGGGCGTGCAGTGGCAACAAGCGAGTGGACCAGGCAGCTACAACCAGCCGTATTTCTACTTGAGGCTGCTGTCTGAGGGACAGAGCTTGAAGGCCAACGAAACAAAGACCTTCGTTAAGATCAGTTATTAGGACAGACGTCTCCAGGAGAACCATTGAATAGCAGACAAGCTTACATGACCATTTTCCATATTAAAATCCGCATACCTGCAAGAATGTCAAGATTGAACAAAATTACAAAAACTTGCTCGATCGTTTGTTCAATTTACGCTTCCCAACACGCCTGACTGGCTCACATTTGATGCTAGAACCACCCAAGGGTCGAAAGCAGATCCGTAAAGGACCACAAGTTGGGTATAAGCTTTGCCAAGTGCGCCTTGGTGCAAGTCTCAAAGGCCAGCTGAATGTGAAGGCGCGAATCAGGTTATTCCCGGTGATGGCAATCGATCCCTGCCTCATTTTGAAGAGCCCGTCAAGATGTGATCGAAATTCGCACGACACGTAGGAATTGGAGTCTGAAATGCGCATGGAGCGTTGCTTCCTCGAAGGAAACGCGGGCTCCAGGGAAGAAAGGCTACCAACGAAGGATAGATTTCGACTGCTCGCAACCAGACACTGAACACTAACATTTGCACTCCATCCGGATCATCATCGCTCGACGGCGCGAGGAACAGCTCAGCACATCGGACGCGGATTCTTCCTTCGTGCTTCACCCAATAGCTGCGCCTCCGATCCCCCTCGCGAGTCGCTCGACCCTGCGCATTTTCGTAGCGCAAGACACAGGTGCACCTCCGACACGACCTGATTCGAAGCTATCGAAAGTCGGAGGTCTGGAGGAGTCGATATGAGGCTTTTAACCCACCGCCACCTCCGACTTTGGCTTCGTGTTCAATCCCCGAGATCTCCCCAGGTTCTTTCTGGGGCTGGAGATGTCTCGGTGTTTCGGAGACGCTAACAGCCTTCTTCAACGTCCATTTGAAATCGCACTCCGTGCCAACCTTCAAGACCATATTCGATAACGCAGGAGTGAAGGACTTTGTGAAATGGCAAGCTGAGGCTCCACGACTGCCGATTCTACGGCGTCCTGAATTGCGCCCGGAGGATGCATCAGCAGATCAATACGACAAGTCAGCCGATGCTCCAGCCCATCAGCGCGCACTAAGCTTTCGGGCGCACCTTGACATAGCAGTTCTGCGCCGCTTACACGTACCAAGCAACGCTTAGCACGTCTTGGTGCTTGCTAGCGACGACACGAACGATGGTGGCGCCACTCACCCCGGACATTTCTGTCATATAATTGGCGGAGCCCACCAGCTTTGCGGGGACGCACGGGTGGGGACGTCACGACGACGAAAGACGACGGCCGTGCGACGCCATATCGACTGCAGGCATAGCGAATTGAAATTGAGTCGCTCTAACGCCGCTCTGAATGCTGCGAGCTCGGGGGTGGTGCACTTGGCGGCTGGGCCCTAGGGAAGACGTTAAAAGGTGGGCTGTTCCCCAGGTTTGAGGCCGCATCGCCAACTGCTCTCCAGACGCAGACGACTCACTCCACACCCCATCATGGCAGACGAGAAGTATGGCGCCGAACAGCGCGAGTACGCCCCGCCAACGCAGGAGAAGATAGGCGCAGGTCGCTACCTCGCGACCCGTGTCACCACGCTCAAGCCCGCCATGGCCAAGGTGCAGAACCCCATTGCATTGTTGCGGCTGCTGAATCTCCAGCAATGGATGTTCTTCCTGGTCGCGTTCTTCGCATGGTCGTGGGACGCGTTTGATTTCTTCACCGTGTCGCTCACAGTCGAAGATCTTGCTGAGACTTTCGGCAAAACCAAGAAAGGTGGGCAACACGTGCGAGAAAGTACGAGAAAGAAATCAGGTCTGACTGATTTTAGACATCACGTGGGGTATTACCCTTGTGCTCATGCTGCGTTCGGTCGGCAGTATCATCTTCGGTTTGGCTGCTGATCGTTACGGACGAAAGTGGCCCTTCATCATCAACAACGTCTTGTTCATCGTGTTGGAGCTGGGTACTGGATTCTGCTCAACATACGAGCAGTTCCTTGGCGTGCGAGCTCTCTTCGGTATTGCCATGGGAGGACTTTACGGCAATGCTGCTGCAACTGGTGCGTAGTTTTGTATACTGAGTACAACCAAGCTGACTCAACCTAGCTCTCGAAGACTGCCCCGAAGCCGCCCGCGGTATCATTTCCGGTATGCTGCAGCAAGGTTACGCCTTTGGATACCTCCTGGCTACCGTTTTTGCCCGTGCCTTTGTCGACACCGTCGGCCACGGTTGGCGTCCACTCTTCTGGTTTGGCGCCGGCCCACCCGTCCTCATCATCCTCTTCCGCCTGTGTCTCCCCGAGACCCAAGCGTACCAGGAGCGCAAGCGCATCCGTGAAGAGGAGCCCAACGCAGCCAAGCTGTTCGTCGAGGAGGGCAAGCACGCGCTCAAGAAGCACTGGATGCTGCTCGTCTACATGGTGCTCCTGATGGCCGGGTTCAACTTCATGTCGCACGGCTCGCAGGACTTGTATCCAACAATGCTTTCCAACCAGTACAACTTCTCGGCCAACCGCGTCACCGTCACACAGGTCGTTGCAAACCTCGGCGCTATGACGGGCGGTACTCTCGTCGGATACAGCTCCTCCATCTTCGGCCGCAGAATCAGCATCATAGTCATGTGCGTCATAGGCGGGGCGCTGCTGTACCCATACACATTTACTAGCAGCAACGCCGTCATCGCCGCGGCCTTCTTCCAGCAATTCTGCGTCCAGGGCGCGTGGGGCGTCATCCCGATCCACCTGATGGAGCTCTCGCCAGGTTCGTTTCGGACGTTTGTCGTCGGCACGAGCTACCAGCTGGGCAACCTCGTGTCGTCGGCGTCGTCGACGATCGAGGCCACGATCGGCGAGCGCTTCCCGCTACCACCCAAGGGCAAGGTGGCGCGATACCAGTACGGGCTGGTTATCTGCATCTTCATGGGCTGCGTGTACGCGTATGTCATCCTGCTGACGCTCCTGGGGCCGGAGCACAGGGGCAGGAACTTCGACGTCGCCGCGGACGAGGATATGGTTGCTGTTACGGGCGTGGAGCACAAGATCAGAAACTACAGCGTCGACGAGGATGAGCGCAAGGATGTTCACGTTTAGGGAGAGTCTCAGTTGCGTCCATCTGCAAAGACCTCTAGGCCTTGGTTAGCACTATACTACACTATGTAGCACTCGGAATCGCATCAAGCATCGTCGAACATGTCAAATCTTGGAAGATTCCACCTCATCGTGAGACCATCCGTCCCGTGCTGCACGCTAGCAGAGACGACTCACTTGTCCACGCTGCCACTGCTCTGCGCCAGCTGATCGAACTTGCTGCCGCCCAGCGTGTCAGCGCCCCAGGACTCGCTCTTCTGCAGCAAGGTAACCATCAGCTCCTTCAGCTCGGCGACGTCGCGCTGCAGCTTCTTGACCTCGAGCACGGCCGTGTCGAACTCGACATTGGGCTTCGAGGCCTGGACCTTCTTGTCCCAGCCGTCAGCCTCAAAGTCGCATTCGTGCAGGACCTGCTCCCACTCGTGCGTGACGTCCTCGTCGGCCTCGCCGCGGTTGCGATTGCTGCGGACGCGGCGAGCGTCGCGCTGCTCGAGGAAGGCCGTCACAAGCAGCAGCGGGCTGTACAGCACGGCCATGACCATGTCGTTCAGGTGGTCGTAGCGCGCGCTCGGCATCCACCACTCGAAGGGCAGGATCAGGAACAGCATTTCGATCAGGTTGAATGGGGCGATGAAGACGTTCTCGTCAGGCGCGCGAACGAATTGCATTGTCTTTTGGCTGAAGAGCGCCATGTATTCGTCCGTGGCGTTGCCGGTTATGTCTTCATAGGCCGAGTTGTAGAGCGCGATGAGGATGTTGAGCAGGATCACCATGACGACAAAGGTGAAGATGTAGTAGAGGATCAGGCCGAAGGGGGGCTGGGGGCGTTAGTTTGAGCGTGGAAAGAAGAAAGAACTGGGAACGTACGGCGAAGTTGTCGAAGCCCTCGAACTCGGGACTCTGCATAATGGCGTTCAGCATGGCTTGCATGACGAAGCCCATGTCGTTCATGACCTGGTCCTCGGCGATGTCGAGGCCCATGAAGGCCTGCAGGAAGCCGACGAGGACGACGAACAGCAGCAGGAAGAAGATCAGACTCTCGCGAAACATGACCTTGAGCACGACCAGCATGGCGCCGAAGAAGCGGAACGTGTCAAAGTACAGCAGCAGGCGCATCCAGAACATGGGGGCGGTGAAGGCGAGGAAGTTGTAGCCTAGCTCGTTGAAGTAGGCGCGCGGGCTGGCGCGGTCGCCGTGGTGGCTGTGTTCTTCGGCAGGATGGCTGACGGCGACGATGCGGAAGACAAAGGACACGGTGAGCAGGGCGTAGAGGGTGCTGTTGAACATGTTCCAGAAGGAGAGGTAGAAGCGGCCGACCTTGTAGAACTTGTTGGCCTCGTCGCAGATGAAGCCGAGGGTGAAGAGGTAGAGCAGGCCCTCGACGACGTCGAGGTCGGCGTCGGCATTGATGGTGTTGATGGCGCCCGTGAACAGGCCCAGGTAGAGCAGCGAGAAGATGATCTGCACCCAGTTCTGGTAGCGCGGCACGCGCATGCGGTCCGGGTCGAGGTGGGCCCAGAGGTTGGTGTTGGTCTTGTTCTCAAACTGCACGAAGCGCGTGGGGTCCTCGTCGTCCTGGACGATCCAGCCGCGCCACAGGTACGAGATGCACTTCTGGTAGCCCGACGAGCCGATGACGGTCACGGCGTGCAGGTCGACGGCCTTCTCGACGGCGTTGGCGGGCACAGTGGGCTCGCCGTCGACGAGGATCGAGTAGCGCTTGAGCAGAACCTCCTCGAACAGGTAGTCCATGTCCTCCTCGGCCTCGATGATGCGCTTGGCCATCATCTCGGCGGCCACGGCGCGCACCCCGTGCAGGTCGGCGTCCCACAGCTCGGCGGCGGCCTGCTTCTCGCACCACTTCTTGACGATCAGCAGGCAGTAGACGACGCAGGCCGTCTTCTCGCCGCCGGCCGAGCCCGCGCGCGTCGCCGTGTCCAGCACGGCCGGGGTGATGATGGGGCTGTTCGCCTTGGTGACCTTGTCCTCCTCGAGCTCGTAGGGGATAATCTGCTCGATCTGGTGCTTCAGGCGCAGGCAGATCTTGGTCACCTCCTTGGGGTCCATGGACGGCGGGTGCACATGCTCGCGGCGCGTGGGGAGGACTGGGCCGTCAGCGTCTGCCGTGTCTGCCGTGCTTGCGGTGCTTGCGGTGCTGGGGGGGTCGAGGGGGCAGACTGACGCGCGTTGGCACCGTTCTCGAGGCGGATGCGACCTTCGCGCTCGCCGGCGCTGAACAGCTCGTTCCACGCGGGCATGGCCGGGTGGGGAGGTGAGGAGCTGGAGGGACAGAGGTGTAAGAGGTGTGAGAGATGTGAGAGGTGTATCGACGTATGTGCAGCGCAGCACTTCAATTGCTCTTGCAAGTGACAACGGCGGGCACGCGACACGGGCGCGAGCAGGATTGATAGCGCCGTGATGTCGTTGGCGGGCTGCCAGAGCTCATCGTCATCGCAGAGCTCGGGCCTCTGTTTCAGCTTGCACTTCGACTTCACGCCAACACGTGATTGGGGTGTCTGGATGCTGCATTCTGCATTTACACTTCTTTTGTCAACGTCTACGGTGCAATGCACCCGTCCAGAGAATCATCCACATGTCAGATATCCCGCGTTCGTGCCAGATACCCCGCGTTCGTGCCAGATACCCCGTGTTCGTGCCAGATACCCCGTGTTCATGCCAGATATGCCCTGTTCATGTCACATATGCCGCACATGCTCGACGAGTGCTCGACGAGTGCTAGACCAGCCCAAACGCCGGTGTCCGCTTTTGACCATGTCCCATCGTAATCGTCTCGTCAACATGCATCGTCTAGGCATCGGCTGCCGCCGCCGCCGCCGCCGCCGCGCCCACCTCGCCCTCGTCGCTCGAGCTCTCGTCCTCGTCGCCGCTGACCTGCTGGTTCTCGCGCTCGCGCTTCTCCATGAGCGCCGCCAGCTCGGCGTCGTCGTTCTCCGTGACGGCGCGGGGCGCCATCTTGACCTGGCAGTCGCCGCCCGCTTTTGTGATGCTCGCCTTGATGTCCTCGATGGCCTGCTCCAGCGTCGAGATGCCGACCGTCTTGTCGAGGCACTGCGAGGTCAGGACTGCACAGTATAGTCAGCACAGGCATCTAGCGAGGGTCAGTCACAGGACACAGGACGCACCGTAGAGCGGTGGCGACACCAGCTTGACCTTGACCTGGTTGTCGGGCGTGTTCTTGGCCTCGGCGGTGCGCAGGGCCTCCTTGACGGCGTCGATGCCCTCGTAGCCAAAGCACGTCACCTCGATGTCGGAGCGCACCTTGGTCGGCTGGGGCGTCAGGCGCTTGCCAATGTAGCTTTGCAGCTCGTCCTTGACCACGTCGTTAGGGAACGTCACGTCGTTCCAGACCTCGGGGTTCGTGATGCTGAGCTTGAAGGCGTCAATCGAGTGGCCGTATTTCTTGTTCAGCGGCCAGCCGATGCTCTGGTACAGTTCCTCGATGGGCGTCTGCGTCTTCTCCGCCACGTGGCGCATGATGCTGTGCACCATCTTCGACTTGTTGTAGCGCTCCTCGCACTTGACAATGTCCTCGGGCGACACGCGGCGCTTCGACAGGTCGATGTAGCCCTTGTCCTTGTCGACTCGGAGCACAACGACGACCTCATTGCGGCCCACGCGAATCAGCTTCTGGATCGATCGGATACGTCTGCGCGACAGCTCCGAGAGCAGGATCATGCCGTCGATGTTGTCTTCGCCCGTTAGCCTCTGCAACCTCTGCCCGCGCCCAGCGGTCCCGGGCTGCACCCACCGTACTCGAGCAGCTTGACGTATGCGCCCATCTCGGCAATCTGCTTGACGTTGACCATGACAAAGCTCTCCACCTCCGGGTACTTCTCCTCGTAGAACCGGCAATTTGTGAGAGACATGGTGGGCGGCTGTTGCTGCTGTGTGTGGGGAGGAAGTCTTGGGTGTCGCTCGACTGTTCGTTCGCGGCGGATGCGTCTCGTATGCGCAGAGTATCGTGGGCGTCGTGGGCGTCGTGACTTTCGTGAGGCTCTATGCGTGTTGCGCCGCGGTGGGGTTTGTTCGGAGCCAAAGACGGTCCGGCGTCGTGTGTCGCTGACTTTTGTGACTCAATTTGCCCACATTTCGAGAAATCAAGCGCGGGGCGGGGCGGCGGCGAACATGACTCGCGCGGGCCGCACGCTGCATCGTGTCCTCGACTCGACTTCATGGCCTCTCCGACTCCATGTGCCTTCATCCAATATTGCCCACAGCATAAGTCTTGCTGCTTGACGACCAGTGTAAAAGCTCGGACAGGCCATCAGGCTGGTCGAGAGTGGCCTCGCATTGCCATTCACCTTCGACCTGATCTCTTTCCTAATCAGAAGCTGAAGCTGAGACACCCGTGAACACCTCTACTTCAACTTCCATGGTCCAACCTTTGGTCAGTCTTGTCGGTCGTGGAATGGTACCCTTGAGGAGTCGACTTTCACGTTATCCAAGGTTTCTCATGTGTCACTGCTTCACATCAGATGTACATCTCTGGATTGGTATACCGTCCACTTTGGCACTTTCATCGTACTTCCTCAGTCGTCGCCCATATTAATTCTCTGCATGGAGCGTGTAATTACGGCACACGATTTCGTTCAGATCGCTCTGCTTTTACAACGGTGAATGATGCTTTCTGGTCAGCCTGCTCCACCCAAGTGAAAGCCACTGTTTGTCCCGTTGCCCTCTCCAGCACCGCGCACTCTTGGCACCCACATCCCACCACCTATAAGATACCCAATTCCCCGCCATCACCTTGGCTTCTCTACCGCGCTACAGACAGCTCTCAACTCAACTGACTGTACCTTCGCACCGCGATCACCCACACTCGTTCTTCACCATGCACTTCCCCAACACCGCCGCCTGCATCAGCAGCCTCCTCATGGTCACCGCGTCCGCCAGCACGCCCGCCTCCTTTGAGGTCCCCGGCACGGGCTTTGGTACCGCCGCTGTGCCTGGCGCGCCCGAGGTCGACACCACCACCACCGTCTTCGAAACGTCCACCTTCTACGTCACCTCCGCCGTCACCGTGCCCACGCCCCTGGCCAGCACATCCAGCGCCGTGGAGATCATCAGTGTGCCCGCTAACAGCAGCGCCGTCACAGCCAGCTCGTGCTCCGAGGCCGTGCCTCCCGCTGAGGTGACGCCCACGCAGTCGCTCTACGTGATCGGCAGTCAGACCTTTGTCCCTGTGACGCTCTGGGAGAACAGCACGACCCGCGTCATCTACCCGCAGAACAGCACGGCGATCGCCATCCCGACCGGCTATCCTGCCAACGGCACGAGCACGGTCGTCGTCACCACGTCTGTCTCCAAGACCGTAGCTTCCTCCACTTCCAATGTCTCCGCGACTGCGGAGCCGTCTGCCACCGTCAGCGAGGTTCCCGTCAACGGCGCTGGCAACGTCGCTGCCGATGCTGTGTTGGGACTGGGGCTTGTCGCTGGTTTCATGGCCTTGTTATAGGCGCAGCCCACAAGTTAGCAGTGTCTGAGCAACGCATACGCACCTCCTCCGCCTGCCTTTTTTTCCTCTTCGCACGACTCAGGGAGACAGTTTCCACAGCTCGTGTGATGCACACTGGAGCGTAATATAGAATTCGCCATGTTGGCACCGATTTGGACGGCGATGTGATGAGTGCATGGTATCTCAACCAACGTACAGACAATGGAAACATACCATCCAAAACCAGACATCTCCCCGTGATATATTTTTCACTTTCCCACTCTTCCTCAGCCAATACGCCACCACTCGCACACCCGCCATCTAACATAAATTGCTGTGCTGCCTTCGCTGATGCTTCTTTACGCTCAACATGTCCTCCACCTGGCATTCTCTGCCCTGCTACATTCTCCTTGCTAGTGTACAGCTGAAGAGACGGCTAATGCGCGTACCATATGTCAGCCTGGCACCTCAGTTCATACGGTACACTGTGAACTGCACCTCACGTGACTGTGTTAGTCACCTGCTTACTTATCTGGTTGTGTATATAATTGCTCGCTGTAGCTCCCTCAATACAACAACCTTCTGCCTCATTTGTATCTGCCCTGTGCTCCTACATCTAACAGTTATGAGCCTAGTATCCCTGCACTACGCTGCGATACTCAAATAAGATTGTTCACCCTTTTTTTGATTGATTGCTATACACGCTGTACACAAAGTACACGTCGTCCCTACAATCCTCCTATTGTTGCATGCCTGCTGTCGTCGCAACCTTTTGAGATTATATCTTGTCTACTAAGGCCATCTCCACGCCTCTAGTACTTTTGATTGTTATACACGTTGTACACGTCGTCACTGCAATCCTCCTGTTGCTGCGCGCCTGCTGTTGTCGCATTTACGCAACGCCGTGAGAACCAGTTCTCACACTTTGAGGTTTTACCTTATTTTCTCTGCCAATTAGCAAGGCAGCTCTTTTGCCACTATAGCTACTACAATCCTACAAGGTTCCGCAGACTGGATACCTTGGTACGCTGCCAAACGACGATACGCTACGATCAAGGGCGTATGGCAGTACTGCGATCCTGATTCAGCTACTCCGTCTCCACCACCTGTTGCAGAGCCATCTGATGAGGCCTCAGCGGACAAGTGGAAGATCTGGGAGATCAAGTCTAAACGCCAGGAGTTAATCTAAAAAGCAATTAGTAAGGTCAATCTTGAGATCCTACGCACTGTTGCTACGTCACACGTCCACCTCATTAATGGGGCGGAGCACGACGATCCTTGGAGTCAGCTTACGACGCTCCGAAAGCATTTCAAGGTCACAGACCAGCAGCGCAGGCTAGAGCTTGCTGCCAAGTACAGCGATATTCAGAAGAAGCCAAAGAACCAGAGCACCCAGGCCTGGCTGGACGAATACTCGCAGATCACATCTCAATGTGCTCAGGAGAGCATGCCAGAGATGACAGAGACCCGAGCACAGTGGCGATTCATCCATGCTGTACGGGACTTAGGAGATGAGGCATGGGCTTAAGCCCAGTTCCTCGCCATAGAGCAAGGCGAATCAAATGCCCTTCTGCCAACTCCTACCCTGCAGGATTTAATTAGCTAGTATCAACAAACAGTACCTACAGCCCAAAACGCAACTCAGCCACTAGGAAGCTTTACATCTCTGTCCATCACAGAGCCCAAGCTGAATAATTACCCAAAGAAGGACTAATCAATAGGTTAATCAACGTGCGTCTGTGGGCTCTACCTATCAGTACTCCAGTGCTTCACTCTTAATCCTGAGGCTAAAGGCAGGTTTAAGGACTTTAAGCCTAGCACAAAGGCCTTATCTAAGCTTATTGTATCCTTTCAAAACAAGGATACGCTTAAGAAGGTCAAGAAGGCCTACAAGGACGCTGGCATACGATGGACGTTCGACCTAGAGAAAGCTAAGGCTGAGATAGCTAAACGCAAAAACTCCGCATCACGTCATGCTCATCAGGCCGATACTGCTTCAGACTGTAGCTCCGATGGATACGCGTCCAATACAGCCTGTCTCAAGCAGCCCTTGCAGCTGCTGCAGTCCAATACTGCACTATCGCTGCACGCTCAATCGCTGCAGCACCGATGGGTCATGGACCCTGGATCAGACGTTCATATCTGCAACAAGGCAGGATCCAATTAGAAGCAGACAAAGCTTCCTTCCTCTCAAGACACTGTACAAGCAGGCTGTAACTTGTATCAGATACAAGCCTAGGGAGAGGTAACTCTTAACGTAAAAAGGGGCAATCAGACAGCCTCAATCACGCTTAAGAAAGTGGCATATATCCTAGGATATGTAGCTAATATCTTCAGCCTAAGCTGCTGCAAGAAGATCTACTTTAATTTAATAACAAACACGCTCTTTAGGGAGGATAAGTTACTATCTCTCTTCATAGACCTTAATTAAATTAGAGGTCACTAGTTCTTAAAAGCTCAAGACGCCAAACAGCCTTTTCAGGCTATGGCAGCTGCTTCTACTCAAGCAAAATCACCTTAAGTTGTCACTGCGATGAAAGCTCATCAGCTGCTCAGCTATCCAAGCCATCAGGCTATCAAGCATCTTAAAAACTCCACAACTAGCCTCACATTAGGCACTAACAGAAAAGGAGAACAATAGACAGATTCTTGCATCCCTTGCATCAAGGGCAAGATAAAGGAAGACGTTAGTCGACGTCCTTAAGCTAACAAGGCTTACTACCCTTTCTACTACATCATTGTAGACATCATTCAGCTCTAAAAGCATGGCGAGGCCTGCTACAACAGTGATGTATAGGCACTACATGCAGTATATAAGTACACAAAACTACATAAGATCTGTACTCTTAAGGATTAACACAAGGCTACTGTTGTTCCTACAATCACACGTCTCATTAACAAGATTAAGCGTGTATATAGCTACTAAGTAGCTATAGTCTTCATGGACAGAGACGTAGGATATGGACGAGCTGAGGCCAGTTTAGGCTCTTCTGCTCAAGAGATCCTCTTATTAGCTGGCATCAAGGTCAAGACAAGGTCTCCTGATACTCCTGCACAGCTAGGGGGTGCTGAGCGAGCTGGTGCTATCATTGTTACCGTCGCTAGGGTTCTTCGTATCCATGCTGGTCTACCAAAGATGTTGGCCAACGAGCTAGTCTGCACAGCAGCAAGGCTGCTCAACATCACGCCTACAAGATCTATCAACTAGCGCACACTACATGAGATGGTCACTGGCGTCCGCCCAGACCTCTCTCAACTCCACGCTATTAGAAGCCGTGGATTTGTGCTCAACAAGCACCTGGCTAGAGGAGATAAGCTTAAAGATCGCACTTTTGAGGGATTCCTCCTCAGCTATGACGCCTCAAACATCTATTAAGTATGGCTGCCAGCCACAAATCGCGTCATCTGCGTACGCGACGTACGCTTTGTAGACAAGCTTTACAAGGATAAGCCATCTGCTCTACCTGCAAGGTCTTATATTGTCAAGGCTGCACACATTCCTAAGGAGGAATACAATAGTAAGACTATCGTTGTCGCTCAGCCAGTGCGGCAGCGACAGGCTGCAGTTGCTCCAACTCCTGCACAGAAGCAAGTACAGCAACTGCCTTCTCCTACTACTACTGCTCGTAGTACACCTGATTCTCACGACTGTCCTGATCCGGCTGAGCAACAGCTATTTCAGGAGTCCTCTGCTGCTGCACAGCACATAACACCTAGGGGGTAGAACTCTAATAAGAACCCTGATGAGGACTCAGATACAATCAGAGCTGCTACACCTGACCTAGTCACGCATGCGCCATACGTCCCAGATTAACATCAGAACAACACTCCTTAACAACAAGATCTAGATCTCTCACAGGACAACATTATCACTAGCAGAAGACGCCGCTAGGCGCACTTCATTGAGGCTAGTCCTTCGACTAAGTACTATGCCTTTGCTGCTATTATTCAGTAATCACGTGAGGCTACTTCTCTTGCCTCAGAACTTAGGATCAAGCCTGATCCTACTCGCCTTCATCGAGATGATCTTCCTCCTCCACCACATCACTGGAAGGAGCTCCAGCACCACCCACACGGGAAGCAGTTTATAGCTGCTGCCTATACTGAGTTCGGTAACTGCTGGAACAAAGGCACCTTCGCAAAACCAGATATCACAGTCTCATACATTGATGACGCTGTACCTTTGATGTGGGTTTTTACCTACAAGTTTGATGAGGATGGCTATCTACTCAAATACAAGGCTCGCCTTGTAGTGCGCGGGGACCTGCAGGAGCAGTACGGCGATACCTACGCAGCCACTCTAGCAGCACGGCTTTTCCGAGCGCTTATGGCCCTTGCCTGTGCCTTCAACCTCAAGGCCATGCAATACAATGTGCCAAACGCCTTCCTCAACGCTCTGCTAGATCGTACTCTATATGTGAGAACTCCAGATAGATTTCAGCACAAATACGGTCAAACACTGCAACTTCTACGCGCTCTCTATGGCCTCAAGGAAGCTCCTCGCCTGTGGGCAATCCACTTCCAGGAATCGCTTCGAAAGCTAGGCCTACACCCTGTTCAGGGCTTTCCATGCCTGTGGATAAATAATAGGGTTATTCTCTTCTTCTATGTGGACGATATCATCATCCTGTACCACATAGACTATCAGGAGGACTTTCAGCAGCTTGAACAGCAACTAATCAAGCTCTACAACCTGCGCCAGATTGGCAATGTTAGATGGTTCCTTGGTATCCGAGTTGAACGCGTCCTGGCTAGCCGTCAGCTCTACCTTGTTCAGGATGCTTTTATTAATAAGGTCTGCACTAAGTACGACCTTATCCGTACTAATAGTAGATACCTATCTACGCCTCTCTCTTCTACTTCAAGGCTATTGCCTTACAATAGCCTTTTAGAGCTATTAAACACAAAGGCCTACCAACACCTTGTAGGCAATCTTGCGTACATTAAGGTCATGACTTGACCTGATGTAGCACATGCTCACTCTGTCCTTGCAAGGTTTCTCACAAACCCAGGACCAATACACCTCTCTAAGATCAAGCACGTGTGGCAGTACCTGTACGGAACTAGGTACCTAGCCATCAGTGCTCGAGGGGGTAAGCCTACACAGACCTACGCTACCAAGATTAATTCAACTACTCCAACCTTCTTTGGTGCTGCTGATGCATCATTTGGAGATGACATTGAGACTCGTCGATCGTCTGCTAGATACGTGTTCATGCTCTATGGCATGCCAATCGACTGGAAAGCTACTATACTTCGATTAGTTACTCAATCTACCACTGAGGCTGAGCTGTACGCTCTCTCAGCCGCTGGCGTTGAATCACAATACTGGGATCGCTTCTGCCGCAATATTGGCTTCACGCTGCATACCAAAAAGGCTCTCTAGTGTGACAATGCACAGACTGTACGCCTTGTTCAAGGTGATGCAGATCGCATCCAAACAAAGCTTCGCCATGTCGATATACACCAGATGTGGCTTCGCCAGGAGGTAGACTCTGGAAGAATCGCTGTCGAGTGGAAGCCTACTGCTGAGATGCCTGCTGACGGCTTCACAAAGCTGCTTCCTCAACAGAAACACAAGAACTTTATAGGCCAGCTTGGCTTGAAGGACATTTATCACTTAATAGTTAGGGACTCTCCTTGCCCTCTACCCCTTAGTTAGCTAAACTAGCTGCGCAGTATGTGTAAGCATCTTATTCTCTTAGTATTTTTCCTTGTTTTGTGAGGTTTCTATCTAACATAGAATCCTCAGGGGGTGTGTCAGCCTAGCACCTTAGTTTATACGGTACACTGTGAACTGCACCTCACGTGACTGTGTTAGTCACCTGCTTACTTATCTAGTTGTGTATATAATTGCTCGCTGTAGCTCCCTCAATACAACAACCTTCTGCCTCATTTGTATCTGCCCTGTGCTCCTACATCCGACACCATAGACTCATGTACCTTAGACGGTCACGATGGTGTAGACTGCAGTGTGTAGGGAGGAGACGGCTTGAGACATAAGATGCGCACCCCCGCATCCTGTGCGTACTGCAAAACGCAGATGCCAGCCCGCCTCGCGGCCATGCACGACAGACAATTTACCGTGCAAGTGCTCAGCCATCAATCCGGGTCCGGGTCCGGAGACGCCATCGCGTGCCAGGTCGCCAACGACGCGGTCCACAACGCCGTCGCCGCGAACCCGAATTTGAAATCGCCAATGCAAGCAGTCGCAGATAATCTGCGTCTGCTGTGGACTCACGCAACCTCAGAACTAGAGAGAGTGCGCAGTAAGGATGCCGTGGAAAATATGCCACATCGATTCTGGACAAGGCACTCAACAGCGTGAATGATGCTGTGGAACGCGCTGAAGTCCTTGAACGACGACTCACAGGGGACACCACGCTCAGCTCCATGTCTGAACAGGGAGCTGCCGCCCTGGCCACATTTGATGACCTCAAGAACCGTCGAAATATTCGTACAGGGAACTTGCTTGTTGTGTGCGATACGTGTTGCGTTGTTGTTGATCTCACTAGCTACAAGGTCAACCAAGTCGATCCTTCGCAGCTGGAGGAATGTGCAGGAGGTTCCGGAAAGCTCTGCGGCGCAGTGTTCCTTCGATCAGAAGTTCGAAGCACGCATGAAACAGATCCTTGGAGATGCATGGAACGTCCCCGCCGATTTGATCAAGTCTTTCATGAGCACACAGTGGGAGAATAAAATCAAACGCGGATTCGATGGGAGAAACCGAAATTGGAGGATCACACTTCCATGCGAGTGCAAAGTGCGGGGTGCACTTGCTCATATTGACTTGAGCCAGTAAGTCTGTGATAAGCCGGGACTCCTCCCAAGCTCACAAGCGCCTCCAGGGGTCATGTTGGAGAAGTATTTGAAGAAGTCATATCAGAAACTCGCCTCCTCATCAAGAATCAGAGAAACACGATTGTAGCGAGGAAGCGTCGCTTCCCAAAGTTAGGCTTAAACCGCTGCATGAGTGGCCTTCAAGCTGATCTGGTGCAGGCTATCGCTCTGGTCGATGGTTTGGGAAGTAGCAGATATCTTTACAACCTCCTGAATACTGAGCACTAGCACTACAGTATTGAAGTTTACAAGTCTAGTAGCAGAAAAATGTAGGTCGTTCCCTATCCTTGCGTGAAGTAGCTGAACTTGTCTAGATGGACCGCAACATGCCGAGGTGACGTGATGCAAGACTCTGTTCCGTTATCTGTCGTCAGATCGTCTACTGAGGCCGCTGATGAAGAGATTAAGGCGCTGGTTTCAGTCACGACTAACGATCAAAGACCGGCTGACAGTCAAAATCAGTACATATCTCTCAACAACGTCGGCAGCTCAATGGAGAGGTTTCTAGCAACGGCTCACGCCGCGACTCTCGATATGAACAATTTTGCAACGATCTCTGCTCTGTCATGAGGGGATACTTTCTATGGTGCTTTCCCAGATAGCCTAGTGGCGACCTCTGATCGATCTAGCAATAGAGCATATGAGCGTAGCTAGTCGTAGCTTGACGACGCAATGTCAGAAGCCATTTCGATTTACTCGCAAGAGACCACGCCAGTGGAACAGATAGGGAAAGCACATTTGGCTGGCTTCTTGGCGATGGATGTCGAGCTACGTGCTTTGTTCTGCAAACTTCTCATTAACCTCAGAATATAGCAGTTCTCTCACTCCGTCCAGCGGCCATTGAAGACTTGCCATCATTTTTTGGTCCAAGAAGCGGTTACTTGGCGAGAGAAAACCAGCGCACGAAGCAGAAGAGGCAGGCTACGTCTAGGCGAGGAAATTGCTGAAATTTTATCCTAACGGCGGAGGTCCATCCAGGGCTGGATTATGACGAGATAATCGGCGGGAAGAAAGATGTGGAAGAGGTTCGTTCTAAGGCTGCATATCTAAACACCTAGATGTCATAAATCCCGCATTCTGAGACTGCAAAAATTGCGAAGACCAGCATCTCACGAGATGCAGGAGATACCACAGGGTACCAAAGAATTGAAACAACCTTGACTGCTTTTGAGCTGACGCACGATGAAGGGTCGTCGGGCGGTAGTGACAGTAACAAGCTGCCCAACCTGGCCGAGATGGAGTGGTTCTTCCGTGCTTCCTCCCCGTTTCAAGGTCACCACAACGACTTTCGAAAGCTGCTCCTCGCTCCACCACTACAGCAAGTCATATCAACAATACCTACGGATTGTATGTGGCTCTCAATCGAACCTGATGGATCACCGATGAGCCGCGTGAAAGCATGCATTGAAGGTCGCAGTCGACTCAAGTAGAACTTGTGGCCATCGCAACCTAGAATGCATCATCTGGATCTTATCTAGGTCTGTCTGTTTTTGAATGTGTAAGTAGTGCGAGAACCGTTAACACGGAACCCCAGACCTGACGTTGGGAGCAGTCATGTGGTACACGTCTCTGGAATAAAGAGACACTGCGTGATATTGAATCAGAAACAGCTATTGCATAAGTAGGCCAGGTGTGTGTTCGGCCCTGACAGAGAACGAACAACTGTTATAGCTTACAGTGTAAGGCATCGAGCACGTAGACGTGTCAAGGCCCTATTCGACCTGTAGCTACATCGGATGAAGCTCGCGCAGATGTTGCGAAGTTGTTTACCACTGAAATACTTCCTCGTGCGTCCCTGATGATGATCCCTGAACGCGTCGACATGTTCTGGTGAAGGTTGAGATCGGCAATGCGACCGGAGTGGTTGCCGCGCGCACGGACTGAAGTTATGATTTGCTCTTCCTCTGCAGTACCGGTACCGGTACCGGTAGGTACCTACGCGTTTGGGCCCTGCGAACAAAACATCGCAATTGTCCTCGCTTGTTTGCCCGCTTCTTCGGACTTGGTGCACATCACCTCGCCTATTCTGCGATTCCGACATGAACAACGAAGCAGTGTTGAGAGATACGATTTGCGGACCCTTCTTTCGCCACACCCAACTGGACCGCGGGGAAGATTCGATTCGCCTTGTCAAAGTACTGCACGACCTCAGCGCAGATGGACTTGTCCAGTGCAGTATAAACCATGTGAAGCTCTCTCCCGGAGCGGCAGACGGCGCTGTTGATGTCGCGGCAGCGTTACAAAGTCAAGGTTTTCGCTTTAGCAGCGAGCCAATGCCATACATTAGCTCATCTTACATCTGGGCAGTCCGCGAGATCGAGGTACCATTACAGTCAATAGAAAGATCTTGACTGTGCGTAAAAATCTGGAGAATTTTCTGCAAGTTGCCAAAACACAACTTGCCTATGGGTTCTTTTGGATGGATGCCATTTGCATCGACCAAGATAATGCAGCGGAGCGGGACTATCAAGTGCAACGGATAGGCGCTACATTTGCGAAAGGGAAGATGTTTGTCACATGGTTGGGTTGTGAGCCGGATTTGGAGCGAATGATACATCTACTTGGATCATGCGAGGAGCAGACGCAATGGGAGCTCTGCCGAAGTTTTTATCAACGTGAGCACTGCAACACTTCTGTAAAAACGTACGCTTCGTTGGCTTCTGCATCCCCCACAGTGTCCAGTGTAACGAAGGATCTTCAAGATGCGGCTATATCCACATTCTACATAGCCCTTGTCGCCCATCGATATTGCAGGCGCGCCTGGGTCAGTCAGGAGATCATGTTGGCAAAGACCATATATGTCGTTGCCGGCAATGCGATACTGGACGACTACACTTCACTCGTAAGCGCAACTCGGTCTTGTGCCCACGTGAATCCAGAGAGTCACTTTGAGCAGTTCGCAAGGCTTGTGCTTGTGCAGAAAGACCACTTCAACCAGAAGCACCTCGCTACGGGCAGAATCCTCATTAGCGACAGCTGGATTAATAATTGGGGACTCGTCAATCTGCTGCATCACTTCGGGGACAAGTGTTGCACAGTCAGACGTGACATGGTCTACTCAGTCTTATCACTCTCCCGCGAAGCTGAGACGATCAAGGTCAACTATTCATCATCGACAATCGAGGCCGTGAGGAAAATCTTGGAAGTAGGCAGGACTCCGTGTGTCTTTGCGCAGTGGCTGTCCTTGTGCGAGCCTTGGGGCGAGAGTCCTTCGCAGATGCGGAACCCCGGGTGGGAACATCTGCTCTTCGCGTCGACCTCCCCGTTTTGGGAGTCCATTCTAGAGACATTGGCCCTTCTACCCGGTGTCCTTTTTGTAAAGGTCCACTGCAGCTGGCTGACTCAAACGTCGACCTGGCATTTTGTCTTCTGGCGGCCTGCAAAGATTCAGGAGATCATCTGTACACGGAACTCGGTCCAGGAGGCCACAGCCTCTTGAAGCTAAGGTCGATCGATGGAGGAATACCGAAGACCTTAGGTGAGATAGGAGAGGAGATCGAAATCATCGAGGAGGACGGCAGCAACGGTTTTCTGTTGAGATTCTCGTTCCTTCCTTTGCTAAGTAATTTTGATGGATCACAGTGGGGCCCCAAGCTCAGACAGCGATCCCGTGGGAACTTCTGGCCCGACCAGGACAAACCGAGCAAAAAGCGGCTTGCTTTGAGCGCTGCATGATTCTCTGTATCTATCCGCCACGATCTGTCCCCGGATAGTGTAGTCATTCGCTCCAGAGTTGACCTCAAATTCCAGCCGCAGGTCGGGGATTGTTTCGGGATTGGCGACGTGGATGCGCGACCTCATCGATGTTGGTTCGCTCTCGGGTACATACCGGTAATGGACCGGAGCCGCCTTCACCGGGTCAATCATTCCGGAGCAGAATCCTTCAGGTAGACCCTGCGCTTCTGGAGTCCATCTATGACATCCTCTGTGGATTCTGTGGGTGGGTACTTCAACTTTGGCAACTTCAATCATTCTCACGCTTGATTTACCGCGGCACAGATATCAACGGGCGCAAAATTTTGCTTCCCATTTTCAAAGACTGTGGCGAGCCCAAGTCAACAGCTATTACACTAGAGCTCAGACTAGGCATAACTTGACCAAGCTCAGGAATATTCGTAGTCGCTGGAGGAGCTCTGTCTCCAGGCGGCACGCCGCCCCCACGTGCACCAGATGATGCTGAAGGTGTGCGCTCGTCCATGTTGAAGCATCGAGATGCTTACTCTCCAGACCAGGGATCTATACACAAGGCAAGGGTGGCTGGATCTCGGCTCTCATCGTGCTGGCCCATGACCGATCGATAAGCTGAGGCAGCCTGACTTTCGCGCTTCCGCTGTGCAGAACCGTAATGTTGTACTTACTTCTGGCTGAGCGCTCGAGACTAATGTGCATATCAGAGCAATGGCGCAGCTATGCCGACGTCACTCCGCTGCGGAAAGGAGACCGTGCGAAAACGACGCACAAGGGCACACTAACGCAGTCAGACGACGTGTAGACGAAACAAGAAACATCAGAGCTTGATGGCGTCATTTGTCATGCACATCACAGTCGACGCTGCTGCCGCTGGCCAATCACTTCTCTCCCTGCGGAGTCACACGTTTGATCTTCATGTTACATGCGGTCGGCTGTCTAGTATCCCCCCCTCGCATGCTGAGCGGCTTAAGCGCCTCATGGAGAGTGTGCTGGCACCAGTGTTCAGCGCGCCGCCCCCACGTGTCGACCTGGGTAGACTCCATATAGGTGTCAAACACAAGCTTGTGAAAGCAAGGGTCCCCAATGTGGGAACGCGATGCGACTCGAGTCTTGGAGGGACGTTGGTCATGCAACGTCGACTCAACGCCCAAATGTTGCGTCTAATATGTGATGTCGCCGACTACAATCTGATAACTAGACGGGCCGCTGACGCGAATGATGGAGGACTTGACACTGGTCCGCCTCCCCAGGTCTGGCTGGCAGACTGAAGCGTTGTCTTAGCCCGCTCGAGAGGATCTATCTAGAGTCAGCGTCTGATTCTGAATTTGCAACATCAATCCTTATGATCGCCGCGGCTTCGATTGAACGAAGCTCTAGATCACCGGGACGAGACTGGAAAATAATGCATCTTCATACAACAAGGCGGCGCTTTGAGCTTCAACCGGAGCCAAGCTCTGCTACCTACCTATGTCAGGCGCATGGGCATGTACTGTTCTGATCCTGCGTGCCGGTGAGTAGGTCAACGTGGCGATGTCCCTGTTTGCTAGCCTAGCACATGTTGTACAACTTGTAACCTCGATCGGCCCGATAGCGTTAATGTGCATGCTTCCCGTCGGTACTCAGGACCACAAGATTCTCCCCGTTATAGGCACACGGAAGAGGATCGTGATATATTATTGCATCTTTGACACGCTATTGTACAACTTGTATGCGTAGCGGCCTGGACTTCGATCGGCCCGATAACATTAATGTGCATGCTTCCCGTCGGTGTTCAGGACCACAAAATCCCCCCCGTTGCAGGCACACAGAAGAGGACCATATAATATTATATCTTTGATACGCCATGCAAGATACGCCATGCAAGATATTCTCGCAAATGTCGTCTTTGAACCTCAAACCGAACATTACACGACAAGCCGATTTTAACCAAACCTCGAAACCAGCAATGAAAGCAGCGCTCACAGACACTTTCTACCCGTCTTTCTATCTTGTCACAAGAGCGCCCATACCCGACGATACTAAAAATTCATTCCGCGCCGGGCACCAACACGAGTCAATAGCGGCGTCCGGTGTCTTTGCAGACCATGTTCACGGAAGTCGGCAAAGACCGCTGCATGGCTGCTCGACTACGAAGACACAGCACGACTACCGCCTCAGACCAAAATCGACGAGACATCCAGAAGGGCACTGTGATCAGTTTCCAGCGCCTCCAAAAGCATGGGAGTGCTGTGGCTGTAACCAGAAGTTCTACAACTTTGAAAAGCAATGCAATTTTTGCGCAACGTTGTTTTGCAAAGACTGTAAGAAGATCCCATGGAAATGAGCGTTGGGAACGTGCTATCATCAATGGCATTGGAGGCCGACATGTTGATATCATTTAGACGTAGAGTAGTATGCTCGGTTGGGTGCAACTTTGTTACACACTAGAAGCTGTGACTTGATACGAGCAAATACACGTGACTTCCACGATGACGCCAAAAGTGATCGAGGGAGCTTGAGGAAGAGAGGGGGAGGTCGGCGGACCGTCTGATACATAAGTGAAGAACATGCGGCTACTTACAGCCCTGTCAGAACAATGCCAACGCGTTCGGCGGGGTGAGAATGAGGGCGAACTTGTTTAATACGATGCCGTTGTAAAAGCACCCAGACTTGGGGTCCGCAAAAAGCCGGAAGCCATTTCATTGGCTATTTGACTGTGTGTTAATTGTGGTCTCATCGTCGAAAGCGCCTTTGCCAATCCATCTGATCTTGTGCTCAATGGGTCTTCTGCCGAAAAATGGTGGTGAGGGTTCGCTCAAAGGCAGATTTCAACGAGACAACAGATCCTGTAAGGATGTTCTCGCTCGTCGCCTTTCGGATACGCTCAGGAGTCAGGAGATTCGCGTAGCCAAGCCCGTCAGACCCTCCCCAGACCCATGCCGACCTCCCAATCACCGTTCGGACTGGGGCGCATTTGTGAGATAGATGTTAAAGACGTGCTGCTTTGAGTTCTGTGAAGTATTGTCGTGCTCGTGCACAATCGAACAGGAAAAGGTAACGTCGTCATAGAGTCGTCAATTATGAGGCTGGATGTGTCACGCCATGAGCCAAGTGGGATGCGACTGTCAACTTCAACTCTCATACTGTGTACTCTCCAATCATCATGATCGTTTTCTGATTATCACTTCGACACATCACGACCCAATTCTACTCGCCATCAATATCCTAGCCCCTTCAATCTCATGCCGCAGCAGCCCGCATTGACTATCGAGGACCACGGGCATGCAGGGTAGCTCACCGGCCCGGACCCAGTCTTCGGCTCACGGAGCAGAGCGCTGAACGAGTTACACTGCATCTCCCTCGCGTTCGACACGCACACATCGTCAGATACGGCAGTAATATGGCTACGAAAAGCCTCTTTGCCACTCAGTCGTCTTCCAGCCTGGTTGCTCGCCATTTGCAGGGCGTAATTGTCTAAAAACAAATTGAGATGTGATCCCGAAGTGAGACCGTCCCGAGTATTCGGGTCGCATAGGCTCGTAATGGCATCTAAGGGACAAGTGTAGAATCGTCCGTCACCAGATCCTTCCATTTCGACCGTCAACTGAAGGTCGTATCTGCGCAGAGTCCTCGATGCGTTGCATTTTCGCGTAAGATCGACAGAATAGAACTGTAGGAGGTTCTCACACGATACCCTTCGACCCGAGTGTTCGGTCCACTAGCTTTTCGTGAATGCTCAGATGCAGATGCGCAGAAGATCAGGGTCTGCAACATGGGCCAATAAGTGGAGACCACGGACAACAGTATCTTCTCGGCTCCGCGCGGTCACTTTTTAAAAATCGAAATCCTTTCCGCCAGCATGGATCGACGTCCCCTCATGACAGCTCTTACGGGCGTGCAGAAACACATGCCAGGTTCCAACATATTTATAGACGTCGTCAAGCATCGAACATCTCGTGGATACCGGTAGATACCTAACTCAGGCTTCAAATTCTCGGCAAGCCTAAATATATATCCTGGAACTATCACATTCTACAACTCTTCATCTCTATATTTCATTACAGCTCTGTTTTGACAGCATATGGCCCATTTACCTGAAATTCATCTGCGCCAGTACGAATTTGAGGAAGTGTCACTCTGGAGCGCTATGGTTATTGGCCGGCAGGCAACGGCCCACGTAAAGCGCACCCACCTTACCTTGCAGTATGGACGGCACGTGGGATTCACCATCTCGTTCAACCGCTGCGCATACCCGCACGACATGATCCGGCTTGCCTCTGTTATTCGACACAAGGCATGTGAATGCAAGAAATCCTTTATGTCGTGCTGCTGCCACGGAACGCCTATTATGGGGTTGGCTGATTAGTATGGCGACGCTGATTCGGTGACGGCAGAAAGCGGTTGCATTGACGAAAAATGAGAAGTCGACGATAATATCAATGATGAGACAACTGTGCGTCACTGTACATAAGCGCCACTCTCGCCGAAACGTTGCCTTCTGCCCTCCTCAACCCGATGGTGGATGCAGCCCAACTGAACGCCGCAAATTCAAGATCAATCCATCTCATTTCCAACATGCTTCGGCCATCAAGCAGTTGTACATCAGGCACTCATTTCTTGAGCGCGGCGTCGTACAGGCTGACAAGGATGCCTACAATAGCTCCAATCTGCAGCCCGTTGTAGCGACCAGGGACATTGTCGCGCACTACACCAACAGTCTGACCTGAGAAGGGACCCCAGCTAGGGTCGAAAGCTTTGGAAATTCCAGCATCGACGTTGTTCACCACTGTCACGTCAGTGAGAGTAATTCGGTATGCGCTGTACGCCAAGACAGCCTTGACAATGTTAAATACAAGAGGGTCAGCCGGGTACTGACGGTACGAAGATTTGTGGTTGGTATTTGATCGCAGTGTCAAGTTGAAGAAATACGAGAAGACAAAGGGCAGCACCCAGCTTGTCAAAGACCAGAGCGTAGCTGGTGCCCACCATTCACTTGTCAACAGTGTCCAGAAGTCGGGGATGTGCAGGTAATGGCTGTTCGCCGCGTCGATAGCAAAGGCAGGTGTGGTCTGAAGGGTGTTGAACTGAAGCCCAGCAGCCTCAATGAGCAAGATGAGTGTCTGGATAGCAGCGACCGAGCTGACATTCTCACGGAGAAGCTCCTTGAATTCGTCGACTCGTGTGCTCTCCCACCACTCGGATGTCTTGGCCTTGACTGCCTGGAATTGCTGTTCGGCGAGCTCTGCAACTTGAGCTGGTGATGCTGGGAGGTCGACCTCGTGGCCAATCTGGGATACACGTCGTGGTATGGTTCGTGGAGTCTGTTGTGACAAGCTCTGAGTTACGTCTCGAGTAGTCCGTGTGATGCTCTGGGAAACGGACTCGATGTTTTTGGAAGCAGATTGAACAGCAGATTGAGCAACGGCACGAGGCGTGCGTGTAGTAATGGGCGGTGTCGCTTCCTCGCTTTATTGTTGTTAGCTACGCGCGTCACGCGTCACAGCTTGGAGTGTCACTTACGAAGGCGCATTGACAAGCGTCCTTCGGCGCGTCGACTTTACAGTAGAAAGAGGCTCTGGCGATGAGCGCTCACGTTTGACTGGAGAACCTCCACGACTGTAGTAATCTCTGAAATCAGGATGCTTGGCGTATGCGGTCTCGTTGTTATTCAGGTGATCCTCGAGCACGAGCACCAGGTCGTCTTTCAACAGACCATCCACGCTTCATTGTGTATTAGTGATCTTAGATTACGTAGGACGTCATCTTGGACGTACTCGGGAAGCTTCGCAGTCTGTGCAAGCTCGATCAGCTCGCCTTTGCGCTTCTTCTGCAACCAAGAATGAGACATCGCGAGTAGTACGAGTGCAGTCGCGTAACTGAGGCGATCAAGTAATTATCAATATCGAAAAGATCGGAGCGCGTTGTAGTGAAAATCACTGGGATGTGTGATGGTGTAGGGAAGTTCTGGACGCGACGACGTAAACAATGTGGCTCGTAACGTGATCTCATAGCCAAAGAGCGCTAAGCCCTATGTGGAGTGCGTTCGAGAGACTACAACTTTCGCATTGCAGTGTAGCAATAATACGGCACGTCTAATCACGATACATTGTCGTCTGTGAACACTGTAGTTCAAAGGTAGGATGTATCCGGTGACGTTGAGGTGCGTTATCTTAGGGTGTTTTGTCTTGCCGCTGATAGTGAATTGGCAGGGGCGGCCGGGCAGGAGCGGCCCTCCGTCAGTCTTGGCAGGAATTTCCTCCCAGGCAGGCGTCACACTGTTGCGACAACAGCAACGTCAATCTTTGCACTGTCCATCTACACATCCTACACTTCTTTTGCCACCTTCTCCTTATTCCCCGCGCTTTCGTTAATCCGACCTGCATAGACACGGCGCCCCTGTCGCGGCTCAACGCTAATGGTACTTGCCCGAGTGGCTAACTTTTTTACCACCGGAGAACCCACGCACAGCCTGGTAGAGGAGGGGAGAAGAGATGTTGTCGACACAATGGCAAGCATCGCATCTTCAGCGACACATACGGCGAAGGTCGTAGCTGAGGAAATAGAGGATGATGAGGGTCGACCGCCGTATCTCCATGTGAGAAGCCCAGAACGAGGACATAGAAGGATGTCAATTGACAGCTGTGCAGGCAATGTTGGCTGGAGGTCTTGGAGGGCTGACAGGCGACATGCTTATGCATTCACTTGACACGGTGAAGACGCGGCAACAAGGCGACCCACACATGCCTCCGAAGTATACGTCCATGGGCAGCACATACTCTACAATTTGGCGACAAGAAGGGTTCGTTCGAGGTCTGTACGGCGGTGTACAGCCTGCGTTTTTGGGCTCTTTTTGTGGAACAGTCTGTTTCTTTGGAACATATGAGTACAGCAAAAGACTCATGATCGACAACGGCGTTACACCGTCTGTTGCATATTTTACGGCCGGTACGTCGTTCTTAGAGTGTCCACCGTCCATCAGAAGCTGATCAGGTCTAGGTCTTTTGGGAGATCTCGCTGCTGCGCCCTCCTACGTACCATCCGAAGTCTTAAAAACACGCCTGCAATTGCAGGGTCGACACAACAACCCCTTTTTCAACTCAGGCTACAACTACCGCTCCACTATTGACGCCGTGCGCATGATCGTAAGAACAGAAGGGTTCAGTGCGTTGTTCCATGGTTACAAAGCGACTCTATGGCGAGATCTTCCGTTCTCTGCCTTGCAGTTCACATTCTACGAAAAGGAGAGGGATCTAGCGAAGAGTTACATGGGCTCAAATAACATCGGTCTTTTGCTGGAGATAGCAACAGCAGCCAGCGCAGGAGGAGCAGCAGGTGTTATAACCACACCCCTGGATGTGGTGAAGACGCGCATTCAGGTTCAGCAACCGGGACTTCCGGACGCATCGAAATACCCGGCGAAGCCCACGATCACTCCCGCATCCTCCTCAAAACACACGTCTGCCTCTCAATCTACAACTACACACGCATCGCAAAGTAGACCGATCTCAACCTCAGGGCCATCGACGACCCTGAAGGCCCATGGCGCCGCAACGCTTGACACATCATCCGTTTACACTGGCCTGAAGATAATATACAAGACAGAAGGAATTGCTGGGTGGTTCAGAGGCGTTGGACCAAGATTCGTGTGGACGAGCGTGCAAAGTAGCACAATGCTGGTACTGTATCAGACATTGTTAAGATACTTTGAGCAACATCCGCTTGGGAATATGGACAAAGGATTGTAATATACTGTACCACTATGTCAAGATAAGCGATTTGGATTGAGCATTACAAGACATGCATCGGCGGCGTTTGGGCTCGCCGAAGAAGCGATAGATTAGAACGGGCTTTGGCCCTCAATTACACAATTCAAACACCTCAGATCGGTAACAACAGCATACCTTCATTACGACTGTGCGCTAGCAGAATGCAACAGGAAGTACATACAGCATACTGCCATTGAGATGACAGTGAAACGCCTAAGCATACACAACGCCGAAAACCCGGGTGTTAATACAGACAACTTGTGCAGCAGTTCCATACTTGGGAATACCGCGAGGTCGAAAATTATCGCAGCGAGTTGTGCGACTTTGGCACTGATCAGCACAACCTCAAGCGCGCGTTCACTGAACTTGGCATCGAGACGGCATCATCAGTCGACGGAGGTCCTAACCAATGTTTCTACGTCGAACATATGTACGGAGCTAAGGTACTAATGTCGACGCGTTCCACACCACCGTGTACCAGCGCATCAAATTAACCTGGGAAATGCAGCTCTCCTCCCCATCCGCGTCACAATTCCTCGCCTCCATCGACAGCCCCTTCGATGGCGGTTTGCGCGACCACATGCACCATTGGGGCTATAGCGAGATCTCTGTACAAGGTTACCCCTGCGACTTCGATTTTATACACCACTTGGAGTTCGTATTTCGCGAGCTAGGTGTCGATCCTCGCAGTGAAAAGCGAGGCGGTCCGAATCGATGCTTCCGTGTTGAGCATCAGTACACGGATCATCAGTTGCCAGTAAGGGAGCAGGGATATTGGGTCGATGATAGGCGGTACCGTGTAAGTACAGTCTCTCTGCTTGGAAGGAAATACTGGTGAGAGCTAGATGACAGGCGCCCACTTCTCGATCGGTATCAACTCGGCTTCGGATATCATGTACTTCCTCAATGTGCGGAGCGCTCAGCATGCCGCCTGATTATACGGGCCATTGCACCGGCTCTGAACGACCAGCTGCCTGCGTTGCGTAGCAGCTCAGATATCGCGTGGGGTTTCTGAAATCGCATAAACTGGGGAAGATTGGGCAACATCAGAGCGTTCATGAGCATGATAGCGATCCACGCTGATACCGCATGTATCATTGCTCATGCTCTGAAGACGCGGAATGCAGACTTGCCTCTAGAGCATCAGATCGAGGGCGTGAGGCATGACCGGGCACAACTTTCGATGTCAATGATGTGGAGGGACAGGCGTTGTTGGATTTGTGAAATCCTTCAGTTGTGCAAAACTGACGTAAATGCGTAGGATTTCCGAATGGGCTGACTTCTGGGTTCTTTCTAGCACAGCACAAGCGGCAACTTGGTGGAATTAAGGTGACGCTGCCGTGGCTTATTGATTCGTGCTAGCCAATCTCAATTTAGTCAGGTACCGGTATTGGTCACCATGGACGGATGATCGAAATCGCATAGCCGCTCACTGACAAACACGACATTGATGCTTGGTATTGGATAACTCGAGTAAGATCGACAATATTGACAGACAGCGATTGTTATGAAGGGTCACCATTTGACTGTCTCCGTCCCAACCTCAGTCCCTCTTCTCAGGCATGACAGATACAATAACTCCATCCTGACTACCTTCGGCTCTGGAGCTCGTCACACCGCTTCTTGTCATCCCAGGCGTTGTTGCACCAAAACCGTTGAGAACCATCATGCCGTCTTCCTCGTCAACGTCGTGAAAGTACTTGAAATCCAGCCCTCTCAGCTCGTCGTCCTCTGTTGCTCTGATGTGGCAGCCCGGGATCTTATTGATTACGAAGAGTAGGATGATGGAGACGACAAAAGACCAGGCGGCGCATGTACATGCCGCTGCGAGCTGATATTCCATCTGCTTCCAATTACGATTCAACCAACCCCCATCGTACGCGTTATTCGCACCGTCCATCGCTGGTACGTAGTCGGCTGCGAAGAGGCCAGTCAAGACATCGCCAACGAAACCGCCGATGCCATGGATGGCGAAGATGTCGAGCCCTTCGTCGATACGCAGCAGATATTTGTATCGAACGGTGAAGAAGGATGCGCATGCGGTCAATGCGCCAATGAGCGATGCGAAGTAAATGGGCACGAAGCCCGCGGCGGGCGTAATACCGACCAGACCGGCGATAATGCCGGAGCAGAAACCGATGGTTGAGAACTTTTTGATAAATATGTATTCGAGCAGGACCCATGCTAAGCCACCACCACATGCTGCCAGGTTGGTGTTGCAGACCACGTAGACGGAGCGAATCGATAAGTTGGCAGTGGATGCACCTGGGAGAGATCAGCCGAAGCTGCGGGATAATACCTCTGGAGATTCATACCATTGAACGCATACCAACCAAACCAGATCAAGATCGTCCCAAGGCATACAAGGAATGGATTGTGGGGCTTGAAGTGCGGTATCTTTGGGTGGTGCGACTCTTTGTGAGGGTCTGCGCGCGGTCCAAGCATCACTGCCCAAGCCAAAGCCGAGAAACCAGAGGCGATGTGAACAGGTCCGCTGCCTGCAAAATCGTAAACTCCAAGCTGATATAGCCAGCCAGATGGGTTCCACTCCGCATGTGCCAAAACATAGTAAACAAAAGTAGTCCAGCACAGCAAGAACAGCATCGAAGGCCACAAGCGTCCGCGCTCAAGCATGGCACCAGCTAAGATCATCGCTGTTGCAGTAACGAATGTAAAGCCGAAGCAAGCGTACAGAATATCTGGGATATCTGGGTTCGCTAGAGATGGGTACGCAAGGACGTCATGCAGGCCTGCCTTTGAAAAGTTGCCAAGAAATGTATTTGTCGTGTGTGATTGGTATAGCGAATACCCGTACACCCAGAACTGGATCCCGACAGCACATGCACAGAAGAGAGACTGGAAGATCATGGTCAACGCAGCCTATCGTCGGTGCATGCCAGCGTAGAGGAAACCGATGGCGGGTGTAATCTGCCTGTAATGATTGGTTAAATCTTGGAGTACACCAGATTACCCTTCTGCATACCAACAGAGCACCGAGCTAACAAGGAGCCAGCAGAGATCGCCCTTGTCGTACAATGCATTGAGATCTTGTGTCATGACATCACCCCCAGTCGGCATGATATTATAGTCTGGCCATTCTAGGATAGGCGTCGGAGCTGGAACCTCTGCCATCTTCAAGAGTCGTTATGATAGAGCCAGGGCTCAGTCGAGGAATCGTAGAGAGCACGTATGGAAAGTCTGTTTTGGAGAACAACCTCGAAATCGTGGAACCGTGGTCAAGACCCTTTATATACAAGCACCCGAGTATATACACGCGTCTCGAGACGGCACATTGTCGCGCGTTCATTCTGGGACACATTTTCAACTCATCCAATGATCGATATTCCAAGACTGTGGAACGAACATGCATGGGAACATCGCACCACAAGCAGAGTAGCGAGACATCGTATTGACAGCTTATCGTTACATGCCCATGCCCAAGGATGCTTGGTTCGACGGTTCGGTGACGAAGGCGGAGCGGGGTGTTGTGTATCTCTTGGCGAAAGATAATGACGCGGGGTGAGACATGGGGTACACGAACGCTGAACTTCATGAACGAGACTCGAAAGTCATCAGTCCTTCTTTGCGATGAGTTCCCAGCACTTTCGCATGCCAGTCGACAGTGTTTCATTATCCATGGAGCTGGCGGTGACCCATTTGCGGGCGGGTGCGCCAGTGCATGTGAGGCTGTCAGCTTCTGCCTTATCAGCAATTCGGTAACGATAGGCGTGCATGGTGAGCCTCAGATGGGTGAAAACGTGAACCAATGGGTCGAAGCTCGCGATATGGCGCGCTTTGGTCATGTCCACGCCGCTGACACTTAGGCTCGAGAGGTACTTCTGCGCCGAGGCTTTGCGAGATGCAGCTGTCATGTCTGCAGCCGACAGTGTGGCCTGTGGGAACTGCCAGAGTGACGCTAGAAGACCGGTCGCTGGTCTCTGCTCGATAAGCCACTTGCTCTCGCCATCCGACGAATAGAACTCCACCAGACAGACTGCGCATTCCTCTTCTTTCGCTTTCTTCTTCGCTACCTTTTTCGGAAAGAGTGAGCAGTAGCTATTCACCGATCTCGACCGTTTGGAAACCCCAGGCACCTTTCGCTTCTTGGATCCAGCTGAAGCATCCTCATCTTCGGTGTCGACGTTGGAGCTCGCACTAGGTGTACTAATTGCGAAGTAGTTTGATAGCGTGTTAGTCTGTCTGGTAGGCGCCTTTCTCTTCTTTGCAGGCTTCTCATCCTCATCGGAAGGATCCTCTTCCGGTATTGTTGTCAGGTCCCCGATTCCAAGCTGTTCACAAAGTGTGCAAGCGTCTTCGATATCCAGGACCTCGGTCGTTGACTGACGATCATTCGAGAGCGCGACCCCTTCACCGTAGGCTCGGCATGTCTCCTGGATCGGACATTCTTCGCACTTTGGTCGCGGCGTGCAGATTGTCGAGCCGAGTTCCATCATTGCTTGATTCCAATGTCCAGGCACAGCACTGAATTTGACTTCCGGATATTTGCACACTTCTTTGATCAGCTGATCCGCGATCTTCCAAAGCACATCGGTAGCCCTTTTGTCTTTGGCATCGAGGTACAGTCCTAGCTGTCGACTTAGCACTCTGGCTACATTGCCGTCCAGAACAGGTTCTGCTCTCCCGAATGCAATGCTCGCTATAGCGCCAGCAGTATAATGGCCGATACCAGGTAGTCCTAGTAGCCCAGACACGTCGTCAGGCATTGACTGCGATGGTTTCGCCATGACGGCTCTTGCCCCTTCGTGCAGTCGCGTCGCTCTTGAGTAATAGCCCAATCCCCTCCAGGCGGCCAGGACATCTTCATGTTCTGCTTTTGCAAGATCCTGTACTGTCGGCCATTTTGAAATCCAATTGTTGAAATACGGAATGACTGTAGACACTCTAGTCTGCTGTAGCACTTCAGGACATCAGCAATGTAATATCTTGACTGTACACGTCGCATCGCGTTTTGACGCATCCTTCCCGCTTAGGACATCAGCTTACTTACTAACTTCGCTGACCCACACCTCGTAAGCTCTTTTGTTTATGGTCTGATCGGTGTCTCCTGATGTGGAGGTTTGCGTTCGGTCAATCCATGCCTTTCGCCAAGGCATGGTCCTTGAGTCCTCCACAGTCTTGAACCAATCAAGGAGTGCATCATATTGGCTTTGATTATCGATGAGAAGCGGAAAGTGATATGAGGGCGAGTGGGCACGCGCTGGTGGAAGCGCTGCGATGAGAGGTCGTTCGGGTTTCTCGAATGCAATCGACCACGCAGGCTTTCCCTTGGATTTAGTCGGCACCGCCTTGCTCGGTTTCGATGAGGCTGTGCGGCGAGGAGGCATACCGCAGAGCCTTGGAAGCGCGAATTTGACGCGATTGATGACAGTCGATGCTCGCGTTGCTGATGTGAAAGAATTGAGATGCGGTCATTGGTCGGGATTGGCGCGTTCTCGATTCGCGCTAGAGTGCAGCGGCACGACTGATCGGGGCATTTCCTTCTCCACGGTAGGCTTAGCGAGGCCTGCAGATTCGATGCATGGACCGTCGAAGCGTTCTAGTATGAGTCCGAGTGCTTATGCGTGGCTGCGTTTCTGCGATTCCAGATGTTTAGAAGTTTTAGCACTGATCGAATTCAGCACCCTTTGGGAGAGTACATGCGGAAGAACCGCAAAGCTCTCCTTTGACGATATTGAGCGTATCATCGTAGACGCACTCATGTTTGGAAGGGATGCATCAAACATGTCCCGCAGATCTACGACGTTACTGTGACTTAGTCTACATGCACCCTCGCTAAAATCAGATGCTCAATACCTTTCGTACTCGCAATCAATGTTCGCTTGCATACGTCGATCAGCACTGCTAGCCAGTAGGATGTACTCCGGCTGACAGCCAGGTACCTGTATGGCCTCGCGTCACCTGTTTTCCAGCAGTTAAGACTGCGAGTATGTCAAGTGTACAGTCTTGCCGGGAACATGTGCTCTGCCAGCCCGTTCCCCAATGAATTCTTAGCAGCACTCTACATGCGTAAGATGACTGAGGCCAAGTACGGAGGGAGATATGCAAATCTGCCTCATTTCCGGCAGGACACATTGAGACTGTATCAGTGCACCTTCATTTCGTCCTTCGCCAATGAGAAGTAGAGTAAGATCTGCAAATCCGCTACACACACGATAAAATCCAAGGAGAAACGGGAACGAACAATTGTTGAGACGCAACGATGCAGTCCCACGGAGTGACTTGTCCTGCCAGCTTGCAGCATCATAGGCCAATCTGCCACGAACATGGCAAGATACAAGAATAGTTGACGATCAATGAGTTCGAAAATACATCTCAAGTAGGGTCTCTCTCAAGCCAGAAGTACGGTATCTCACATATAAAAAGACGACTGACCGTGTCTGTAAGAGTCCATCATTACTTCATCAAGGCATCAATCGCAAATAATTCCTGTTCCGTCCAAATTCAGACCATACTTCATCATGAGATCCACATCCATCTCCCTCATCCTCTCCGTCTGCTCGAGTCTTGTACACCCCGCTGCCCTCAACCCAGCCACTCTCAACTCCCTCGCCGCCCGCGCTCCTAACGTCGAAAATGTCCACGAAGACCTCTTTGGCTATCAGCTCTCTAACGGCCACTGCAAGATCGACTTCTAGATGGCGCACTGGCTGGCAGCGTCGTCGAGACCAATGACCACAGTACGTTGACACTTTGTATAACAAGATCCTTTGTTTCTAGGGCCACCAAATGCCATGCTGACCCCAGCAGCCGAGTTCTTCGATGAGACGGGCGCCCCATATAGCCTCGACGACGGCGATCTGGCGAAGCGTCAGAGTCGCGCCCAGGTTGCTGCGCGCTTCGCCCGCATCTTCATTCGATGGGGAAAGCGCACCTGGGACTTCTTCTACTGCATGAGTTTGAATGTTGCGTGGAAGTGCGGCGACGAGGTAAGCTGCTTGACTTGGACATGTGGACGATGTATTGATGAGTGGGATAGTTCGTTGACCGCACCGCAAGCGGTATTCCGCCGTGGCAGTGCGCTTCTGGCCTTGTTTGCGCGGGCGCCAATGGAAGGAGGTGCGCTTGAGTTCGGTGTATAAGCTCTGTGATACCTAGAAGGGACTGCCCAATTATCGGATTTGGAATCGAAGTAGCGGTGCCCCCGCCAAAGGCCTCGCTCTTTGCAAGACTTGCGTTCTAGTCGACTCGATCTCGCTGTACATTCGCTCGCTATGAATGTATGGTATGCTTTTTAGCTTCACAGGCTGTCTTCAGGGAATATGCATGTACATGCCAAGCTACTGGCGTTAGCCACGGTTGTGGTGATAAGTGGATTCTTTCGGGTTGTGGAACACGTAACTATCATATCTACACTCTGATAGGATGTGTGCTTCGGGTGCTCATGCGATTGCTGCTAGATTGGTCGTCTGGAATTGCGCGATATGCGAACTAGAAATGGTCGCTATTGAAGGACGCCGTCGGTACTTGTCCTGTGATTGCCCAGTCACCACGAACATGCCATAATGACAAGGTCTGCCCCAACGGTAGCTGGAAGGGACCAACGAGTAGAAGGCTTGATTCGACCTAACGCTGAGTAATGGGGGATAGCTCATGCGAACATGAATGATGTATTCAGCGCAATGCGCATGCTATGAGACACCGGAGCAAAAGTAAGCTCTACGGCAGGCATGGTGAGGACTCTCGTCACCTTCACCGCGGACTCCAGCCATCGCTAGCCAGAGCCGACAACTATGTAAGGAATCTATCAACAGGACAGTAGTAACGTGCCATGATAATACAGTAGCAAGAAGACGCAAGGGAGGTCATAAACGAGACTGGAAGGACGAGCTTCATATCGAGTAGATGGTAGAATATGCAACAAGCGATAACAAACTCAAAGATGGCATGACGTCGTAAGCACAACCCAGGGAGACTCGTGAACGCCATAGAAGGCATGGAACAGAAAACGATCTTTCAAACAGCAAGGGTCTGTCGAGCAGTGACAGGCGGAGCAGGAAGCGGCATGTTTGGCGGAGGCGCCGGCAAGGGCATGTTGGGTGGTGGCGCAGGTAGGGGCATGTCCGGCGGCGGAGCAGGTGGTGGCAGACCCATTGCCGGCAGGCTTTTTCGCTGCATCAAGTGCTTTGACTGCGCAGGAGCCTGGAGTGATGCCTCTTCCCTTGAAGCGTCTATGCTAGGGCTTGTGTGCAAGAAGCGGGTCGCTGGAGGTGATCTTTGGCCTGTGCCAGGGACGAAAGATGGCGTTGAAGAGATAGTGATCGTTGGACGGATTGAAGACAAGAAAGGTGCGTGGTCAGAGCGAACCTGCACAGATGTCGGTCGGCGAAGTGTTTGGGACTGAAGGGATTGCAGAGAAGATGTGTGAGCTGAAGGCGAAAGCACGGCTGCAGCAGATGGCGACCGCGGAGGTGCTGTCACAGAGCGGTTGGCTGCCAAAGTCGACAACGATGGATTCCCAGAACTCGGCACGGCTGAAGCTCTGCGCTGAACGGCATTGTTCGAGTTGGCATGCTGGGCCTGCGGACGAACTGGGAAGGGTCGAAGGAAAGGCTTCGGCGTTGCTGAGATGCGGCGCGAACGAGACGGGTCAGACTTGAAAGGAGCCAATTGCGAAGAAGCTGAACCGGTGTGTGATTGTGGGAGACCAACAGACTGTCGTTTAACGGATCGAGGTGGAGACGGTGCACATTCGCGTGGTGGCGGTGAAACAGTTCCTCCTCGAAATGAAGCACTGTAGCTGCCACTATTGAACCTCACTGGGCTGTCTTCGCGACCTTTCAACGTGCCTTCATCGGGAGATCGAACCTGGCTTGCAATGTGCGCAGTGAGCCCCTTGGCTGCCACGAATGGGGGAGCTGGGGCGGCAGACGCTACCTCGAGAGTCTCTAGTTGTGCTGCCTCGGGCTCTATCATCGCTGGTACCTGCAGAGTTGGCGATGTGGGGCCATAAAATGAGTGCCTCTGGCGCATTGCTGGGACCTCGACAGACATACAGCTATCCTCGGTAGTTACTGGCAATGGCTGTACAGATCTACGGCGAGAACCTGTGTCATTACTAGGATTCGAGTGAAGAGATCGGAAAGGACGGTAGGTTTCGCCCTCAGCTACGGGACTGAAGCTCTCGCTTAAGGGTGACTGTGGTGTAGGCGATGAGTCTCTAGATGTGTTCCTGGTTCCAGTGCCGGACGCAGACGTTGCGGTAGACATGTACGAGAAGCGTGAGCGACCTCGCAACTGATCAAGCTGCATCTGAATCTGCGAGATGGGCGTGGAAGACACCGATGATGCCTCAATAGATTGGCGCTTAATACTTTGTCGAGATAATTGCTCGTGAGTCGAGCTCGCTATGCTGGGAGTTCGCTCGGTGCGCTTCCCATCCAAGTCTGAAGTGACATCCTTGAGTGGCAGCGCATGGTACGATGTATGCGCCGAGTCAACAGGAGGTTCCGTCATGGCAATGATATTCAAGTCTCGTTGTACCAGGTACCGATGACTTGTCTCGACAGACGGCTTGCCAGACGAGCCGTCGATCGAGGATGACCCCCTTATGGATTCATCCTTAGCCCTCTGGCCGCCGTTGTTCTCGATCTCCCTCCGCACTGCAGTCATCCAAGAATCCATCTCCTGCGCACTCTCCAAAATCAGAAGAAAGCTGGTTGCAGCTTTCTTGCCAATGGCGTTCGTAGTGCGCAAACGAGAAAGTAATGTGCTCTTGGGGCCCATCTCCACTGTGCCATCGTCATGGGCATGGCTAGAGATTTGCAGTACCCAATGCTTGCCAGGTATCAGATCGCACGCAAATGCTGCTGAGTCCTTGCCCAGCTTCAGCACCTTCTCCGGCTGGCGGTCAAAAGGTCCATCACCTGCGTATTGCAATATGAAGCCTGATGTGACGAGGATGTAGATCTTGTTGACGAGCTCTGGTGCAGACGAGTGGAGGACCGAGTTAGATATCAGGCGCTTGTGCGACTTCTCCAGCTTCTTGGTCTCACTGCTGTTCTCCCCAATTACTGGTAAGTCGCGAGCGTTCTCTATTTTTTCCCTTATCAATTCAGCTTGTCGACGCTGACTCTGCGTCCGCATCAACACTTCAGGAGGGAAAACACACGCCTGCACGGTAGCGTGCTTGACCGATTGCGGGAAGGCTTGAAATAACGGCGGTGGTTCCCAGTGACCAGCATCATTTGCTGGCGGTGGCGGCTTCATGGACATTGGACGGAACAATAGACTGGATCGAGATCGTATCGACTGCGGGGCAGCGGGCGTAGGGTTCTGTCTGAGTGCAGATTTAGGCGGCACTTCAGGCTTCGGAGGTGTTTGTGGGCGCATGGGGACAGCTAGTCCAACCTCTGTGTGACCTCGAGCTGTTTCCACTTTCGGCCGACTAAACAGACTGAACAACGACATCTTTGACGGTGCTCGCGCGAGCTTTGACGCAGCGCTTTGCTCACTTGGGCCAGATACCGACCGTGAGGCTGCTTCGCGCAGGTTGGCTGTTGATCGAGTAAAGCGCCATCTTGAGTTCGACGATTGAGGCGCTAGATGGCGCAAGCTGTGGTTGTCGTTTGGCGCCATGGCAAGCGTAGCCGAACAGACCTGTGTGTGATATGGTTACTGCATGGAAGGTGGTGTCTCCCTCGTATGCGTGATGACTGGGGGGAGTGTTGTTATGGTGACGGTAATGGCGGGGCCGCCAGACAAGGCAAGTCAAGGTCCAGAAACCGGCAGTTGTCGTACAGCGGCTGAAGGATATGATATATATCGACGGCGAACGTTTTCGGAGTGAGCTGCAAGGATGATGCTGTTGGAAAAAAAGTAAGCGACGATTGGTAAACAGCGGCGCTTGGACGAAACAAATTGGTAGGTGTCGTCAGTGACCAATTCGTGTGATGAACTTGTCCAAGATACGAAGAAAGGTTCTAACGAGCGTTCTATAACCCAACAGGGCTATAATGGAAGAAGAAACGAACGTCAAACGAGAGGACAGGACGTGAGCCCCTGGGGCCTGGGCACGGAGGTTCGCAGCAGTTATGATGGAGGCTGAGAAGGGAGGGAGGGCCTGAAACACGTCTTGACGACGACGGGATGGTGGAAGAAGGAAAGTGGCGGAGGTGCTAGCTGCCGCAGACTGTCGCTCTATTCAGGGCCATGCGCAGCCTGGGGCTCTTGCTGTGTGATCCGATGGCTGCTGGCCTCAGGTGTGGCCCCTTTTGCTGGGCAAGAGATGAACGGCGCCGTCACGCTAGACTAGTTTCGGCAAAAGCTACCCCTGCGGAATGTTTGACAAAACCCGCGACGGTAGAGCTCGGCGACAACGTCTTTGCGCAGAGCTGCTTTTTGCTATATAGCTGACCCACCGCCGGCGGTTTGAGGAGCCTTTGCTTCTTTATTGCATGTGGTGGCCTGGACGGAGGAGTGTTTCGCGGCGATGTTGTCAGGTTTCTGGCAGGACCCTGAGGCAGCTTGAGGCCAAACACTGCTGGGATGGCGCCTGCTGAAAGGCGCGCGCTGATACTGCACATGATTAAACTTCAGAAGAGCCCGAGCCCGACGACAAACTTTGTCTGGGCCTCAGACTTGGTGGAGCAGACTGCACATCAAACTCGTCCTCCGATCGCGCTTGCTGCAGGGTTCAACAATAATTTATTATTGCCGACTTCAAACTGCCACGCTGGTGATTTGATGGGCTGAAGGCCTCAACCATGAATTCACACTGACCATGATCCCACGCTCCGCGAACTCTGCCTGAGAGCCCACAGCCGCGTGTTTGGATGCGGGAGCACCCCGTGCGTTTGGATGCGTCCCCTCCGTTTGAATTCTTCCATCGCTTTGGTTGTGTTGTGTATGATCGGCATTGTCCTGCAGGGGCTAGCGTCGTGGTCCTCACTCCGGATGTTGACGCCCGACATACTAGGTACTAGAGCGAGGTCTGATATCGACACGTTCCGTGCAACATCCCAAGTGGGCAGAGGGTATCACTTCGAGTTCCATGTTGGGCAGTCAGTCACTACCAGCGTGAGATCAGCAGCATGCGACGGTGCTCCAATCGTTAATACCTACACCCTGCGAGCGCCCGACCTTCGCAGTGACACAGACACCGACGCACACAACGCACATACGGCCCCTCCGGTGTCATAAACGTTGGCGCGGCGTTCTCACGGGGAACTTTCTTCCGCCAACACGAGTCTGTGCTCGGGCTGTCGTGCATGTGCTCGGGCACGCGGGGGTTCCCCTCTGAAGGCAGGTCATCAAATCAAAACGCGTGACCATGCTAACCGGTCGCAGAGGTAAATGAGGAAACGAAGGCGATGTACCAACACGAAGTATAGGTGGTGCTTAGGCCCGTGGCGTTTACGGTTGATGGTCGCCCAAACTTTGGAGCCGTACCTGCGTTAAGCCAGCAGGCTAATGCGTCACTGCGGGGTGCTCAAGCCGGTGCTCTAACGGCCGACATGGATCAGCCCACTCGAGCTCGAAAGAAAACACCTGAATCTCACCAGCTCACCGCATTCGTTGCCGCATAACTGCAGGGTCACGTGTGGTTCTGTCATCCTATTACCTAGCACACTGATTCTGGCTATCGCCGCGTGACATCAGCTCACACCACCGCCCTCTATGGCACCCGACTTGAACACGCTCCCGCCCTCCCCGCTGCAATCGCCCTCGGCTTCAAACGGCACTTCACGCAACCAGTCGCCTTCAGCATCCCGCACCATGGCTGCCTCGCCGCACTCGCTGGCTGCCACTGCGGCAATGAACGCAGGCATCCAGAACGAAGATCAGCGCCGACCTTCTTCCGGCAGCATTCGGAGAGACGTCGAACGAGCGCGCCGCCGGTCGAGCATCCGCATGAACCTCAACTTGAACGACCCAGCTGTGCCCGCTCCTGGTGAGATGCAGCGCAGTCCATCGGCCCGTAGTCGAGGCCCATACAGCCCCCGCCACGAGCGTGCACCCAGCCTGGGCGAGCTGCACCAAGAGCTAGAGTATGAGCAGGAGGGGCAGGTGGTGCGTGGAATATGTGCTGGGTTCTTCACTGGCGCGCATGCTGACAATCCTAGAACCGCCTCCTCAACATGATCCGCCAGCAGCAAGCCCAGATCGACACTCTGACAGCTGGACAGCAACAGCCTTCCAACTCGGCCGTCGACGACGGTACACCTACCTCTGAGCGCTCCATGTCCTTCTCTCGATCTCAGTCGCAGGCTACCCATGCGCATGTTCCCACCTCTGTCATCTCGCCTCTCCCAAGCGCCGCACAACCCCGCTCACGATCGCCGTTCAACATCAGCCGCCAATCGTCGTTCGCAGACCGCTCAAGAGGTGGCAGCCACACCGGCTCCCCTGCCCTGCGCCCGTTCCCTGGCGCACCGCATGAGGCTCACGAGATGCTGCCTAGCTCCGCAACAGGGAGGGACGAGAGCACCTTCTACCAGGCCGAAACTCAGAACCTCACACGAGAGAACCAGATGCTGAAGCTGAGGATTAGAGAGCTTGGTATGTCCACCGTGAAGTGATTGCGACCAGACACTGACCATGTCCAGAGCGACAGTTGGCAGATCAGAACCCTACAAGCCAGATGACGCACTCGCCCGCGATCCACTCGAGCCTCGTCCCCACCCCAGGTGGCAGTCGCGACAGCGCGGAGCAGAGCACGGCGACGGAGGCGTCTTCGAACCCAACGGCATCAGCGGAATAGAACTCTTCCTTGGACTGCGTTACTGATCAGGCGTTTGGCGGGGTATGCATCACACGATCTTGACAGGACATGTCGACGACGAAACGAATAGCATGGGACGGAGTTTAGGGTAGCATTTTCGACCTCGACACAAATCACACACCTACGAGAATTTTTGGCTTCGTCCGGGCAACAGTTACGCTGACCATCTCCAAGCAACACAGTCAGATTTGTGGCTACCAAGCGCTGCGTAGATGGCCATGCGTAGCCATGCTGATCAGCACAGATGATGAATGGTCCCTTGCGGGTTGAGCGTGGTGTCAACATATCCTCGCTGGTCATGAAATTGTGCTAGATAAGCTTGGGCAACGCGAACGAGCAGAGATAAACATGCAGCGTGATGTATTTGCGAATCTAAATCGGTCACACATTCCCATGGACCCGTCGACTCGTCCTGCTTGACACCAGACACCTGCTAACCCATGCAAACGACAATGCCCAAACCACAATTCATTCACTACTCCCAAACGGCTCTCTACTCGTCTTCAGCTTCTTCCACCGTCGCCCGCGGCGGGCGCTGTGTGACGTCTCCTGTTGCTGTGGGCGCGGCCTCGGAGCCCGTGGGCTGGGGCGCAGAGTCTGCGGCCACGAGCTGAGGCGCGCCGTGGGGGTGCTGGTGCTGGTGCTGGTGCTGCTCCTCTTCGGCGATCTCTTCAACGTGGCCATGCTGCTGCTGATGCTCGAGTGGTGTGAAGCCCTTCTTGCCCTTTGGCTTCGTTTCACCGTTCGCCTTTGCGGCGAGCTTGGCGGCCTTCTTCTCCTTCTTGGCCAGCTTCTTTTGCGTGATGTCCTCTGGTGTCTATAAAACATTAGCATGCGAACGAGGTGCTTGTTGGGTGGGATTAATCATACCTCCTGCCATGCCCACACTGGCCTGAACGAGTCGAAGAAGCCCACATCCTCGAACAGGTTGGGGTAGAGCCAGAGACCGGGCGACGCAGCGAACATGGTGATGATGAACAGGATCAACCGCACTATCGCCATGGCGAAGAACAGTCCAATCAGACCCAGCATGCCCATGCTCAGGTACCATACACCCTGTCTAAGGAATAGCGGCCACAGCGGGAACAGCACGACCGCCATGACGAGCACCAACGCACCCGCAGCGTACGCCTTCTGCTTCCACTGCGAACCCTCGTACAGCCAGATGTAGTAGTTGTCGTCGTTGGCTTCCTGGTGCTGTTCGATGCGGACGGTCCACAGACCCTTGACGCGCTTGGCCTTGGCGTGATTGTGGCCTTCGTGGCCCTGCTCGGGGTCGACCTTGGAGACGCGGAGGGCGAGGAGGGAGAGCGGAAGCAGCTTGAATGTGTTCTCGGCGGAGGCGCGGTCGTGGACTTCGGGGAGGAGAGGGTTCTTCGCGCGCGCTTTCTGATACGCGGGAGATGAAAGGGCGCGAATGGCGCGCAGGACTGCAGTCCAAGTTAGCATAAGCTCTCGTGAAGCCGATGCATGTGCCTACCTCTGAACATGTCCTTGCGCTTCTCATCGTGGATGACTGTCCTTGGCTTCAAGTCCTGCGACTTGAGGAAGTTGGCTACGGCAATCGCCTCTGGCTTTGGGGGCCCGGGCTGGATTGGCTGTTGCTGCTGCTGCTGCTGCTGCTGTTGCTGGGCCTGCATCTGCGCCCGCATTTGCGCCTGCTGCTGGGCCATTGCCTGTGCTTTGAGTCTCTGAACGTATTCCTGGACGGACAGTCCATGCTTCTCTGCTTCCGCTGCGAGCTGGCGCTGCATCATGGCGATCTGCTCGGGCGTGGGCTGCTGGCCGGGCTGGGGGAAGCCTGGCGGCGGCCCTTGGAACTGTCCCTGGGGAGGGCCCTGAGGCGGTCCCTGAGGTGGTGGTCCTCCTGTCTCAGACATTTCGTAATTGTGTGTATCGTTGCCTGCACGGTGGAAGATAGATCGTTCAAGTGCAGCAGTGGCACGGTCCAAAGGAGTGTGGGATTGGGGCGACAGGCTTGTGGGGTGTTATTTCACTGTTGGAGCCACCTTTCAATCATCAATGGCAGCTGCAGGGATCCAGGTCCCGCTCCGAGCCTGACTAAGCAAACTTTTTCATCAAAAACTTCGCAGCTTCACAGTTGTTTCACTTCAAACAACTTCCTTCCCACGGATCTCGACAACACCAAATAGCCCTCGAGGGCTTGTAGCAGCTTGATGTGTGGTACATGCTGCGCTCTGCTGCCTCGCAGGTGGCCGGGAAGTGCTTTCACCGGCCTACTGCTCACTATCACATACCGCCTCAGTTCAGGCTCGCTGCGTGCAGTACCTAGCAGCTTTCACCACACTCCTCCTTCGCCTAGGAATGCTGCGTGTTCATGCTCGTCTGTTGGGGAGCGCCGGGTCGATCTGCGGCGGAAGGCGCGTTGAGGCGGTGCCTTGTACTGCATAGACTCATGCGGTGTCACGTTACGAAGACATGCAGCCCTCGAGTAGCAAACATCAGTCAGTGTCGCAACTGACAAGCACTCTCCCTCCATCCTGGTCACCGTGATAGACCTCGGTGTCCGTAGCCGTCCTTCTGCCGTGACATACCACTTCACCAACACTCTGGGACTTATCTCCACGTCTTTGACTGGACCATGATATATCCCTATTTTGGTGTGAAGAAGATTGAAGAACCCCTTACTCATCGCGGTAGTCTTGCCTCTGGTTTGGCTTCAGCGATCCATCATCGAGGGTCGACATTACAGTTGTAGAAGAATGACTTGTCAAATTGACTGCTTCTGTGTCCATGAGTGACCTGCCAACGTCAGCCCTACGTTTTGGAGATGAAACGATTCGCTGCTTTAGCTGATCACGGCCCGCAAAAGCACAGTGCAATGGTTGAATATGACATGTCAATCCTGAGCCCCACCGTGTGCCTGCTGAGTCGAGCAAGTAAGCGACCTGCGGCGCTGGCGCAAGCAGCCGTGTGCGTTGCAGTAATCCAGGTAACAGACAGTGGCTCAGCCCACGCCCTGCAGCAACAATAGAAGAGGCATCTGCATGCACAGGAACTGGCAAAGACGGGTCGTCTGGTGGGCAAGGGTGGATGCATGTGGCCCATGATGTGGGCCTGGCACCCGCAGATGTGTACGGGTTATAGGCGCAGGCGGCCTGATTGGTATGTGACGATCTCGACGTTGGAGAATAGGGACGGCTGCACGCCGCCTGCAACATGGCAGTGGAGGACCTCAGTAGTAAAGCGAAGTCTGCTCCTGCAATCCACTGTCTCTGTCTGCACGCCAGCGCGCTGCATTATTGCAGTTGGGAGCGAGGAAGCTGCTCGCCCGTGCCGCCTACATCACATTACGGGCGCCCCAGACGGGCATCATGCAGGCAGGGGTTGTCCAAGCCACCACCTTACGACTTGGTTGTGCGCAGGAGTGGATGGGGCAACGCCTGCTGGGGATCCGCTGCATTATTGAAGCTCGTCATCTCGCCGTCTAACGTGCCGTCAAATAGCAACGTCGTCCCGCGCGGTTCCTGGGTCTGGTCAAACACCTGCTGGCTCTCCAGCTGCGCGCCAGACAGCGTCCAGCGCTGCGCCGCCGACTCGCAGCTTACAGCTTGCAGCTTACACCCTCCGTGCTCGAACGGTCCCCCACGCGCAAGGCAGCACCAGGCAACTGCCCTCCACGCGGTTCTACAGCGTGGGAGCGCTGTGCTCCAGTATCTCGTAGTAGTGGCTCGGTGGTCGTCCACGTCGCCCAAGTCTGACTTCTGACGCCGCATTCCGGCATCGACTGCCTCGACGCCGCGCTCTGCCCTGCCCTTGCATAGCTCCTCGCCTCGCACCACGACCGCTGTGCTGACACACACCCGTACCTGCGCCTGCGCCCACACCCTCACCTTACATACACCCACTCCTCACATACTACCACTCCTCACATACTACCACTCCTCACATACTCCCACTCCTCACAAACACCCACACCGACGCGCTGTCCGCCCGCGCCACCAACACGACCTGCAGCAACAGGCCGACCTAGCAACCACGCCTTCACCACCTCCCCCCGGGGTCTCTGCTGGCCACCTCAGCCGGCACGACGACACCCGGACGCGACGCTTCCTGGCCCCGACGAGCAAGACATGTCCACTGCAGCAGACGGGCGCCGACTCCGCGAAGGCATAGGCACCAGCCGGTCTTGGTGAAGCCCCCGCACCATGACTATGGTCCGCCAACACCCCCCGCAACTGCAGCCGCCGCTCCTCTCCCCCTACCGACCCACCGACCCCGCCGCTCCTTCCCACCCCTCGCTGCTCCGTCACAACAGCACTCCAGATGGCGCCAGCCTGCAGCGTCCGGCGCAGTACGCCCACCCCCTCTCCCGACACCACTCGTACACCTCGCAGGCCTCCGAGCCTGACCGCGCGAAACCTCCAGAGCACATGCTCCGCCGTAAGACGCCGAACGGAATCCTCGCCGCCGCCTACGACGGGACCTCGGTCGAGGACAACGGCGCCCCGCATGCCACCAAGCACATACTGCTGCCGGTCACGGCCGAGTCCAGCGTACACTACGGCATCAAGCAGGACCTCGCGCTTCGCTCTCCAAGCATCAACGGGCCCTACGCACACTTCACGCAGGAGAGATCGGCCGAATGGAGCCCGAGTCTGTACTTCGAGACGGGCTCCGGCCGGACAAGCCAGCACATTCCCCAGATCGACTCGATGCTCAACCAGATCCCCCCGCTGCAGCAGACGCAGATGCCCTATGCCATGTATGGTCCCCAGTTCGGTGGAGTCATGGGTCCTAGCATGCAAAGCCCGTTTGCGCCAACAGCGTCGAACGACCAAGGGCCGTTTGGACCCTACTGGCCTGATGGCGCCTACGTCCCATACCAACCTGCCGCCATGCGAGACCCTCGATACCTGCATCACCCTGCCCACAATTGGAGCCATCCTCAACATCTGCCGTACATGTCACGAGGCTACAACAACCCGATTCCCGGTGCATCTGGCTTTGCCCCGCAGACGTACCAGCTCAACCAGCCAATGTACCAGAGTCTCGGTGCGCTTGGCCACGAGTATCCAGCCTTTGGACAGGGGCATAACCCGAGCTTCCAAACACCAGGTCTGCCGCCCCATATGCTGCAAGCTCGTCAGGACTACTTTGCCTCTGGCCAGTCAACACCTGTACCTGGACAGTCTACCGTTTCGACGCCCCGTCCCGAGTATGCGTCTCAGTCGATGAACGGTCAGTCTCGAGAGAAAGTTTTTGCCTGGGCACACACAGTCTACGTTGACCTTCTCAAGTTCTTGCAGTATACGAGAAAGGTACACATGCAGCAAACCCACGGACGTCAGGCACAGAGACCGCACATATATCCAAAGCCACCTCGACAACCAGGAGCGAATCTGGACGCGAAACCGACTCCGCAAAGACGGTTGTCATCTCCATCCATCAGCTCACAATCGCCCTTCCAGCCTCCCTCAGACAAACCGTCAAGACGCCCAGCGCACTACAGATCTGCATCGTCGTATTCTTCAACCGGTCTTGAGCCTAGCCAGCAGCGACAGTCATGGCAACAAGTGAGCCAGCAGCACCCCATACTTCCCCAAGCTTCTAGTATGGAGCCCGCACGCACTCTCCGCAGGTCATCCGGATCGGTCTCAAGCGTCCAGCAAGGACTACGCCCAGACATACCGCCCAGCATGACAGCCGCGTCGGCGCTCGAAGCGATAACTGAGCATTGCGAGGAGAGCAATTGGAAGTGGATCGATGGCATGCTACTGGGCGGGTGTCTCGCATATGCTTTGGGCGATTACCAGAAGGCACAGAATTGGTACAAGCATATCCTTACACTAGACACCGACCATGTGGAGGCTATTTCCAATCTTGCCGCAACTGTGCTTGCACTCCAGCAAAGGAAGGATGCGGAACGCTATTGGAGGCGGGCTGTCAAGTTGCGTCCAAGCTACTTTGAGGCTGTCGAACACCTCATTGGCCTTTTGTGTAGTGACCAGCGAGGGCGAGAAGCCGTGCAGGTCATCGAGGAGGTCGAACGTGCTTTGCGATTCGCCAGGAGAAGTGACGCTCTCAGGAGCCTCGAGCTTGAGAGCGAGCGTCCGCGCTCTGGCGTCAGTGATTCACCCGGTTTATCAGAGGGTTCAGATCGGCCGCTGTTCGAGTTCGAAGGAGAAGATGAGTCTATCTTTAAGGATCTGGAGGAGCTTCCCGGCTCAGACCAGCCCGGCTTCGGAACGAGCGGATACGCGATACCTGGATGCGACAATGGCCGCATTCTCGCCTTGGTGCACGCCAAGGGCAACATGCTGTACGCCCTGGGGAACAACACCGAAGCTGCAAAAGCATTTGAGAACGCTATTCTCATCGGAGCGGGCACCCAAGCTGATGGTATTCGCGGTCTGATCAAACGGATCTTGTCTGTTGTCGGCTACGAAGCTTCAGAGCGGTCGCCTGGCGGTCGCAGAGTGATACCATCATCAGATCCGGTGCTTCTTCCGCCAGACTCGGCGACCAGAACTGCCCATCTTTGCTTCCCTCCACACGGCCAATTGCCGGGCCTTGCTCACATTGCAAGTGACGGTCTCGCACGCAAAGCAGCGATCTCGACGACAAGCAATTCTCTGCTGTCTTTGGCGAAGATTTTTCAGGATGGAATGGCTACCAATTCTCCGAGAACTGCACCACATCAGAGCAACTATGGCGTACGCGATATCCTTGCACTCTACTACCTCTCTTTGTCACTGCAGCCAAGCCCTTCTACAGCGAACAACGTGGGCATCCTGCTTGCTAGTGTACAGCAATCTGCGCCGTCGAAGCCGATATCCGTTTCGAAATCGACGCCGTACCCGCAGATACCCGGACTGGTCCCAGGCAGCGGCGTTGCGCTCGCGCTTGCCTACTACTACTATGGTCTGCAACTTGACAGACGCCACGCGCACCTCTACACGAACCTAGGCAGTCTGCTCAAAGACATTGGTCAGCTGGATGTCGCTATCTCAATGTACGAGCAAGCTGTACAATGTGATCAGAATTTCGACATAGCTCTCGCCAACCTCGCAAATGCCGTCAAAGACAAAGGGCGCATCAGCGACGCGATTGTATACTACAAAAGAGCCGTGAAGTCTAGTCCCGACTTCGCCGAGGCAGTGTGTGGACTTGCAAATGCGCTGAACTCAGTATGTGGCTGGACCGGTCGAGGAGGCATCGCTGATGGCCAGGGTGCACGAGACCGCTGGCATGTCGACGAAAATGGCATGCTTCTTGACGCAAGAATCCCGGGTGCTTCGAGTTCTGGTTGGGTCCACAAGGTCGTCAAGCTCGTGGAGAAGCAGTTGGCAGATGGCGAAGGCTGGGGGCGTGGAATCATGGATGAGCGCTTCCTCAAAGATATCTGCCGCCCTCTTGCATTGACCGGCGGTACTACAGAAGAGATCAAAGAAAAGCAAAAAAGTTTGCTGAGCGTTGTGACTGGATGGAGAGGACACAAGTGGGAAGGCGCCCGCATCGTACGTCTGGTCGAGCGCGCCATCAGACGAATGACTTGGCAGTGGTACCAGGACAGGTACGTCACGGGGAAAGAGCGGTCGCCAGAGAGCTATCGCAGGCCGCACTTGCCCGCAGCGTTGACAGTACCTGCGGCGCCTACCGTTCTTCCGTTTCACACGTTCACATGCCCTATGTCTGCTGAGCAGATTCGCATGATCTCGCAGCGTAACGGATTGCGTATCTCATGCTCGACTCTCCGGGCACCCTGGCTTCCCGCAACCATCTTTCAGCCGCCACCTCCACCTAGGCCCTATCTCAAGGTTGGCTACGTCTCTTCCGACTTCAACAACCATCCCCTGGCGCATCTTATGCAGTCAGTTTTTGGCTTCCACGATACAAACAAGGTCAAGGCATACTGCTATGCGACAACTGCCAGCGATGGCTCGGAGCACCGCAAGCAGATCGAGAGGGAATCGCCAGTCTTCTACGACGCAAACAACTGGTCAGCGGAACGACTTGTCAACCAGATCATTAAGGACGGTATCCACATCCTGATCAATCTCAATGGATACACAAGAGGAGCACGCAATGAAGTTTTTGCGGCACGTGCAGCTCCCATCCAGATGTCGTTCATGGGTTTTGCAGGAACTCTGGGTGCGGAGTGGTGCGACTATCTTCTCGCGGATGACACATCTGTGCCGCCAGACACTCTTAGGCAATGGCGCCGCAACATCGACATGGAAGACGCTCTGGTGGACGAGAACAGCGGAGGGTCGGATAAGGAATGGATATATGGCGAGAACATTGTTTTCTGCCGCAACACATTCTTCTGCTGCGATCACCGACAGAGTGCGCCTGATTCACAAGGCCGTCAGCCCAATTGGAAGGAGGAGCAGGAACGGAGATGGGCTATGCGCAAAGAGATCTTCCCACAGCTGCGGGATGATGCGATCATCCTTGGTAACTTCAACCAGCTCTACAAGGTAAGCGTGACGGTTTGGACTGTCGCCAATAAGACTAATCCATATATAGATCGAACCTACCACGTTTCGAACCTGGCTTCGAATTCTACAGCGCCTGCCGAAAGCCATTTTGTGGCTTCTGCGATTCCCCGATTTGGGCGAGACCAATCTCAGGCAGACCGCGCTCATGTGGGCTGGCCCGGAGGTTGCCAACCGAGTCATCTTCACCGACGTAGCGCAGAAGTCACAGCACATCTCCCGTGCCCGGGTTTGCGACTTATTCTTGGATACGCCGGAATGTAACGCACACACAACGGCTGCCGACATCCTCTGGTCAGGGACACCTCTGCTCACACTGCCTCGTTACAAGTATAAGATGTGCTCGCGGATGGCAGCCTCAATTCTCAAAGGCTCATTGCCCGAAACCGCCGAAGGCGCACAAGCAGCCAAGGAGCTCATCGCCGCCGATGATGAAGATTACGAAGAGAAAGCAGTCCGCCTCGGCGCGGACTGTATCTACCAAGGCCACCGCCCGACAGGTCGCCTGAGCCAGCTCCGCAAGATGCTTTATGAAGCGCGATGGACAAGCGCCCTTTATGACACGAAACGATGGGTCCGAGATCTCGAAGAAGCCTACGCAATTGCTTGGAAGAGATGGGAGAAGGGAGAAGGAGGAGACATCTGGCTGAAGGATTCGAAATCATCACGATTTGAGGAACTCGCCTAAACAAGTAATCGCATGGGAGGACATCGGCTACACGGGTACTGTTCTGGAGACTACTGTCGCCGCGCACTTTTGAATTTAGCGAGCACACATATGCACCGCACCGCAGTTGTTGAGTTTGAGCCCATGAGCGGCTCTGATACCCCTTTTAAGTTCACATCTACGCATTCGTTGATTATAACCGCACTTTGGGAGTCGTAATGAGGGCACGTTGGATACGAGGATGGGTGTTAGACGGTCGCTATCGATAGGAAAGCATTGGAGGCGTTCGTTGAGTAGATGGAATTGATATCAAGTTTTTTGAATGGTGCCTGATGGCTGTCGGACCCTTGACCTCAATTCCAAAGCCAGAGCTTGTAGACGTGATGGCCTGCTCGGGGTCGTGCTCCTGAGCCTCGTCAGCCTACGACACTACTACAGCAAGGCTGACGTATGCTGCAAGATCGCTAGTCCACCTCAGGTTACTTCGTAGAGCTGGTTGGACTCCACCACACGCCTTTCCCAATCAAGTTAGAGGCGGGTGAACAACTGCCCGCTGCGGATGAACTCTTGCACATAAACACCAGCACTGCCTTTCAAGTCCTTTCAAAAGCCTAAATTTCGACACAATGCTGCGCCGAAGGAGAGACAAAGACCAGGCTACAGCCATCGATGTCGGCCGAGCTGGACGGTGCTGCAACGGGGAATGAACGAGGATTGGCTTACGGTACTGGAAATTATGCCTCCGACAAACAACCCATTCGTATACGACGAATCAGAGTCGTTGTGGGTGTTTGCGCGACCACACAAGCTGGATAATACGATGTTGGATCATCCGTTTTGGGCGAGACTTGCAAGCCATACTCACGTTGCTGACCGAGTATAAGTAGAAGCGTTGGGCTCGATGGGACAGGATTCGTACATCTACACTACGGACCTTGACAACACCAAACAAGCTTCGAAGCTTTTCAAGATATATTAGCTGAATTCTAATTCCGCTACATTGAGAGCCATCCCTCACAACCAACTCAATCATCTACTGAAGACAATCTCCACTCTCACCATGTCTCCGCCCACGCAGACCCTCGCCTTCTTCGGCGCCACAGGCGGCGTCACAAACACCACTCTTGCCAAGACCCTCAACGCCGGCTACCACAGTACAGCACTAGCCCGTACACCACAGAGGCTAATCGACATGCTGCGTACTGCACACTCAGTTCCTCTGGAGATCATCGAGAAATACCTTACCATCCACACCGGCGACGTCAAAGACATCTCCGCCGTCTCGGCTGCTCTGAAGAATCCCCTCGACCAGTCCAAGCTGGTTGACACAATCATCTTCGGAATCGGCGGCTACCCCGTCATGCAGCGGAGCCTCCTCCAGCCCATTACGCTCAACGACGTGCACATCTGCGAGGACGCCATCTCGACCATCTTCCGCGCTCTCGAAGCACTCGAAATCCAGGGAGTCACACAGTCGAAAACCGGCCGGAAACCCTTGTTCAGCACCATTTCCACCACTGGAATCAGCGATAAAGGCCGCGATGTCCCGCTCTTGCTGTACCCGCTGTACATCTACGTGCTTCATGTTCCGCACGAGGATAAAAGGAAAGCCGAGCAGTTGCTTATCAATGATGACGGCAAGCATATTCGCGATTGCGTTGTTGTGAGGCCCACGCTGTTGACGGATGTCGCAGCAAGCGGGGTGGAGAAGTTGAGGGTCGGGTGGGAGTGGAAGGGTGCGGAAACGGAGAAGGCTGGCATCAAAGATAAAGGTCCGGAGCTTGGATGGACAGTGGGTAGGAAGGATGTTGGAGGGTGGGTATTCGAGAAAGTAGTTCGGGAGGGTGGTTGGGAGGGGCGGTGTGTGAGTTTGGCGTACTAGAGTCGAACAAGTGATTTGGACTCTTCGCGCTGGTGTATGATGTTTTTGTTACCTGGCGTTCTACGATGGTCCCTTGTCTTTTGTCATCATGAGCGCTTTCGAACTCTGGAGCACTCGATTCCGGTTTGAAAGCTCCCAATTGTAACTCTTCGATTTCGACCGATACTCATACCGAGCTCTACCCAGCCATCCTCATTCACCGTCAAATCATCAGTCGAGCCTGTATCGTCCCGCTTGAGGTCCGCCCCCTCCGATTCCTTTGTTCCGGCTCTAATGTTGCCATCATCTGCAGCCACTCTGCCTTCTTTTCCGGACTAGTGGCCTTGTCTGTTGCTTTCACAGGCGCGTGATGACATCGCTTCTTGGGATTGTTAGTAGCTTTCAGATCTCTTACAGGCTATCTTGCAGCAATGAGATCCGCACACTCTGTGACGTGCGTTGATCGACTGGAGTCACAAGCTTCATCACCCTGAGATTGATGTGTGCTTGGGCTTTGAGGCTTACTTCGCTTTCGCGTTGTGCAATGCGGACGAGACAACGTACTTTCTGTTCCGATCGTAAGCTCTGTTGCTGTAATATCATCTATTGCAGCAGATATCATGCCTATTTACCAGCCAATTTAGGGGTGCTAATGTATGTACATTGTGCCTCCTTTTTGGCTGCGACATCATCTGATCCCTAACGGATTACACCAAGCCTGCTGTGCGTTATGAGATTTTGAAGTCGCTCTTGAGCAGTTGTTTCCGGGGTGGTTAGGACAGGTAGAAGGACCCTGTTTCGACATACACTGTTAGAGGCTAAGAGACACGCGTCACGCTGCAAGCTTACCGCACCGTTTCAATATACGACGCGCACTGCTGTTAGATCCTCAGAGTCACCTCGAAACGATACTGCCACTGGGGAGCGATAGCTCTCGCTCGCCCAGCGCCTGCCGCGTTGTGCAGCGTTGCCCCACCATCTCGCTGGAATGTGGAAGCACTGGCATCCGTTGCCTCGAGCCATTGTTACCATTTGCTGGTGGGTTTGACCCTAGTAGAAACTATCCCGTGTATCTATGATTTCCAGCAAACTCGACTCTGACCTATTACGCAACTTACCTTCCCCGCCGTCTTGCCGCAAGACCCTTCCACGTTTTTCGTTGCCTGTCCGGATCGTTGCCTGTCCGGATCGTTGACACCCGAGCTAATCATGATGATCCGGTGCATAAGAGTTAGGTAAGGGTAGGCGAACAGCGCCTTCTACCTCTAGAGACACTGAGGAAGAACAAATCGATACTGAGCATGCACGGCTTGGAGGCTCGTTGACCTGCGCTGCATCGAAGCCGACAAGACGGCCACCTGTCCAACGAAGATTCAACTGTCTTTCAGGACCACGAATACGGTCTGGGTCACTTCAATGTAGTACACGCAGGTCGGATTTGTTAATCCGGGTGGCCGAACACAAATAAGTCTTTTTTTGCGTTCAAGAATGAGCGCTTCCTCTACTTTGTTGAGTTTCGTTCATGCAGACTTTGAGAACCAACGGCTGGCACATGCCTCTAATGCATTGCTGCCACTAAAAAGGCTCAGTGGGGAACGAGTCGATACGTCTTCAACATGTGAAACGAAACTTTGTCGAGATAAGACTGTGCTGTGTCTCATGCCAAGATAAGTTCCATGCCAGAACCTTACCGAGACCACCGGGTCAATGCACGCGTCGGGTTAATGCACGCGAGCACAAAAACACACTTTTCTCCTCAACACTATAATGCCACAGAATGTTAACTGATTTTAACGTACCTCACAGGCGAGTGGCCAGCCAAGGCGAGTGACCGGATTTTGCCAAGACCACACCAAACTTCAACTTCTCTTGCATATTACAGCAAGTTACTGCAAGTTACTATAACTTACAGTATACAGCACTAATCTATAGTATCTTACACATCTTTTATACACGTTCGCGCGTTATGCCCTGCCTTACTACACCTACTACAGTGTTGTAAAGACTAAGTGCCTAGTTTAACGCGCCTCTTCTTGCTTACCTTCTTCCTATTACTATAGG